CCAGTACATTTCTTGCAGGACTATTGTGTCGTCGACGACAATCTCACGCAGTTTCAAACCCTGAAAGCTCTGAGTTAGCATGCTCGACTAGAATCGCTGCAGTACACAAAAGCTCACATCACTGCGGATCCGGATGAGGCCACCAACGTCTTCCAGTTTAACGGCTTTCCACCATATACCAATTTCTTCTTCAATCGCGTATGGTTTCGATGAGTCGGCGAACAACAAGCGCCGGATACCGAGGTGATGGCTGGCAATGTACAAGCTGTCGATGGATGTTGAGATACTTGGGTCAAACAAAAGGAAATCCCGGTTGCCACCGGGCGTGTTCCACAGATGGCCGATGTACTGAACACCCTCGAATTCGACGTGCTTAGCATAGATCTTCTCCGAAAATTGGATAGAAGTGTTGCCCTCGGTCTCCGCACATGCTTGGTTGGCAAAATAGACAGCCAAGTGGTGACAAGTCGATCGATCGTGAAGAGCCCAGGCTGCGATGTTAGAAAGCACTTCTCTGGGCAAACTTGAGATGTGGCGACTAGCTGTTCGAAGGAGATCAGCTGGATGGAACTGAAACCAGCGAATACGCCATTTATTCGCAATGGCTGGAGGCTCGAATGCATGTGCTGCAGCATCAAGAATATTTGTTAATGTTTCCGGAGACGTAACTTCGACGCAGATAACATGGCACCCAATCCGTTGCTCATCATGGTTGTATCGTCCACGACACTGGACATATTCGACATCCAGAGTGCTATCGACGAAACCACCGATGCTATACTTGTACGATGGAGAAGTGTCGCTATCGAATCGCCGTACTAAGGGAGTCAGAGGACTGGGACTGTAAAGGGTTGTGGAAGACTTGCCTGCTACTATGTCATCTCCAAGCTGTAGTTCAAAGCGGCAAAGTCCGCAGAGCCATGGTACACAAATTGATCTCGTCATGGCGTTGACTGGCGGATGATGAACGCTTGATTGAGGTAAAAGAGCTCGTATGGGATGATTTGTTCAATACGGAGTCAGCTGGTGGCTTGACTGTAAGCCTCTTCAAAATGTTTTGCCGGGTCGGCTGACAGAGCCTGGGTGACAGATCTTCAGTATGGTCAGCAGTGGCATAATGAATAGGGATAAGTGTGGTTGTATATTTTTTCGGTTGAGTTAGGTGATCTGCTGGGCCTGCAGTTGATCTATATAAACGAGTGGCATCTATCCCTTTTAGGGCAATCCTGGCCCGACTATGTGGTTAACTGAGTAATGACTGTATGCAGTGAGTTTCAACTAAGCGAGGGTATCCCAGGCTCTGTCACCCAGGTTCTGTCACTGGGATACTCCCGCTTGGGTGAAACTCACAGTATACAGTCATTGCTCGGTTAATCGCATAGTTGAGCCAGGATTGCCCTACAAGGGATGGTTTCCACTCGTTTATATAGATCTACTGCAGGCCTAGCAGATTACTCTAAGCAGTGCGGCCATACTTATCGCCCTTGCCCGAACCTTGCTCTTCTGGTACTATTGCATTGTTTCGGGGCTTAGGCGTCCCTGGTGGGATAGTTGACATTGTCTTTTAGAATACCACCACTCCAGGTCACCGAACCAATCCACCCGAAACCAGTTTTCGCCTTTCGATAGGGATGGTGCTTCCCGTAACTGCTCGATACCAGATACGATAGGCCCATCGCTCGTTAGAGAGAATTTGAACCACATCTTACAATCACGATCAACGCAAATAGGGTTCTGCAGTTGATCTAGCCTTATTTGTCCGACGCATGCTTGCTGTCCGTCAATATAACGAAGTAGAAGCCCGCTGATGATTTCACTTCCTTGCCGGTTGCGTCGACATGGAATGATATCCACGACGTCGCCGAGCTTCGCGCTGGTCCAAGCGAAGTATTCATGGCGGCGAAACTTTGGATATGACGAGGTTGGCCACTCAACTCTGGGGCTTGGATTATGATCATCAGGCTTGGGCAGCCTGGGCTTGGGTGACTCGAAGCCCAATAAACTACCCAATGCTGTTTTCATTAGATATATCGAGCTAGGGTTTTTGGTGGGCCGGTCAAGCAGAGTCCATTTCGAGCGGCTCCAGCCTTGCTGTGGCTGCACCCCTAAATAACTCGAGCGCTCCTGGTTTGTGACCAACTCCACAATGTCAGAATTTCGTTATCATACAATATTAACATCGTAGGCCGAGACGTACCAACAAAGCGATTGCGCTACGAAGAGAACCATCACACTTCCAGATTTCCGTCACCACTTCACCCACGCGAAGTGGCATATAGAACCATAGAGCAGATTCGTCCATGGTTCTCAGCTCGTGATAAAAGTCGAAATTTTCGCCGGCAGTGTGTGCGTGCAGTGTCAAGATACTTTGGTTCCAGCAAAGCGAATAGGCCGTGGTAGTAGGATGGTTACATAGCATTACCGACATGCGGTTGGTTAATTCGGCGTTGCAAAGGTTTTCTAGGCGAAGGTGTTTATACACTGCTTGAGGTAAGCCCCAGGCAAGTTGTGGTAATTGCAAGCTCTCGCCTGCAAGTAGGCGCATTTTCGAGCCCTAGCCACCCAAGTTAGATACTGTCAAGAATTTCCTTATCCCGAATGCTTGCGCACATCGCCTCGGGTTCGAATGAACCTGCCCAGACTGCCAAGGCATATTGTTTTCCACCAGACATCCGGCTCTTGGATGATCGTGGGTTTGCTTGACGAATTGACAAATAACAACTGTCGAATGCCAAGGTGATCACTAGAAACGTACAACCTTGCAGCTGGTGTCTGCGACAGTGGGTCAAACACCAGTATATCTCTATTGTTGGTGGCTGCATTTGTCAATCGCGCAATGTATCGGGTGCCCTCGAAGTATGCGTATCGAACATATATTTTCTTTGAAAGGGCGACTCGTGATACGTTTCTCGCGAACTCACCGCACTTTCTCTCGGCATACCAAACGACCATTCGACGGCTGGTCTGTTGATCAAGAGCCCGAACTGCGATGTCGCTGCAGACTTCCAAAGGAAGGCGGGAATGCGTCACCCTTCTGACTATCGAGGCGAGCCAGGACCGTAACCAGCGGGAGCGCTGGCAGTTCGCTATATGTGATGATTCGAAGTCGGGTGCAGTCACTTCGTAGATCTGCGAAAAGGTCTCAATGGATATTGAACTGTAGCAGTCAAGGTGACAGCCAATCCTCTTCTCGTCGTGCTGGCATCTCCCGCGACACTGAACATACTCAATTCCTTGAGAGCTGTCGAGGAAGCCTACTACACTGTATGAGTACGGTTGAGATCGCTGAGCGCCGTCTCTCCGCACTAGATCCATTAGAACTATGATACAGAAGATAGAAGAGTTACCTTACCGGCGACGATTGTGTCGCCTAGGACGATCTGGCATCGACAAAGACCACAAGATTGCGGAACACAGACAGACTTCATTGGGGTCTTGAGGCGTGTACATGCTGATGAGTTGTGTAAAATGAGAACAGGGATTCAGCAGAATGTGGGACACCTCGTGGTCTTCATGACCGTCGCGGATTTTCTGCCAGCCCGAAGACGTCATACATGAGTGTAAAGCCGGATCGGGCCACCCGACATATACTCCACTCTTCCTATCCCTTCCTTTCCCTTCCTCAAAGCGGCCCGTCCTTAATTGCACGGCTATGGAACCTTCCACATTTGCGACAGAACTTTTGGCCTTCCTCCTCGCGTCTTTGAGTGACCAGCTGAGCAAGTTGACCCGGGGGTTGTCCCCAAACAAGAAATGAATCCTCAAGAGAATCTCAGCTTCAGACCGTTTTCAAAAATTTTGTCAACAGGACGAGCTACCACAAGAGGCGCACAACCCTGCTCGACATCTACAATACACATGGCCTAGATGGTTTTGTTGCTATGTGCTTTTGGATTAGCTCCAATCAGATTCGCTGAGTCAGATGGTCCACCGTTTGTCGCTGGATTTAACACTTGGGCGGGGTTAGACCAATCTACCCACCGATTTTGACAGCTTCATTCCAGAGCTGAGGGAAAGCACCAGCGCACGATCAGTGCCTTCTTACCGTCAGGTATCTGCTCCCACCCTTCTTCATTGTAGCTACGGTTCAAAGTATCCATAACCGACTCTAAAAGCAGTCATTCTCGCACTTCTAGTCGTAGTCGCATGTACGCAGTAAGATCGAATTGAGGCCCAGCCTGTGTGAGTCAATTCAAAGAAGATGCAGTGTATTGCCAAGAGGAAGCAACATTCGATCCATACTGTAGTACGTGGGCACCTTTGCTTCGTCGAGAACTTGCGCATCTCCTTCGCCGATCTCCTAAGCTTCTTTTACCCACAAAGATGTGCAAGAGAATGTTCCCAACTTATCTCGTTGACGAAGAATTGGCAAGAACTCGCTGCACGTATAAATTGTAAGCCCCAAAGCTACTGCATAGGACAGAGAACACAGCTCATGTAGGACCACTGGTGTCCATAAGAAGTAAAAGCAAGATCCTTCACAAGAAGCAGAGATTCTTGTAAGTATCAACGGCTTACGTATATAGTCGTGGTCAGCTTTTTGTAATAGGTTTTGATGGGTTGAGCGTGTAAAGCGGATCTTGGCTTCACGTTGATAAAGACAAGTGTCGATCAGAATCGAGCAAATGCTGTAAGTCTATGTTAGGACGTCTAAATCGCAGGATCAAGTATAATGTTTTGCGTTTAGATTCGTTCTCATCAATCATTATCTCGCCGAGTGTTGAGCATGATGCATCATGATTAAGAAATAATTCGAACCTAAGCCGTGTCTCTGAATGGCTTGGGATCTTTGGGAAATGCTGACTTAGTCATTTGCCGAAGTACCTGTGGAGTAATGGGGAGTCAAATCTCCGAAACGACAGAGTTGAGAGGCGGCTAATGAGGGGACGTACGTGTGATTGGATGGGAGCGGGGCTGAGCCACGTGACTAATTTTGTCTCCTAAGCCTCATTAAGACCTCCCTCAACCTTCTGGATGGATTGATTGACCTCGCGCCGCCCCATCAATCCTCCACATCAATGATTTTCTCCTTACCGGTACCATTGATTCACAGCTGTGATACCCCATCACGGTGGACGAAACACGATGGATCACGGAAACGCCAAAACATCCGCCGATCAGGCTAGAACGAACCGCGTCAAGAAGGCTCAACCCCCTCGAACTCCAGCAGCTAGATACAACAGAAAGATTCTCCATGCACTCGAGCTTGCCATTAAGAAGGATCCGGAAGCAGACCTCGCTGGTCTCCTTACATCGAAGTACACAGACTCTCTGCAGTCTTTTAAATGTGAGACACATAGCCTTCAAGCAAGGTGATCATAGCTAATTGAGTTGAAGCATCAGGAGCTTCGCAGACCTTGACGATAGAAACCCCAAGGTCGAAAATACCATTTCCCGACACCGATATCCGTGCGAGACTTAATGTTGCCAAACCGTCAACCATTTTCTACGAGTTATCCGCAGAATTGAATAGCCTGCTGCAACCCTATCAAGAGCTCTCAGCAGGTATCATAGCCTTACTCGCCAAAAGCGAGGTGCTTTACGAAAGCGAATGGGCTGCATCTGTTATGGTGTTTCGGCTCAACGAAAACATTGTCGTCAAAGTGACGAGTGACGAGGGATTTGCGTTAACCGAACATCGATCACTCTGCTACCTGAAAAGACATTTACCCAGCTTTCCAAGTCCACAACCCCATGGTTTGATAGAATTCGACAATTACTACTTCCTCTTTACCAGCTTCATTCCAGGCGTTAGCTTAGAAAAGGTTTGGCCTCAACTTGGCGATGTTGAAAAGCGCGCAGTCAAGAGTCAACTTGAGAGGCTGCTCTCAACGTTGAGGTCACTTCCGCGCCCGGAAGGTTTACCACTAGGCGACATCCTAGAGGGTGGCTGTCGAGATGCCAGACGAGGCGTTCGGCTCAGCTCCAAAACAATCATGGACGCTGCACAATTTGAAGACTTCATCTTCGCCGGATCTCAGACAGCATCGTCCCTCTACACAAACTTGTTGCGCACCCTCATGCCAACTCTACCTGCGGCATGCGTTTTCTCGCACGGAGACATTCGCCCTGGGAACATCATTGTGTGTCAATGCAGTGATGGAACCTATCGAGTCGCTGGAGTAATTGACTGGGAATCAAGTGGGTTTTATCCTGAATATTGGGACTGTGTAAAGGCAACAAACAACCTGACGCCAAGGGACCGATCCGACTGGTATCAGTATCTGCCAATGTCCATATCTCCCCAACGTTATCCAATTCAATGGCTGGTGGATAGATTATGGGATCGGAGCTTAGTCAACAGCTAGACGACTGAAAATATTTTTTACGCTCACTGAAGCCTACTTGACTATTGGACCTAGAGTACGCGATGGACATCAACTAATGTATAACAATTTAATCCTCAAAGCTCGAATCGAAAACGAACTCTTCCGACAAGGGTCCCCCTTGGCCCTCTTGTCCCTCGTCGCCTTCGTATTCCTCGTCTTCTCCACTCTCACCATCCTGACCAAAGTCTTGCCCGTAGTACATCAGCATTTCCTGCTTGCCCGCGTACAAGGTTTCTTCGTCAATCGCTCCGCAAGCGAACGCAGTGTCCCAGATATCAATTACATAGTCTTGGCAATTCCAGGATAAGCCTTCCCCAGGTACTGGGATCTCGGGGATTTGCAAGAAGAGCGTTTCCAACCATCCTGAATGTATGGTGCATAGGTTTATGAGAGGCGTGATGCATCTCCGAGAGTTCGCCGGGTTCGTCTGGAGGCACTGGGCCCTGAAGGGACCATCCTCTTCATCCTGAACGACCTCGAAGACGTTCCACTGGTGCGTGCTTTGGTCGTGAGTGGCAAATGCCCAATGGTAATAATTGCCGAAATGCGGTGTGTATATAGCGCAGTGAAGGCTGGCGATGTACTTGGTGCCATCATCCTTCGAGTCTTTATGTCGACGCTTTCTCGTTTTGCCGTTGTCGTTCGGTTCTTGATCCCGATGCTTTGGCTTTCTGCCTGAGGCTCCGGTCTTGTGCGAGCTCTTGCCCGAGGTCCGTTCTCTCGTGGCGGACGCCTTGGGCCTGTGAGATGACATCGGTAGGTTTAGAAGCTTTGAAGACCGCGATGAATGGAGTCGAGTCGATATCTGGGCCCAGAAACCTGCGTTGGCTCTAGAAGATGCAAGCAAATCAGGCAACAGGGTTTTGTATTTTCACCTTGTGTGTGTCGAAAACTTAGAAAGGTTGATGGAAGGTTTTCGTAGGAGGTCTTTCTGATGGGGAAGACTTCGATTTAAATACTTTGTGCCAGGGTAATTGGCGTATAGAAAGGCTATCCGCGCCCAGCGAGTATCTCATCACCAGACTTGGATATGGACATTGCTACATCGTAGTCAAGAACTGCAAGGACACCATCGCGTCTTATTGGCTATGCGAGATCACCGAAAGTGGATTCACTTTAACAATCAGTCAAAGATCAATGACGCTATGTAGCACAGGGCGCTTAGTTTGCCATCTTCCAAACCAGATACATTCCAGCAGGGGGTGAAACAGAAATCTAGGCGGCACAGTGAGTGGATGCGCCAGTCGGGGAGCTGGCAACGTTTTACCGATTGGTAAACCGTGATGGTCATCGTCTGCACGCGTCTCAAAGCTGGCTTTGTGCTCGAAAACGTTTACCAATCTGCACGATTGCGATTGAGGTATAGTGTTGCGCAGAACATGCAGTAAACCATTTGTATACAGTGGTGTGCTATCAATCCTACATGTCGAGATCCAACCGTCCACGCCTCAGCCGAGGGGATATCAGCTGTCAACCCCATCTCATTGATCATATATACAATTACCCGCGTAAGTCATCAGACAGGCCTTTGTTTCGTTGAGGCGGTGCCGACTGCGCCCCCAAAGCAAGTCTTTACCCTGAGGTTGGCCGAGCAGCACCAAGCCTGCCCCACCTGCAAAGTTGGAAATCATGAGAGATAGCATCTCACCATCTGTGGCACCTCACGACCTAGCGTTCATGCCACCATGTCACCCATCATATCCACCTCCAAAAGTATTGCAGAAACCTCGCTACCGTGCCGTTAGCCATACAAAAATTTGACGACCGCGCTTTTTGGACACTTCCATGTAGGATGGACCTAGTGCGGTTCGGCGGCTAGCTGTGGTGAAGCCCTTGTCTGATGTGGTCCTTGGGGCTTGATGGTGTGTTGGACAAAAGTACCCTACTGATGATAGGTAGCAGAGAACAGAGTGTCTGATCGTCCTCAAAAAGACGGCTAATCCCGGGGAACTGGGAACTAGAGCGCTAGCGGTTCCATAGTGTGATAGGTGTGATAACTCCGCATGCGGTACAGGGGCCCCGTTCTAGCATTCTGAGCAACGCCTTTCTCACAGAAGTACTTGGTTCATGGACTTGGGTGGAAGCGCCCTGCAAGATTGAGAATGAACCACCGGCTAGTTGCATAAGTAACGTTATCTCTGACTAATCCCCCACTAACCGGAGGTCAGTGATGGGATTCCTGGAGCCTGGCTGCCATCAGATTGAGGCATGGAGACTGTCTCTTCTATTTCGGACGCAAGGCGCATGCGACAGGCGCCGATGTAGATGAAGCCTATGGGTGATCGAACCCTAGCCATCTACCACTGTTCGCTTCCCACGGCGCCAAATCGGATCAAAAGATAAGTGCACCATGCACACGGGCGGTTAAAGAATCCAGGCAGCCGACGCGGCTTCCGTACCCGCCGCTTTGTTGCTGAAACTACCCGCCCCCCTCGGACATCACTAGGCCGGGTTCTTTGGTGCCAAGAAGGGAGGAGACGTGCCCAAGCATAACACACTACAAGTAGACCGTCATTAGCCGAGACACTCGGCACTCTTACGCCCGCGACGCTCCTTCAAATGTTTACTTTGAGTAAGGCGGGCTAAAAAGTGCTTCAAAGACAAGTGAACCGCGGCTATCAGAAGCACTAGGATTCCGGAGATCACGGCAATGGGATTTGGCAAGTTGCATCAGCAGCTTCATGTTTGTTGCTTATCTGACTTGCTTTGAGGAGTGTTCCCCATAAAAAGCCGTAAAAGCTACCAGGTATTTCGTCAAGTCAGTACAAAAATATGCTTATACATTTGGGGCCAGGACGAGTAGGACGCTAATTCAAATCTATTCCCGCTCTACCCTGATCGAAAAATAAATAATCAAGGGAAGTTAAAGATCATATAGATATGGTTGTACTGACGCCATTCTGCAGTTCATGGGATCGATATTCCTGGTAATTCGAGACGAGGACAGAGAGGATGGCAGCGGCACCGTATGCCATCGCCGTTCTAGTCTGGGTTTACTTTCCGAGATGATTATGCCAGTATTCCCAGTATTTCCCGCCCTTCAACGCCAAGAGTTCATCATGATTGCCTCTCTGTAGGATGGATCCTTTCTCTCCGAGAACGATAATCTCCTCTCATCCACCAAAACAATTCTTGGCCTTCGTAGTAACAGCCGCGCAATTGACAACCGCGGGCCCTGCCCTCCAGAGAAGTTCCTAGACAAGTCAGCTTGTACCATACCGCTGGCATGTGATTCATACCTTCCATCAACCCCGCAAGGGGTTTCATAGCCCATCTCTCGTCCGGAAATGTCATCGTGTATATGCGCTTCCTTGCAGGCGTCTTCGATCTCACTCATCGTGGCTTCTCGTTTCCCAATGAGGATATTCTCTTTAACGGTAGTATCATAGATGTGGGGTTTTTGTTCAAGAATACCTATATGGTCCGGGATCCTGGCGTTGTGTTAATTGGAAGTAACATTTGAAGCTTTAGATGACTTACGAGTGGCGGTCGATCTCTCTAAGATCTTGGCCGTCCACTAGAACCTTACCACTATCAGGTTCGATTTGACCTGCTATTAGACCGAGTATCGTTGATTTTCCCACACCTGAAGGCCCAACAAGGGCCACTTTCTTTTTCGACGGAATCTCCAGGTTGAAGCAATCGAGCAGCACCTGGCCACCAAGGCTAACACTGACATCCCGTAACTCTATTCTACCCTCTATGCACCTTAATCGATTGACTGGCCCCTCCGAGTCCATGTCCATGATTTCCGCTACATCAGCAGCATCCTGTAAGCTCTTCATAATGCCTTGCAGGCCCTGTAACAGCAACGTTGCCGGAGTGGTAATCTGTTCCCAATGCGAATCGAAGACCGCAAGGTCTCCTGGGGTCGACGTCCCAAGAAAAACCTGCGCACAAACGACCAACACGCTGATCACGTGTCCGGCGTCTTCGGTCATGGTTCTGTAAGCCCAAGATGTGAGCGCCTCTCTGTGAAACTGGGATACTGATCGGTGAAGGCGCTCGACATTTTTGTCGTTCTCGGCAATCTGATGCGCGAGCTGGCCAAAGACAGCCGCCGTCCTCCAGCCTCTGATTTTGTCATCCCGATGCTCCTTGTGGAATTTCCGAGTGGCCAAAATTTGCCCATTGGTGCGGTAGGATCTTGCTCTCCCTCGTCTGAAGTTGATGAACAACACAATGAGACGTATAGCCATGATGGCTATTACGTGTCGTCCAAACTTACGTGCTGCAGCCGGAATAGTGACGCACGTTGCAAACAAAGCATCGACAGAGACCTCTACGAGAGCGTCAAAGGATAACCTAACACCTTGCGCATTGTCCACTGCATTGTGTAGCCTCGCCGGGTTGTTCTGCGTATGGAAAGCGGCATCCGCGCTCATGATTTTGGAAAAAATAGCTTTGTCGAAATTTTCTTCGCTATAGGCATTAAGTAAGAGCCACATCCACTGTTGGGGCACGCGTACTAAGAGCACGCAAACCCGCGAGATGGCCCACGTAACCAGAAGCGTGCTTCCGGGAGACCATACATCGTTATCTGCGAGGCCATCGATGATTCGACCAAAGGTTTGCGAAGACCAATGCTCGAGTCCCTTGCGGCCTAGATTCAGCGTCACTATGAAAAGAAGACGCGCTTTCATCGGGGCATTATCACTTGGCCAGATAAACCGCTTGAAGGTGCGGAACGAGTCCGTCCATCGTCCCAGATCGAAACTTATTCTGTGGATATTCTCGAAATTGACTTTGCCGGGCATAGTGCTCTGGGTTTTGCTCTGAGCTGGAGGTGTCTGACTGCTGCCTTTTCCCGGCCGAATGGAATAGTGCAGAATGGCGTAGAGAACGAGCATACTTTGCCGGGCATAGTGCTCTGGGTTTTGCTCTGAGCTGGAGGTGTCTGACTGCTGCCTTTTCCCGGCCGAATGGAATAGTGCAGAATGGCGTAGAGAACGAGCATCCAGGAAGCTAGAAACAGACTCAGGCATGATGAAGCGCTGGATTCTCGTGCCATAACGAGCTGCGCAATGTCGATACATTCTCTGACCAATCCTAAGTACCAAGCCCAGCGATAGGGTGCCCAGAGACGGGTCGAGTCGTCGTAGAGCCTGTCTACCTGGAAAACCCCTGAGGCCGCGAAGAGAACAGCGCACCAGACAGGAACATTGTCGGTATCTCGTCTCATGATAGATAAAGCCAACAAATGCAACATGTTGATCCATGTTATCGCCAGTTGCGCGCAGGAGGTCCGAAGAAAGAGCGCCGGAGGCGAGATACGGTGCTCCGGTGTTAAGGGCGCTATCAGTGAGAGTATAGCAGCCAGGAGTGAGCATGAAAGCCGCGCATGGTTGAGCATAATATGAGACATTGTTGTGATGGTGTGAGCAGGTAGGAAGGAGAGTATAGATCGAGGAAGGGGGATTGTTCTGAGTGAAGTAGCAATATCTGGGCATGCAGACTTCAGTTGGGTAGCCAAGGATAAACACGAGCGCCTCAAACTGTGAGCCTGATTCGCGTCCGAGGCATCGGACCGACATGCAAGGTTCTTTGCCTGCCATACACAATTCTCCTGGCTACCGTGACGAATGGGAGTCTTCGTTGGTAGGGGCTCTGGGAATGGCCTTGGGTTTGCCGTGGGTCATTATTATGCACGAGTGAGCTTTATGCGGCGTACGTAGACCCCGGACTGATATCATGTACGTATATCGAGTGTGTGTTGTGGCGCATTGAGACTCGGCTGCGTAGTCCAGGGGAAAGTGGTGACGATATTCGGCAATCCAAAGCCACCGGCCCAGCTCCCTCTCAATTTCTTGTCATGCAAACGTCCCTGGACTCCATCGGACAGGTCTTTGCCTTCATTCAGGCGGCTGGGCTACTCCATCAACCTAATCAACTGTTCGTGTTTCGACGAAGCCTTTGGTGGTTTGGCTGCCCTTTCGAAGAAAGATTCGTTTCTGGTACTTTTAGTCAGGTTACTGGTGGGCTCCTATATGCGCATCTCAGACACAACGCGTGGGATTGGTTCGTATGTCAGACGATGGCCACGGCTGGACGCCATCGTAGATTCCTGTTTTGCGCCAGGCTGAGCTTCCTGTATCAACAGTAGACGACTACATTCTCACTTAACGCTCGGGGGAGGCAATAGGGCGGGACCGTGGATCCTCCCGTCGTGTGGAGGCTGCCATGGCGGATACGGTCTAAGAAGGACCTTTCCAGGAGACGCTTCATATTCCGGACGTACAGGTGTTCGTCGGATGCCCCGCGATTGGACAAAATAAGCCATGGATAACACCAGACACCACCCCAAAAGATACCGCCAATTCCTCCTTGAAAAGAGGTTATCCTTGTTCTTGTCGTCCGTCGGCGAAGGGCAAGGCTCCAACGGCCGGCCTACAGACCCTGGCACATTGCAACAAATCCGATGCGGCTCGTCTGCAGCCCACCCAATGAGGAACGTAGCATGCACACTGGCGCGATTCCGACGGTCACCAGGAATACGCTGATCAGATGAAGGGGGGTGGGTGTACGGGAAGAGGGGGCGTCAGAGGAGACCACTCGCAGTGACGAAAAAGTACTTGACAGGGATCGCGGTCATGGACCCGGAAGCAGGGGGGCAAGGTCAGAGGCAGCAGGCCAAGGCGAGTCGGGGGCGTGAGGTACCCAACGGAGCACTTACGCTATGTTGCAGTGTTAGCCGAGAGATGTATCGTCTGCAAGACCAGCGAGTCACAGCCTGCAGCCCTGTGCGGATTATCTGAAAAGTCGGAAAGCTCAAAGCCTGTTCCAGCCGCGTATCCAGCCGCATACCAGTAGTATAGCGGGGATGATCTCCGTGTCAGTTATCGATAATCCGGTCTGCAGATCGTTCGAGACCGACTCCACCTTAGTAGCACGCCTGCCTCAGCTATTGATTCGTCCCGAACGAGCTAGCACGGCGTCACACAGCAATGTTGGCATCTTTGCGAAGTATGTGGTTGCCGTCTCCAAGAGACAGATTTGTAAAGCGAGGCGAGCTACGACCTCGGTGACCTGAGCATGCTGCTAAGGCCTGTCCGACCAAGGGGGTGACGCGAGGTATCTCTACATGGCTTCCAGATGGACTGTCCCTGTTGGGATACAACCTTGACGGGCGGCCTGAGAACGAGCCCAATTGGTGCTGCTGATCAAATGTTGGCGACCCGGCTTGAAGTCAAAGACTACATGGCCATGCTTTTTACCGCCCTACGGACCATCGCAGCGCCGAGGTCAGAGCCTAGAACCATTCTCGACTTGCACTGATCCCTGCTCCCACTCAAAGTGAAGTTGACGGCAATCGTCACCCACGGCGTCTTTGACCACTACTCTGTCTTCGGACGCCTCTCGTATCCAGCCGCGATCACTATAGGCATCTCCTAGTCCTACACCCACGACGCTCGCGCTTCCGTACCTCAACTCTCAGTTGGGAAGTGCACAAAGACGAACCGATATCATGGAGGCATATTCGAGAGGCGATGAGACGGCAGATCCTCCTAGTATTTTGGAACACTCAAGCCTAGAACGCTCAGGGAGATTCGTCCCTGGCATTAGTTCTTTTTCTGTCACCACTTCCGGTTCTGGAGACGTGATGAACGCATCGCGGCCCTTACCACCACCACAACTCCCCTTCGGCAATCTTCACGCGTATCACCAAGAGCCCGGACAACCACAACCCTACTGCAATCCATACAGCCTCAGGAAGTACAGTTATCATGACAGCTTAGGAGGCTCGCATTACAAATCACCATACACGGAGCCCGCTTATAGGAATGATGAGGGTTATCTCGGCACAGGTTCGTCTTCAGCTTCGGCTTCCACAAGGTTCGAGACCCCAACTTTCCTTTGTTGTTTTGTTTGGTTCCAAGAAAATGTGAAGCTCTTAGAATATCGAGAGCAGGTGTCCATCTGACTATTCTGCTTCCATAGACCTAACTACCACCTGCCCAGCATCCCGGCCGAGTTTGGTCTGCACCATAACCAGTTCCAGCTCCATATTAGCGCCGACCCCTTCTTTGGTATGGAGAATAAGCTTCCGCTTGTGAAAAGGTTCGATACTCAGGGGCCTGGCCCGCACCTTAATGCGTCAAGCGCATCGTCAACTAGCGACACCTTCTCGAAGCTGTCCGGCGACATTAGCGTCCCGCCACTCTCCGTGCCCACCAGCCTGCCGTTGCACCTCAAAAAGTCGAACCTCCTGGATACGCAGACTCCCAGCTCTGCCCTGTCAAAGCCAGCCATTCCATCTTGGTCAGGAATATCACTCGCCGCCAGCTTACGAAGGAACAACAGCGACGATGGCTTACCGCACAACCACGAGGCGCATGAGATGGAGATGAAGGAGAACAATCCTGCGAAGTGATTGCGGATAGACGACCCTATGAGGGCGCACTGCGACGAAACTGGGGCGAAGCGCCGTACATCTATGAATCCCGACAACACCGTATCACTTGCTGTCACACTTCTAAGTGACTCACTACATCGCCACGACGAAAGCCAAAGAGGATCACCTACGCGTCAACTAAGCGTCATTCCTCAACAACCGGCCTTTTCAGTGTCGGCGTGTTCCACGGCGTCTCACAGCTCGGATTCACACCTGCATACGAGGAGCATTGCCCGCATAGGTTTGTCATATGGCCAAATTTCTCTAGGCGAACCGTCTCCGGGAGCCATTCCGTCCGGCAGAAATGATGCCATGTGCATCTCTCCTCATGATGCATTGATGTCGTTGAACGCCTCGCCTCGCGGTCCCATTCCTAGAGCAACCTACCAGCGGACCACTAGCAATGACGGGCCTCTAGCTTCTCCGCGCAAGCCCACAGAAGCGAGCAGGCCTGATGAGCACAAGATCTTGAGGGGATTCTTATGCGACTGTTGCCCGAAGAAACCCAAGAAATTCACTTCGGCCGAGGAATTAGCGTCAGTAACAAGCTTTCAGACATTGCGAGATCATTTGATCATGAGCTGATTATGTGCAGGTCTCATGAAGCCGAAAAGCCGCATGAGTGTTCGTTCTGCGGAAATCGATTCAAGAACAAGAACGAGGCCGAACGCCATCAAAATAGTGTTCATGTTCGGGGCAAAAGCTGTAGTTGCTCGGCTCTGAATGGCTATGATCAAGCTTTCCACGATAGTACGAATCGTCCCGGTGAAGCAGACTCTTGTGGTTTCTGCGGTGAGGAGTTTCTCAAAGAAGGGAGAGGCTCAGGGGATCACGCTTCGCATCACGGCACCGAGCAGGACTGGGATGAGCGTGTCTACCACCTTCGAGAGGTCCACAAGTTCCGAGAGTGTAACTCGAGCAAGAAATTCTTCCGTGCGGACCATTTCCGTCAGCACCTTAAACACAGCCACGCAGGCACAAGCGGTACATGGACGAATGCGCTAGAGAACGCCTGCATACTGATAGAGGATTCAGCTGCGAGATGAACCTAGATGTCCCAGGCGTGACTTATCAACAAGAATTAGCTAGAAACTATCATTACATTTACACGGTCATACACCGGATTCAAAACCTCGGGACATAGAACCGCGACTTGGTGTCGACGCGCTCAGCTCATACGTCTGCCCATGGCGGAACGATTCGATACCGAGCCGGCGACGCGCAGGACTTTCAGAGTTTTTTTCTCGCTTGAGATTTCTTTGCATGAGATAGCAGAAAACTCTCGCTTCAAGGCTAAGCTCTAATTTTTCTTGTCAGCTTATAGGCATCACAAGTTTCAAGAGCGTTCTGTTGAGGCATGCGGGCGGTATTCACAAGTTTAATGTGCTGGCCGGTTGGAGACATGCATGTCTAAGACACCGACTGGTCTTCATTGGGGGCTTCTAATATGAGTTTAACACACTACAAAGGTAATCACCGAAGGAATCGACGGCACGGCCGGGTGCGAACGGCTGCTATTTTTGGGACGAACTTTTTGATTACCAACAACAGTTCGATGATGCTGGGCAATAGTCCTCGTTGGAAAGAATTTCGCTCACAGACACGGTTGTCTGCTCTAATCGTCCATCCTGTTCTGGGCTCGCTTTGTCTTCACACGCACGGTCCGGTTACCGTCTCGGGCCCCATCCGTCCCATACGGACCTGCAAGCTCCCGGGCCTGACCCGCGCCCCACACCGGAACCGCGTCTCGCTGCCCTCCTCTGTACTACCTTACCTTCCAATCGGGTCAGCATTATCGTCCGAACCCACCGTGTGGTTCGGACCGGGAGTAACAGGAACCGCCCTCCCCTTTCCCAACGCACATATACGAAAAAGGCAAGTTGCACAAACCACACAAACCGCACGCCGGCATTTGGTGACGATCACACGTCCGTCTGATGAGACAGCAGAATTCCGTTCAACAAGATGAAACAATATTATGCTCGGGAGACGTAAAAGGGGAAAAGAAAAAAGAAAAGAAAAAAAAGTGTGCGCGGTACAAAGATAGAACCCAGAAGCCAGGTGAGAAACTGAAAAGCAGCTTCTTACCGGGCCGGTGTGAGGGAGGGGGAAAAAAAAGGAGTGGGAGTTTGATGGAGTTTTCCGTAAGCCCAATAGCCTACCTTAGACACACTCAGGGTACCAGAAAACAGAAGGTCTCAGGATTCGAGTGATCCCACGTCATCCAGAGAGCCCCTAAACATCGACGCCCGCAATCTTCTCAACCCTGAATTCCGTGTGGCTGGCTGGAGCTCGGGGATGATCTCTGGTGGGCTAGAACTACCTTACGGGCCTTCCTATCCTCCAAGGGTTAGGTCGGGGTTGGTGGATGGATTGGAATGCACTCCCTTTCGGTCAACTTTTGTGCAGAAAGGCTGTGCAACGCAAGGCAACGCAACCATCGTGCCACCCACCACCAAACGCAACGCGTACCTGGGAATCGGTCAACCTTCATTCAGAAAACCAGTTCAAAACATTGTTCCAAGGCCGAAACATGTCAGGGGAAGCGGAAACGGCCGGCGTCGTACAGAGACCTCTTTGACTGACATTTGACCCCGACTTTTCCTAACAAGACTGACTTAACATGTTCCTCCTCTTTTGACTCAGACTCAAATCAAGTTTCGACTCGAACTCGACTGCTGATACGCTCCTCCCACGTGAACGAACAACTGCAAGCAGGAGAAAACGAGGAAATTGCGTGACGCAAACGTGACGAGAACGTGGCTCAACGTTCGCGGCAGGCAGCGCCAAGGGAGAGGACTCCCGTCAGTTGACTTTCGTCATGTGTTAGTGTTGGTCTTGTCGGAGCCCTTCCCTTATGTGGCGCAACTGATTACATCACGCAACAACTCTTCATAAATATGATGATGATCATCCTTTTCTTTTGTATAACGCTCTCTCATGCTGATTATGCTCGGTCGACATTTTCCTGTGGCTGTTCGCTCCGCGGTGGGGAGGAATCGATATAGCTTCGTACCCAAGATTATAACGCACTCGTAACTTCTGTCTGAAAATTCCACACGCGCTTAAATGTGGTTCCCTGACACAAACATTCCCATACATCATCTCCATATAACCATGTCTCGGGTTGGGGGCCTAGAAGCCTGTTCCACCTGCTCACCTGACCCCTTCAAGAATAACTCCCGCTGAACTGGGGTAACGGGTCGCCACCGGCCATCTGCGTATAGAAGGGGGGCTTGAGCATGTACCAGTCACCAGTATTGGGCGCGCAGACCATCCCACCCGTCGTGAACTCCAGAATGTCCTCAAGCATAGTGCCGAATCGCTGACCTTGGTTCTGCTGCACAGATGAATCGATGCTGACTGTCTCGGCATTGACATTAGCCATCGCAGCCTCATTTGATAGGGAGCCGGGAGTTGGCGGGAAACCCTGAGTCGGTGAGTGCTGTGGAATGCTTCCGGCATAGCCTTCATGACCGGCTTGCTGGTGGAATGCGGCGGCGTTGATGGCGGTAAATGACGACGCTTGGCGGGAATCTCTCCGGCTGTCCGAACCGCTTCCGCTGAGATGAGAATACTCGGGGCCCAAGGAAGAGCTCCTTTCCAATGTGCTAGCCCGCGATCCATCGGAGCCGTCGTAGGCTGTTGGCCGGTCGTCGTCCATGATGATGCCATTGCTCGTAATCTTGTCGGCCTTTGCCCTCCACTCTTCCAGTCCGCCGCCACCTCCTCCCAGTCGAATGGTCAGAGAACCATTTCCGCTCTTCTTCGAACCTCGATTTGTGTAGTCAGAGTAGACCTTGGTGAGATACCGATCAATGTCCTTGAAATACGTGACGTAATTGGAGGCCATGCTGGAGTAAGGTGCAACCTTGGTCAATGCTTGGAAAGCGATACTGGTGTTCCCCGTCTGCGTGTTATCAGACATGGCCCCCGAATTACGTTCTTCGATCTCCTGTTTGCTAACCATGTGATTTTGGGTGTCCATGTGAGGGTAGTGCCGTGCATATATTCCCACAAACGCTGCTTGCCAAATTGCGAATATGACTAGTGACGAATGAGGAAGCTTGTCTCGGCATGTCGAGATGAGGTCGATGATTTCCCTTCCAGCCTTGAAAACCTGCTCTGCGCTGCGCTCCCAGAAGTGGTTGGGAACAGTTTCGGGGTCAAAGGCGGGCTTGTCCAGAGGACCAACCGGCTCGGAACATTTGATGGCGATGAACGGGATGTATTCGCGATGCAGCATGATTTTGCATAAGGCACCCAGCATGTGAAGTGACACATACATGCTGTTGTCGTGTTTCCAGAAGTTCGAGCTAGACCAGGTGAACTCTTCCGGAAGGTGAGCGTAAAGGGCATCCACCTTCTTATTCAATTGATAGAAAGTCGACTCTTGGCCCCACGGTGGAAAGGATTCCGTATGGCGGCCGCCCGCGAAACTGTACTTGGTGATATCGCCCCAGAAATCTGCTAGTTGCACGAATCGACTCAAGACACTGTCATCGATTGGTGGCTCCATGCCATGTCCCACATGTCGTAAGAATCCGGTAGAGACATCTCGGCCTAGGTCGAAGGCGTGTTCAGTGCATGGCAGCTGGATTTGAAGATCGTCGGACCGAACCATAGAAACCCGATCAGATCCGCAGGATAGGAGACGATCCAGTATCAAGCAACTGAACATGGTACGACGCCTGATCTCCTGGTCTTTCCAAAAGTCGGAGGGTCGCTGGGCAGACTTACTTGACCGAAGAGACAAGGCCAGAGTTCTCTTGTCGCCCAAAGGCTTGTCTCCAGACCCCAATTTCAAGCCTTGAGCCATCTGTATGGCAACGCCAACATACATCCATGCAGCCAAGCCGCCATTCGGCTGACTCCATTTGTACAAGCCGAGCATGAGAAAAGCTTGAACGCGGACGACAGTAGCTGGTGTCAGAGCTGATTCGAGTTCTCCCAGTGCCTTTGTCAGAGCGTTTGCGAAGTACTCTGAGGCCATTGACGGCTCCGAACTGGGTAGAATACCGCGAGACTTGGAGTCCGCGACTTCGTCGTGTGTGATATACCCCACATGTTTAACCAAGTCGGGATGAAATCTCGCAGTAAGAGCTAGAATACCTAATAGAATCAGATTTGACTCGGTTGACGGCTTCTTGATGTCCTTGTCGTGAATGATGCCCTTGAGAGTTGGGAGATGCAAAAACGGGAGTTCGGTAGCGAAGTGCAGCTTATATATGTCGAAGAGTTGATGCCATAAGTCGACGGTAAGATAAGGTGCCGAAAGCACTTCCTGAGCAAGCGCGGCGACAGTACGTTCATCAGAGTACGTTGCAACTTCGAGCTTCTTCAATCGCTTACGGTCATGCCCGATTTCCCTTACCTGCTTCGGCGCAGTCGGAGCCTTTGATCGTTTCGCCGGAAGAGGTGTTGGATCAGGAAACTCGCACTTATGTCCTGCCTTGATGCATGTGTCGCAAGGTGACCCAGTGTTGTCGTTGTCGCATTTGATCTTGGATTTCCTGCATCTCAAACAAGCTATGCTGGATCTCATCGGCGGCCGCATGGCTCTAGAGGATCTTTTGGCACTCGAGCCTCCCGCCAAGATTGGCCTCAAGTCATCGTCGTCGGGCAGGACGGATGTGTGGAATCTGGCCCCTCCTGAAGCCTGCCTATCTTCGGACTCTGCTACTGCGGGGGGCGCGGAGGTTCTCTCCGATGGTGAAAAGGTTTCTAGATACCCCCTCTTCAGCGTGATGTGAGTAGAAGGCGCTGTGGGTGCGTCACGGGAGTCCGGAGCAGGAGAGAGTAAAGAATGAATAACAAGTTGGGAAGGCATTGTGACGGTTGGGTCTGCTACGGACCCGTGGAGCCAGCAAGGTGGACAGGCGACTGGGGGCATGGATGATAGAGAGGGTGAGATGCGCAGAGCTGAAAGGTATCAATGGCCAATACCTGTCGAGGTAAAGCTCAAAGTACTTCAGATAGCACAGTCGACTGGACACTGGCTGTTGACAGATCGCAACTGACAGGTTTCTGCTGCGAGTGGTACACGATGAGTTTCTAAGCGGGGTTAGGATTGCAAGATAGCCAAAGGACCTGTAGCTGAACAAACGTCTTCTTTCTGCTTTCTGGAATTGGAGAGCACAAGTTTTAGCGGTAGTTGGCGCCGAGAAGCCGAGGTCGGTCGATAATGTTGGGATGAAGAGAGTTGATCTGCTGGAAATGGCCAAGTGCAAAACGAGAAAACCAGTGATGGGGATTGGAAAGTCAAACGAGGTGGAGTGTGGCCAACTTAAACAAGAGCAATCACCCTACCGCTCACGTGCCCGCGATGCAGGCTAAGGAGGGTGGGAACGTGGTTTGTTTCTAGCCACTGTGTTGTCGGCCCCCGGATTGAGTGTATGCCCGTTTTCACAGGCTATCACTGCTTGCTCGCCCTTCTTCGCCTGTTTTTTCTCCTATTTAGCCGGCCTCTTCCGCTTCTCAATCAGGGACAACTCCCGGCATTTTTTTTTTTTTAAAGACCCTGAGATCAAGATGTTCTAATGTCTTTCCCGACGCCTTCGTCCAGGGCGCTGTGTTATCTATCTTCCCCTTCCATATTCATCCCACGATCTCCGACAAGAACACGCAATCGCGAACACCTGTTTTCGCTGACAGTAGAGCATATAGAAACCTTTAAGTACCGCTAGAGCTTTGATCTCGCGCTTTCAGCCCTTGACAGATCTAGGTGACTGCGGAGATGGGTGTCAGTCAGAAGCCTCAAGTTGTCTTTGAGGGCAATTTCACGCATTGATACCATCTCCACGCCCAGAATGCATTTAAGGAGTAGCCACCGTCCAATTGATTTTGATGCTAGAGGTCATCGTGATATTTCTCCGCATTAAATGATGACAGTTGATCAGAATAGCCGCGACGGAAGAAACCAGACAGGCATGAAAAATGAGTTAGAGAATGAATACCAACCAAATACGAGCAGTTGGTTTGCCTCTTCAAAGCCCACCGCCGCCTCTCCTCGTGCCTATATTCGTGTGTACCAAAATCTTCCTCAAAGCCTCACCGTCGCCGGAAATGTCTGGACGACATGAAATGTGAAATTCGATACGTCATTCAATTGAACTCGCCGAGTCAACAGCGATCTGTGCAGATTCGTCTTGCCTAGTTGATTATATATCTTGAAGCTCTCTGGAGGGTTGAGAATCAAGATAGACTTCCGTGGCAGAGTTGCAGAGGAGGTGCGGTTGCTCCGCTGCATTGTGGTGTATAGAGGGCATGCCAGTGGACACGTCGAGCTCTTCAAGATATTGAAAGTACTTCGCGGTGGCTGGTGTAGTCTCACAAGCTTCCTCATGACGCTGAGAGGCCCTCTCGAACACAGCCATAATATAGATCAGTGCTGCGGCTGACACCTTCCAGATCATAGAGAAAAGGGACACGAGGTGGTTCAGTTGGCCAGAAGGTCCTCGTATACTTTCTGGTTCACATCGGCGGGTGGAGCACTCTGGGAAGTGACTATCGAGATGGCAAGCTTCTCCACAGAGAGTACACGTATCTGTTGATCATCTTTGTCAGCAAGGCAACAAGCTGCGTAGGTCAGGGAGTTGTTACTTACGGCGCAAGAGGTGAAGCTTCAGGTGGCTCTCTCGCATGTAGGTCTCGTTACAGTGATGGCAATGAAACTTGCCACAGACATTCTTGACCGGATCGAATGTGCTCTTGGCATTGTAGGTGCGAGAGGTAGTGACAGCAGGGCAGCGAGAAGCGCTGCAAAGAAGGCTCCAGCAACCGTGGGAGCCGACGGCGTGCGTGGGCCGTTCGACCTCATCCATGCCATTGGACATAACACCGCCACAGCCATAGGGAGAGTTCTCATCGGGCTTGGGCATAACACTGTCAGTAGAGACAGGACGCAAGGCAGGAAGGACGTGTCCAGACGTGGGAACAGGCGCAGTGAGCCGCCGGAAAGAGGAAGCCATGGTGGTCTGGGCCGGGTGAGAATACCGGCCCATCTGCTGGCAAGAACCGCGGTGCTGCTGCTTTTGAGTCAGATATGACGACATGGTGGCCTGGAAGCTCGTGGTATTGGTACTCGTTGGAGTGTGAGGAGCATGAGGGTTGATGCCGTACACCCGCATCAGGACGGCAGATGGCTGCGGCCTCAAGGGCGGCAGAGTCTCGCGAGGCAGCGATGGGCTGTTTTGCTGCATTGGACGAGGCATAATGGCCGGTGGTGGCGGGCAGAGGACCGAAGTCGTGTTTATACCAGTGGTAGTGTACTGAGAAGCGTCAATGCTATCTGCGGCAGATCTGTTGATCTGTCGTCGCGAAGACACGCAGAGCTACTAAGACGGATTGTCACGCGTATACGAGATTTGCCGAGGGTCTCGTGTAAGTATATTGTAGGGCAATGCCAGTCAAGTCGTTGATTGAGTTGAAGTTTTTGCCGAAGACGGAAAGAGAGAAATTTGGGTGCGGTGATGTACTGTCGAGGAGTTAATGAGCATAAGCTTTCCCAGTGATGGTGTGAGGCTCCGGGTAATATCGCGTTGAATATTGTCTTGTGGAGGGTCAAAAATGAAAATTAGGCACCGATCCCCTTGTTTTCGCCGTTTTCCTAGCGCTTGAATCGAGCAAAAGAAAAAGAAGCCTCCACGCGAAACCCCGAAAATTAAATCTGCCGGGCATTTGGCGCCGCCGAAAGATGAATTGTGAGAATGGGTCATGTATGGGAGGGAAAGAAGTCTACCTCGCCAAGGTGGAGTCAAAGATGTGCCTCGTGGTGATTGTCAAGAATGGCCCCTTCGCGCGCCCGTGTGCGAGGCGGGGATGACAAAAGGGCAAGGAGCGCAGGGCGTGGTCACTTCTGAGTGGAGTAATGCTACAGAGACCTAGTTGAAATAGCAGAGCAGCACAGCTGAATGAAAATGGCCTGATTCCGTGAACCTCGTCCGTCTGTGTTGAAGGTTCAGCCACTCCATATCTCTGGCCGAACCCCACGCGGAAGAAAGACGAAGCGGTCAGAGTTGTTGCGAGCAGCACAGATCGACGAGGCAGGGATACAAGAGCTGTTTCCAGATAGATGACCGTGCAGTGCTCCATGGCCGACAAAAAGCGCAGATGTTCTCATGAGAGTTCCATTAGTTGAAGTCCCCACCTGGCTGCTCGCACTGCTCAGCGGATGGCAGGAGACGGCGTACTGGAGCAGGGGTGGACGAGTACCTGCTTGTATCGACCAGCCACGTCTGGTTTGTCGCCATACGAGGCTAGCGTGTGGGGAGTGCCCACCATGCGTACATACGTAGTAAGGTAGTAAGAGATGAGGTGGGCTCCGGGGTGTGTCGATTTCTCCCTGCTGATTCGGGGCGTGGACGCGAGTAGTGGTGAGGGGTGTGCGCCCGTTCCTCTGATCAGCCTGCTTGCTGCAGGGGGTGTGAACTTGAACGACTGGTGTCGGTATATAAGTCCGCCCATCCACCAGGGGCCCATTCTGAAGCGCGAATTACCTTCCAGATGGTGCCGATCCCTGTCGCGCGGGTCATTGGCCATTGCGACAGCATATCAAAATCGGCGAGCGTACTAAGGTGACAGCAGAGAGCAGGACTCGTAGTCGATGGTGCATCGAAACAGGATGTGGCGCTGGCTATCCTGTAATGCCCTCACGCCGCCGGATGAGCTTCCCCGGAGTATGGACTGTCCTCTAGCCAGTTGGTCGTCCGCCGGTTTCTGACGATCAGCGAGACGCTGATGCTCCTGCAGCGGCCGCCGCTTCAAAGCGGATAGCAGCTGATATTGCATTGGCATGCGCTCACGCTATCCGCGGGTGGAGACAGCGAGTTGCCCAACGCCGCTACTTCCGCCATCAACTGCCAGTTGACGGGACATGCTGCTGGGGACTTGTGTGACACCGCCCCTACCCAGATGCGCGATGGCCCTTTTTGCGGAACTTTCTGCGCCCTCGGAATGATTTTTTGATTCCCCTGATTACGTTCCTCATCGTCTGTCATCTGTAAGACTGCAGTCGTTTCGGTGGCCATTTTGGCTCTGTGTGTTCCGGTTACGATTCTCATGTGGTCTCTGCTCGGGATCAGTGTCCCAAGGGCCAAGTACGTGAGTGCAACCCAGATGCTTCCATGCGCAGCCCAGTCTAGACCTAGACACAAAATAGATGATGCTCAAATGTTCTCAGGTTAGATTGGTTACTCGTACCGCTTGCATCGTCATCCTGGAAGGCGTCGTGCTGGCGCTGGCCATTCGACTCGCGACATGGTGCCCGTCATACCTGCGATTGATACGTGTATCCGCCCTCACCAGTGGTGCGCTTGCTCAGCGGCTCCTTTTGGCATGCTTGAGACCATACAGAAGGACCGATACCACGGGTAGCCACTACGCAATGTGCGTTATCGCAATCATGATGTTCGGGATCTCAGGAATCAGCAATTCATCCATAGTACGTGTTCTTCAATCCTGCTGAACGCGCTCTAACCGACTAGTAGACCTTGCTTTTCAGCGCTCAAACGATGTCCATGGTAATTTTGGATACGTACTTGTGTCGAGGCGATAGAATTCTTGACTCTCCTCCAAATGTCGTGTGTTAACTCGTCGTCTGCAAGGCCTGTGACGACGGTTCATACACATGCTGAAAAGCCTGACGGTCCATACACTAGTCGGTGAATGTAAGAAAAACAAGGAGCATGAAGATGAGTCGAGGCGGGTGGTGACAAATTGGGATTGGGCGCGAAAGAAGAATGAATAGCCATTAGCGGGCTAGCTGGTCGAGGTTCCGGTCATAATCGACGCAGCTAGACTTTTGCGTTCTGCTAGATCACAAGTTTATTGCTCACTATGTCCTATCTTCATCTCTCAATACCGATGTTATCTGGTCGTAATATCGCCGCTCTCACCAAGGAACACGATATGCTCTCATACCGCCGTCAACCAAGTCTTGCTGCCGCTACGTCAAAGTTCCGCATCGAACCACGAGTTCGCACGGAATCGCCCGTCAGTCTTGTCATACTGCAACCACACGCCCGACTTGGCAATACGACAGCCAAGCCAGAGGCACCGGTCCATGCGCTCCTGCAACATCCAGCTAGTCAGTGGACCCGTCTTGTTGGTGTCTGCTCCGATTTTGGAGAACCATTCATCGGGGTAATATGTTTCAGTCCACAGAAACCCCCTCAGCGCAAAGTCCTCGGGCAGTGGCCGAGCATCCCGAGACGCGGAGTGCGGCAAGTCATCCGACTCAATCTTCTGGACGGATGAACATGATTCCATGGCGCTATTAAGACATAGGGAGATCTTCTTCCAGGGCATCTTCTCCTCCATATAGGCCATCGCGCCGGGGAACTGTGACATGTGGTGCAAGAACACCAGGGTGACATGCAGGTAGGGGTACGCCATCTCATCGCCAGTGAGGTCAAACACAGCTCTATGGGCACAGGAAAGAAACTCAAGCGCGTCGTTAAATCTTTGAGTTGGAACGGTTTGCCTCTCGTCGCAGTTTGGGGTGTCGCTGACTGCCATGTCTAATTCGTCTCCACGTCCTTGTTTGATGATCCTCATGATCGGGTTGCTCTCGCTACCGTACTCAAGTAGAGCGCAATGCAGGACGATGGATATGTGGTATCCATGCTCCGTCCACTGGCAAGCAGATGCAGCAAGGTGTCTAGTCAAGACTTCCGACTGGGCAATGAACTGATTATGGTCCTTCTCAGAGAACAGAAGACCGTGGGCGCGTACGAAGACAGTGGTGATATCCAAAGCTCCGGTCAACTCCTCATCGTGGAGAGGTACGGTGATAGCGACTGGAGGCTCCTGCTCCATACAACCGAGCTCGTCCGCGTCGTGAGTCGTGATATCAATCATCACCATGTCGGAATCCTCTAGATCGACTCGCAAGGCCACATCTATCATGTAGGCGGACTCCGGGTGGTCATGCTTCTCAATTCCGTCGTCTGCGCGACTCAGATCAAGAGATACGGCCATCTCGTTCGGCAACTCGATGTCAGGAGTCTCATTGAAGTCGTCCGAATTTGTGTTGACCACAGACGTTTCGAAGAACCCGTTCAGATTCCGTTCGAAGAACATCGCAAGGGAATCACGAGCGTCTAGGAACGGAACTCGTACACAGAGAGACTTTGTGTAGAAGAAAAGCTGCTTGAGAGTATTCGGTTTCGCACAGGCTGCTAGTCTGTGATAAAGACGGCCGATCGAAGGAGACATAAGACTAGCCTCAGAGTACCATTGACGTGTAGTTGATGTCCAGACTTCACGGTTCTCGAAGTGATCGTCTTCCATAGCGATCCTGGAGTCATCAGCAGGTAGCGACGCCGCAAAAGCCATGTTGCTCACCGGTATGCTCCCAGATCACCAAGATGTTCATTCCAAGCATATTCAAATCCTGGCGCCATTTGACATAGCAGGACCATGATGAAACACGCCAAATCGATGAAAGTATAAATATGGTCGCGTGATTCAGGCAAACAGCCGTTTAGTCTTATCAATAAGGGACTTATCCCCTTCTCCCACAAACGCGCGGGAATTGCATACTTGCTCGCAAGCTCACGCATTTTTGGACTAGCAGAGTCATCCTGCGTGGTTGACAAAAAGTCATAGTACTCACACAGAAGTGTATAATGACATGCGACAATGCCCTTCCATTGCTCATGACTGAGCACTGAGTCCGGTTGAGAATATTGAGTGGTGATGGCCTCGTAGCGTTCGTTCTCCGCCACCACAAGCCTATCATAAATGACTCGGACTTCGTCGATAGATGCAGTCTTCGTCTCGCTATATGTGGCGGTTGTGTTGTCGAGCATGCTGCCCGGGGGAGGCACGTGGTCAATTGCAGGCGACTTTCGATTTCGGCTGTGCTTCAGGTGGTCGAATTGATGCAAGTACCCGCCCGACCAATGGTACTCATGCAGGGCTTCCTTTACAGACCTCGTCACACGTTGATTGTTCATTGTGCGGAAGCTGACACTATGGTCAGTGCGGTCAGTTGATCGGCCACCTTCGGCTAGTAAATAGGTCATTGTCTGCTTCAGACAGTGCCGGGCTGAGTTGTGCAAATGGCGAGTGGTGCAAAACGACGAAGATTCCGACAGATGGGACCTGAACTCTGTTGGCAGTGCGGTTCGTTTGGTCTGGCACTTCGCCTCTTGGGAGACCAGAGCTTTTGCGTCGGAGGCAGTAGCGAGGTCTTTATAGGTACAATATGTACCCTAGTGGACACCTTGGGGGAGGAAAAGAACACAGGACGCAGCTGATCGGACTGAATCTGTGGTGCTCGGGCCGATCAACACCGGGTTACCATGACCCTAAAGTATGGTGTTAAGTAGGCAGCCGCGCGAGTTATAACGAATCACACACTTTACGGCGTCTCGAAGACGAACCTGATTAGTTTTCGTCGCCCAGGGGGTGGGGGGGCTATCGATCGCTAAGGCTCAGCTCCTAACCTAGCATGCGATTCAATGGAGTATGCTAGATCGTCTTATGTAGGGCCGGCACCTTTGAGCGAAGAATGAACATAACCCTGTAAACGAACTGGCCTTTTCCCTACGACATTGGCCAGGCAATCAGCGGCTTGGAGACGTACCTGATTGCATGACTGCTTTCCGGGCGTGGTAGGGGGGCACTAGTGGTTCCATAGCCAAGAGTTGACTCGGTTCAAATCAGGGCAGCTGCCTATAGCTGCGACGCACCCTGATCCTTGTCAGGGACAACAAACCAAGTTCTAAAAAGGCGATGTTGATGTCGCAGCGTGCTGGTCGCTCGTACACTTAGGGGGAAGCCATCCATGGACGAAAGTACTCTTCCCTATCCGTATACCTCCAGCATCCGTCTGCCTCGCCAACAAGCCCAGCAGGGATGCTTGCGGCTAGGCGTTCTGACTCTCAAGGCTTTGATCTTAGCCCTCGAAGATGTCATGCCGGTGCAATGCCCGAGTGTGCGCGCTTGTGACGCCGTACTCCTGAGTCAAGCCCGAAGCCTCGACCCTTTGTGATCAGAAAGCAGTGGCCAGGCGGGCGCGTGCTAAATTAGCCCAACGCCCACGGCCCCTGCCGCTTGACCCGAGCACCGCGCGCACGCTGTGTGTGAACAAACGGGAACACATCTGTACTGTATGTCGTGCGTTTGTTCGTCCGTTATTCTGGCAGGTAACGCGTTCATCCGTTACAAGCTCTTATGAAGCGGCTAATCAGAGTATACTTGGTCTATAGGGGTAAGTTCAACCTCCCTACCAGGTAGCGTGGGTCTGGCCAGGGTAGAGCAGTGACTCTAAATGGCCATATTTATGTTCGACGTGCACAAGAATCTCGAAAGTAATACTGCTGATGTAATCTCGAGAAGCACGGGCGAAGATACCTGACAGGGAGGTTAAACTTTGGCCTGATACCGTAGTAGCCTAACATTCATTCCCCCCTCTCTTGGGAAAGGTGCTCATTGTGAGTTTCGTCAAGGCCTGCCCATCAGAAACTAGAGTTGCTGATTTCGTGGTTGTGATCGTCCTACGTAACACTGTTATGAAAGGGGCCGTTCAAAGTCATCAGCAGACGGTCATTTTGACCATGGCGTTGGCTCCAATAAAGATCGATTGGCACAAAACAGAAATGCTTGCGAACTCGGGATGGACTGATTGATGACTGAGCTCCCTGTCAGGGTTGACGATGACCGTTTTTGGTCACTCCGGCTTTCGCTAGGCGGAATCAGCTTGCACCGCGGCGGCGGAGGGCTCTCTGTCAGGACTTGCCGTAATCAAGTCATCAAGATTCTGAAAAACTCAGGGCCCACAGCTTGGGTATGGCCTGTCAGCCGGGTGGGGTGGGACGGGGTGGGACTGAGTGGGTGGGTGTGGCATTGGTATATCCGTATGTAATGGGTGCTCAGGGGTTATGCTGCGTAAAACCGCGGCCATGCACACCCCCTGGATAACTGCGTACCGTTCTATGCGCACTTGCACGCCCCAGTGTCTGATGGCCACTGACACCGGGGCGTGCAAGGCACGTTTCCATGTGCACCCATGCTATGTACTCTTGGTGTACGACCGAAACCCTTTCGCCCTATGGTCTAACACCATTTCCAGTATGGTGGACCCACCTCGACGATTTCATTACCCACAAGCTTGTCGGGCACTGACCAATGATCGTAGCTCCCTGTGCACAGTTAACAAGCTCCAACGCCTCATCCCTCGTGCCCCACAAGTTTTCTTAAGTGGTCCATCACGTCTGCTTGACGATGTTTGTCGTCGCGTAACCACGCCAAATAATGCAACATTGGCAGATGTTAGTCCAGCACCAACCAAACAGAATCTAACCTAACAGAGCTGCCATGAATTAGCTCTTCACTGGTGATCCTTGGGATTTGCAGGAACCTGACAATCGGGAAGGCTAGCTTCTCCTTGTCGAAGCGAAGTGTATGCCAGAGGCCATACCACTCGTACGCCGTAGGACTTGGCAGACGTATACCAAGGCAACAACAGCGCGGCATAGCTAAAGAAATACAGATGCTCTCAGGTCAAAGAGAGAAGAGACAGCGCGGTGAGTAACCCGAGGAGTATATGCGTACAGCGCCGTGGACAAGCCGAGAGACGCTTGCTGGCGACACAACGCTGCCGGATGGTAGCACACCCAATGCTCTGCTATCATAGAGCTTATCGACATTTTTGACGCGACCACCTCGGAACACTTGTCTTTCGGTTCGGAATTGATGGCGTGGCGGAGGCTTCAATGCTGTCTGCAGGAGGTACCCGGCTCCAGTATCTCCTTCGATACCCTTCTTGATATTTCTGGAGAGATGACACCATCACCATCAATCACGGCAAGGACGAAAGAAGTAGATTTCTGTTTGGCAGAATCGCATATTGCTTTAGCGTTGAACAACTCCATGGTCAAGTCTTGAAGGCGAGTTCTATTCAAAAGACCGAAAGAGGGAGGGGGAACTGAATCCCAACCACGGCTGGTCCGCAGTTGTGGTTCGCCACACGCCCACCCGCTGTCAACCGCCTCGTCGTTGCCTTCGCCCAGGAAGGCTCGCAACATAGGATGTCATAAAGGATTCAGATAATCTCCGCTTGGAGACTTGAGCTTCAGTACTTAATTAATCGCAGACCAACGGCATTGCGCTCCAGCAGAACAGCGAAGTTTCCATGGCATAGAGGTTATCTAGGGCGTTCTTGTTCCATCTTGCTGTGGATACCGGGATAAGGAACAAGAGTGAGCCTCCCAGGATCGAGTACTTTCCAGACAAGCAGCAATTTCGTTCGTTCCCTGCCGCGGCAATACACAATTGGTCAATCAAAGCTGGAATAGACCGCAATCGACCTTGGGCTGTGGAAGCCGCCTCTGGCTTATTCTGGCCGGGGGTCAGAGAAGGCAACCTGTCAGGGGTTTGCGCGTTGTTGGCAGCCAACCGCATGGTTGGGTTGGTTTGGGGTTGCTATCCAGTGTGTTGTTGGTGCTCTACCACACACGGCCCCTGTTGCGACGCAATAGCCACCCAATTTGGGTTGCTCGGCAGGTGAGCAGGCGGTATCGACCCCCTCGCCCACAAGGGTCCGGGGTGCGTCGCGACTTCCAGGCTCCGTGTTCTCTGTACCTCGTGGCGTGCAGAAGGGCGTTCCACTCGACATGCAGCCTAGCGATACACCCTGGCACACTGGTTTCTCGATGCTACATTCCGTTTTACTGGTAGGGCGAGCCGCGAGTGACCCTTTTCAGCCTTTGCTGAAGATCAAGATAATTACCGTAGTGAATTACCCCCCCCTCGCTCCCCCTTCTGCCACCCATTGAGTCATTCCAGTGAAGGTCGTACACACCGCTTAACGCTGTTCACTTAGATCCTGGTATAGGCTTCACCTAGGAGAGTGACAACGGTGCCGTTGGATTCAAAGCCGACGCAGCTGAGTCTGGACAACATGGGGTTGCCTCAACTGATGAGTCAGTGGCGCTGGGATTATGCAGGCATATGGGCATGTGGAAGGACCACGTCAGGAGGTGCCTGGAAACGAACTTTGGGACTAGTCCGCCATTTGCAGACGTGTATCTGCCATGACAATTTTTGGAAATACTGCACGCCAAGGAGATCATTGGCCAGCCTTGTTTCGAATGAACGTGCAACGGGATCGAAGGATTTGCAGCCGGCGTGGTTGCAAATTAAACACCCGGAGACATACCCTGGTTTTGGGCCATCGGACCGCTGGCAAAGTGACTGAATCGGCCTGTCGTTAATACAAAAACACCCACGGAATCTACTTTTTTTTTCTCTTCGTCTAGCCACCTAGTGTAGGTCTTCTTCCATTTCCTGGCTTCTCAAGTGATGGAAGACATAATGAAGTCATTTCCCTCCACCAAGGATTGTAAAGAGGTCCTTTGGGACTACTTTGCGTAAGAAATCAGCGAAGTCAAGTTACGTTCATACTTTGCTGACAAACTGCTTAAACTAGCTATCACATAAAGGAGGCGTTTTTTGGTTCGCAGATCACCGTGGAACGTACGGTCAAAGCCGCCGGCCTTCTCGCAGTTGACGGACCGGGTGAAAGATCGATGTTTCGAGACTTAGCAGCCAACTTTCGCGATCTTGGCCTCTGCTATCATGCAAAAGTCACTTGTACCATGATTTTAAGGGACCAGCTCGCGAGACCCAACGTCAAGGACCCCTCGGTTTGGGACACCGTCACCATCCTGGGTCTAGTTTTCACTGATGAGATGCACTGGAGCTCTGCGGAGGCTCTATGCAATGAGGTTCTAAAGTACGGACAAGCCAACTCGATCGTGGTCGGGAACGCGCATAATATTCTCGGTTACGTATACAGGGGAATGCTTCGTAACGATCTCTCGAAAGAACATTTCCTTCATGCGCTACGCATCATGGAACTGCAGCAATCACCAGACCATCGACGGGTTCTTGGTATCAAAGCCAACCTTGCCTCGCTTACCTTGCTTGAGGTCAAAGGAGAAGCGCTTGAGGTGGCAGAGAAAGAGCTGGAAGAAATTGTGGAAACGTCCGCAGCGCGGTATGGCATGAACAATGGTTGGACACTGTTATTCTCCAAAATCCTCGGGGACCATTACGCATCGAGGGTCTGGAGCGGCGAGTGGCGCGCAGTCAATTCAGCAGAAGAGCAACTTTCTCGGGCTTACGAAGGCTATCGGGAGTTATTGGGCGAAGCGCATAAGGTGACTCGCGAGGTAGCCTTCAAGCTTCGCAAGATTCGTATCATCAGGATAGTCTGTCTCGGTTTGTAGTAAGATCTACCGGGGAGGTCAGAACCCCCATCGCGAGTGGACGGACGGGCTGAAACGGTCGTCAGAAACTGTGCCTAGTTCTGTGCGGTGCTTACCCTTTTGCGTGGATCTTTGACGGCATCGCCTACCTGCCTTGCCGAAGATAGGCGGTGGTATCTAGCTAGAGTAGAGTTATTGTGACAGAACCTTTATAATTGATTGCTTCGCTGGCAGAACTGGCTCCGATTCGACGTATACAGCTTAATTCGGCGCCTCCATCCGAATTCCGCACTTCAAAAGCTGCGGTGTCCGTCCTACCCAATGTAGAGAATGGGATCGTGAGTCCATGAACCTGCCTTGATCTAGCCATGACACCCCGTGATTCTGTGGTCAACGATGAAGAGTGACTCGACTGTCGGCCTCGACCTTCAGTTCTAGCGCCGCTTCCGCGTCACGATCCGATTTGAGCGGCGGTGTGGATTCATAGCCTTACTTGCGTCGGACTGACAGTCTGGTCATTGCCGCTCGACGGAAGGAAGGATTCGACCCTCCAAAAACTCGATTTAGACCTTCTTCTACGGCATTAGCCAGACAATCAGCGGCTTGGAGACGTGCCAAGTAGGAGCGGCCTGAAGGACGGCCCTGGGCCAGGCCTCGGAACAGGGAGCGATTCCTTGTCAACTTCACGAAGCCCTGACACCCTCCCAAAGGTATCATGCGTTCTGGCGGCCGTAGTCACCCAGCGGTGTTCATCACATAGTGCGGTTAACGTAGGGATAAGGAAGGGGAGAAGCTTCCCGGGATCAAGCACTCTCCAAGACAGGCAGTGGTTTCGCGTGTTTTCCGCTGCAGCGACACTTGACAGGTCGACTACAGCGGAGCTGCACAGAAGAGGTAGCTGATCTGGGGAAGATTAATCTCTCACGGGCTGTAAAGAAGCCGCCGGATCCCGGCAGGCTCGTTCCGGCGGAGGGCAGGGAAGGTGACCTGATAGGGATTTGCGCGTCGCTGGCAAACAACCACATGATTGGGTTCGATCGGGGCTCGCTTGGCAGTGTGTGATTGGTGGTCTGCCGTGCGCGGCAGCCCCTGTTGCGGCGCCAAAGCCACCCAATTTGGGGTGCTTGGAAGGCGAGCAGGCGGTACCAGCACCCTTGTCCGCGGAAAGTCGGGGGCGTGTCGCGACTTCCAAACTCAGTGCCCCGTACACTGTATTACTTGGTCGTGTGTTTAAGGACGCCCCACTCGGCTCCAGTAGAAGGATTAACCCCAGCACACCGGCCTTACGATACCCCATTTCCTCTCTTTGGTGGGTACAGTCGGACGCCAGAATGGACGGCATTCAGGCCCGGTAACGACCTTGTTGCTGCACCTTCCTCGGCTCGAGGACGACCCGCGTTCGATTATGCTGCGTGCACCAAGTGATGACTGAACGGGTGATCCCTCTAAGATTTGGTCCATCTTGGCCTTACATCGATTATTCTTCAGACTAGATTACGAATTAGGAGTGCTCAACAAGCCAATGATCGCACACCTTGTTTCGATAGTAGTCCAGCTCTTATAAGTGCTGATTGGACGATATGCACATCGTCCAACTCCACAATTGCAACATTGCTCATTTTTAAGGGCCTGCCCTCCCCAGGCGCACCGGCACTATCGTTATGCATCAGTTGTGGCCGATAAACACTGCGTCTCGAGCGACTCACGCATGTCCAGAGGGATACCTTTGGCTTCAAAGGTCTTAGACTCTTGGATTGTCCAAGTAATAGGGCAGACAGCTGGTCGAATATGTGACATTGTGCATTGCGAGGGTGCTTTCCAGCCCGGCCTTTTTGCGGCCTCATGCGGACCTAGCCGTAGAGCGTCATAATAGAACGCCTCTAGCGTCGGAAAGCGATGCCCACAAGACCCGATTGATAGAGAAAAAGACCTAGCAGCTTGACATGCGCTGGGTCATTTTGCTGCGCATCCCGCCACTTCCCTTGCTGCTCGACTCGGCTTTGGTCATCTATGGTGATCAATGTTAGCATGCGAACATCAGAAGGCGCTGGTTCAGTCGCATTGACTCTACATGAGGCTTCAGGCCCAGCCAAAATTGAGTCCCGGGAGGGTGGCAAGGAATATCGCAGGGACGCAAATCTGACAGTTCACGAAGGAATCATTTGAAAGTACACTCAGCAGATGTCGAGTCAACATGATGTAACTAGAGTTTTTAGAAAGAAATCCGCGAGATTGATCAGCTTCCTGGCAGACTAATTTCCGTTATATACCAAGCGGAGCCCCGTAGATGTTGTCTGTTTCGGACGTAGCTCGAAGTCTAGCTGGGTGACATTCTTGCAGCGGACACAGACAATCGTCGACCGGCCCTTTCCTACAATCAATACTCCCTTTATATCCCATTGATCCGGAGGAAGGGCTCTTTCAGGCTTCTTCGCGAGGTGAACTCTGTACTCCGTAGTAATTTTTATGATGCTCGTCGGATCGCCCTCGTCTTCGAAGCAGCACCCATTGATGACCATTGTTCCAGACGGCACTGTACCAGACTTCAGTGTTGTACAGCAGCATGATGGAGTTTTGTTCTCTTCCGCAGGTCTGGTAGTCGAAGCAGGGTACTCCCAGCCTTCGTTTGAGCTTCCCTTGGCTGCATTCAGCTGCTCTCCCTTTCCTCCGTTCGTGGTGGCCTGGTGATCGACGACCTCGTTCCGATGAGCTGCTGTATTGCCGTCGAGCGCTCTCGAAACACAGCCACTGTCGACACGGGTATCGTCTGAATCGTCGGATTCGCCATCACGCGAAGGAACATCCTCTGCGTCTAGGGCGGACTTGGGCAGAGCTGGTATGTCCAGCTCATCATTCGGGCTGGATACCGTCTAGGTGTTTGTCAGCATGACGAAACAAAACTGAAAGTCCCAACTTACATCAAGACTTCGGTTGCTGTTGAGTCTCTCTGGGGGGCCATAGTCAATACGAACGTCCCCGTTGTATTGGTTGCCGCCATTATTGACGAGATTGGAGTAGATAACGGGACCTGGCACCATCCCCGGAGTTGTCGCCTGACTCAACCAAGCTCCAGCAGGCAAGGGCGCAGTCGTGACCTGTGTTTGCGCAATGTTCGTATTCAACGCGTCGTCAGTGATAGCCAATTCAAGGAGCCGTAGACTCCGCTCCGAATCAGCCTTTGCGTTGCCATGCTTCCCCAAGTCCCCCCCTCTTCTTGGGCTCGTTCCGGGATTGACATGAAGTGTCTTGCTTGCTGGTGCCTCGGAAATCATTAGTATCTATGCTATACTCAGAAGTCTCGACTTACTTGAGAAGGTGGAGCTTCGTGATGTGTCCAAGTAATTTTTCCTTTCTCTACTCTTATATAGGTTCCACCGTTCACTTGTATCGCAAACCGTCCTGCGCCGGCTTCCGCAGACGCATGCGAAGAGCCTTTTGCGTTGGTACCATGCCCGGCCTCGGTTTCTTCAGCTGAAGGGACCAACATGATCTGTCTTGTGCAGTGACTGTACCGACTGGCATCAATAGATGATTTACTGTGTTCTGGGGGGATACCAGAGCAATTTATGGCCCAAGGGCCCGCCTAGTTTCGATGCTTTTTGCCTGATAGCAACATAACATGTTGGCTAGCGTAAAATTCTGACATCGCTAGCAGGCCGCTTTGCTCTCTCTGTGTTTCTCATGAGCGGAGAAGGGCGCTAAGAAGCCTCACTTTTGCCACCTTACCTAGACGAGACATGACCATATGCTGGCCAAGCCTTCGCGGCTGGGGCAAAGTGTAAGAGTGCTGGTGCATCTATTGTGCGTGGACGGTGCTGATAGGGCACATGGGTTTGAGTCACCTATTACATGCCAAACAGACTCGTTGACTTTACCTTATCTAGCGGTGAAGGTGATGATGGAGAGACGTAAGTGAATCCTATTGACCTAGCGAGCGGCCCTTAACATTTCTCATCCACTCCGTTGCAGAAACAACGAAGCAGTGCAGATTTTCGAGCCAGCATACAGTTAAATATATCTCTTGGGCTCCACACCTTGACCAAACCAACTGCACTACTTATTAGCTGCCAGCTCACAATGCACCTGAGACAGGCTGGCAGCCTAAGTGCGGTCGGTTGTGGACTGAGAATGCGATACAAGCACTCCCTCTCATTTGAGCTCTGGAACTGCTTTGCGAGAGGGAGAACTTCCTGTCGCTGCTCGGTAAAGTAAAGTATGTTCGCGTCTGTGTTGGTCTTCTCCTCAATTACGTCTATTTGTCGAGTAATTTCGACACTGACGAGATGAACGAGATTCGCCGCGGGTGTGGCGTATATTTGCAAGATTACGACGAATTGGATATTGACGGGCTGATTTGCAGGCTTGACTTTCGCAATCGAGGGTGCTTCGTGTGAGCTTTGGCGTGTCTTCGATGTCTGCGCCGACCCCTGTATTGCAGAGGTAGCCCATCTCGCTGTTGACACACAAATCCTCGAAAGCCCCCTGGTTGCCAAGCCCCAGGTCATAACAACTAGACCCGAAAATTCATCATGAATGTGACATTCAGCAGCCGCTCGGTGCAAGAAAGAGCTTTCCGACATGTTATGTTGTTGCCTACGTCAAATGGTTCGATCACTTATGCCTGTCAATGCCCTGGCTAGTTATTGCTCGGCTGGCTAGTCATGTCGCCAGCCTTGGTGACCCTGACCTCCCTCCAATCACCTTGAGCATGAAAGTTACGGACTGATTCCGTGTCGACCTAGCAACGTTACTTACTTACCCTTGTGTGAAGCATTTTGCGTATGTACTCGTGTCATGCACACCTACGAATCAGCCTCGAACGCGGGACGACTGGGCGAAGAGATATCAAAAACGCGGTCAAGTAGCCAGCAATACACGCCCAGGCCTCGGATCAGCGCACTGAACTTCGACCCCATTGATCGTATCTGTACGCCCGCCTTGCGCTCATGTGGGTCTGCGCCTGTCGAAATCCGAAATCTGCCATCATGACTTGTCACATTCGTCGCGCGTTTGCTCTCTCGTGCTCTATGGTGCCTATAATCAGAGTAGTGACTTTGAGATAGTTTTTCTAATGCGGACCGCGGCCTTGTATGCACTTGCAGTGCGCTACCAGCCACATCGAGATCAGCATGGCATGGGTGGGTCACTCAGGTGGTGTTCAGCGACAAGTACACCCTTATCACCGAGCCGGACTTTGGTCCTCGGGCCGGTCTTGTCCCATCAAATGCTCTCGGAACGGGGTGGGTCCCGGGACAATACGTCCACGGTTCCGTATGCTTCTTTTTTAGTCCCAAAATCGGTCGGACGTTTGAAGACTGGCGCTTGAGCGGTGCTTCGTTATGAGATCCCGCAAGAAAGAATTCTCACTAGTAACCGTAAGTCAACGACGCTACCCAAACCTGGAAGGCGGCCTTGGCGACGACCGCTTTCCCGTTGACGCAGTCAGTCTTAATGTCCTTATGTTGAGTCCTCGAGCCAACGCCATGCCATGTTTCTTAGCGAAAGTCCAAGTACTGATCCGTACGGTGATAGATTCTTATTTGGCAGTGGAGGATAACAGCGACAAGGGAACCTCCATCCTGGGTTCTTTCAGGTTGAGAGCATCTTACATCTATGCATGAGAGGCGAGAAAGGATAACTTCAGTCGGCAGTCTGATTCTCCTCCTCGGAGTTCCGATTCTCCATACATGACTTGCGCTTGCCTCTTACGTGAAGGCGCTTGTTGACGGAAGGCGACCTCAGCTCGGGAAACACCTCGCATGGCACGCTTTTGGGTGTTGACCAACAAGCCGCTGGACCACGGATATCACGAGGTGACGGGACCGCAAATGGCTTAGATCAATCGAGATCGCTCGAATCAAGCTAATGAACAGGAAGAGGAACAAACCATATCAGACGGCCGGAGAACTACGACTACGCTTCTGATCGCACTCGCAGAAATCTACCTACAATATTCTGATACGTTTTCCTGCCTACTATCAACCTCAGCACCGCCTCGCACTCTTGAGACCTGAACTAACCAAGAACATCACATCATGGCATGGTTGATCAGTCCTCGGTGAACTCGGCTCGTATGAAGCTGGGCCATCGCCCTCAATAAATCAGCTTCAAGACAAATCGATAACTATCCAATCCGCATACCTCATTTCGCCCGGTGGGTGGCATAGCCCGAGGCTTCACGCCCTCCCCTCAAGACGTGTCACTATAATAAAAGGGGTCCTGGGCAGGGATTCTGGGTTGATGGTCTTATCCCTGAGGGCATTCACGTGCTAGCTGGCCGTCCGTAAGCTTGACGGCTCTGATATAAAAAGGCGGCTTTCTCCTTGTTCTGGGACACTTTTTGATCGCCGTTCTCACCACCAATTTTTTCAAACACAACCGAACCACATGATGTCAGTGAGTGCTGCTACCCTCTTTATATACTATCTAATCCGTTGTCAGGAGTGGCCGGCATTACTCTGAACACAGAAGGCCCGGTAAAGGATACCTATCAGGTGGCCGGTCAGCGATTGCAAAGAAAGCCTGCCGCCCAAGAGTAAGCCGAAGTCCTGAAATTCTCTCGTTGCTTTGTGAAGCCAGATTTTCTCTCGCGTTCAAACAAACAGGAAATCAAGCAACATTGGCATCAAATAGCTAACCAATTCTTTCCAGGCATGCGATGAATGCCGTAAATCGAAAACCAAATGCAGCATGACTGGGCCATGTGAGACCTGTCAGCGGCGGATGGTCGAGTGCTCTCTTCCAACAAAATACCAAAAAGTAGACGAGTCTTCGAATTCCGCGCAGAGCTCAACTTCGTGTGGGGGGTTCAACTTTTCCGAAAGCGCAATGAACCCAGTGTTCTCAGGTCAGAACATTCAATTCATCTCAGAACCACGAAGTTCAGTCTCTAATCTATCACAGGCCACTTGAGACGGCTATCGGCAATGACCAATGAATACATTGCACCTATCACAGCTCCAGGGAGAAACGATATGCTGCGACCAGAACTCAAGCCTAAACCTCGAATGGCCCATTGGGTAGTCTACGAACGATTCGACTTAGGCAAATTGGTTTACAGCGGTCTGGGGGAATCCTGTTGTGTCTCCCTCGATTGTGTGCGTGGTCTTGATAAGATGATGCTTCAAGCTATGGAGCAACACCAATGTCTGCTTTCCGACCGTGGTTATTATGAGGAGTGCTCAAATGCCCTGACGATGTTGTTCCGAGATATAGTGATGTAAGTATGCTGCCTCACACCATCGTCCTGCTCTAATTGTGAGAAATTAGTCGAATTTACTATGTGGCTTACTTAGACTTTTGCCCTTCCAATCCTTTGAAGCATTTGGTAAACTGGAATATGGTTTACAAAGTAGATCGAAGTCGTATTTACTGTTGCACTCAATCAGAGGTACTCAGAATGGATCCTTCCGTTCACTTCATCGACACCGAGTAGAAAGATGAGAAACCAAATAACGTGGATATGGCATTGAAAATCTCCCCTTGACGTACCGTTAAATGTGCGGCTCCAACGTGACACTCCTCGCAGAAAATGGCAGAACGCTTTTAAAACCCTACAACATAGATATCTCCTGCTCAATCGATGTCGGCTACGGATGCCCGCGATTTCCCTCGCAACAAAGGTCCCTCAAACTGTATCTCTATCTCCCCAATTAAGAGGTCGGGTTTTCGAGTATATGCTTCATCGAGGCTCAAAACAAAACCATACGCCTTTGTAACAATCGGCATGATTGCCAGGCAAGGAGTCAGAGTTCTAGGAGCCACTCAATATATCGGCAAACGTCAGCTCCGTCTTTGAATCATTCCATGGACATTGATAAGATGTGATCAAGGCTCTAAATTGTACAGCATTAGGTTTCTCTGTAACGAGTATTCGTACACACGGCTGCTGAAGATATCCCTTTATTGAGCCTAGCAAGCAACGATCTTCTTGAGAGTTTGGGATTGCTGAGTACTCGTATCTGTATGTACCTATCATGTCTGCGCTGAATTATGCATCTTAACAAAGCTGTTAGATCCCATGGCTGAAGCTTGAACCATTGAACAACCCATGCTAGATTTCCGCAAACCCGCGCAGCCAGTCGCAAGTCAAACCGGCACTCGATGTCTGCATGCCGCGTGAAAACTTTTCCGATGCATTGCTTCCCCCATCGCCGTCATTGATAGCTCACAATGAATACTTTCACCAGCCATTAGAATGGTAACTTTCATATTGTTCGGTAACGTGGTGCTTCACAGGGCTCGGAAGATCCTCATTTGTGTTGGCGCAGACCCTCTCGGGGTACTACTTCAAGTTCGCAACGTTGTGGGAAGTATGGAGGTGCTCGAGGACTGTGTTGGTAGTAGAGACCTTCTAGAGGCACTTAGATAGCGGAGCACGGCGGTGCCTCAGTGATGGACTTGAGCGGCACCGAGCTCTTACCGCGGCTCATAATTAACGGAGCATCGTCAAAATCGTTGAAAGAGACATCCAAGATAGGCGGAGCAGGCTGGCTGGGAAGATTCCAAGGCAGTGCTGGGGTGGAAGGAGGGACAACATTGCCCATACCTCTGTCGCGTGTCTCCTTCTTGAACAAGAGAATGATAAGAGGGTAACGCGAGTTTGAAGTCTCTTCGCTGACGCTAGACTTTTCGGCGCTGTCATCATCATAGATCGCGCATTCGTCATCGTAGTCGGAATCTGGGTCATCAGGTTGTATCTCGTACCATTCCGCTAATGGCTGTGAAGGTTTTTGCCCATCGTCCTGAGCCACCGTTTCGGGGTCAAGACCGGCCGAGTTCGGCATGCAACTCTCGCTTGACCTAGGAGCAGCAGCACCCGGAACGGACCTGGGGCACTTATTTGGGCGCTCTCTTTGCAGTCGGGATTGACGCCGCGAGCGAGCCGAGGGATGGCTATTGAGGGTATCGGTCAGCTATTGGCGACGATGGACGGCAGGAAGACAATATGTACCGGGACCTGACTTCTCCGCCAGTACGCCTCAGTGGCTTCATTAAGACAGATTGGATGCGTCAGCTGCTAGTATGATGTTCGATGTTCTGAGAACTCATGAACTTGTCGGTCTAGGTAGCGTCAAAAATTGCCGGAAGGACGTGCGGCCCGGGAGATGGAGACAGAAGAAGGGCTCGAGGTGGCTTGCGAGAGCTCGACACCAGCTATCATAAGAACGACTTGATGATTTATAACAATATGAGACCCATCGGGTGAGTCGCCCCAAGCTAGTGCGCTGATCGACGGCCAGAGTTCCAATTGGTCGTGGCAATTTAAGACCCGTTCGCGAAATCAGGCGTCGTGTGCCGAAGTTAGCCAGGGTTCTAGTCTCATTCATGCGCGGGGATTGACTAGAAGCGGAAACACGGCTAATTGCCAGCCGGGAATGGCACGCTTTGTGACACCGCTCGACGGCCTTGTGTGGAAGGGTGTGGAAGGGCGGACATGGGTGAGGACTCACCACCTCAAATGGGCCCATCCCGATCTCCCAATTGCTCAGGTGCAGTCCACGCGGCCTGGGTCGAAAAGGAATGGCACTATCGACGGACAGTTTCCCTGGTCCCTTAGCTAATGGATGAAGTGCGGTGATTTCGTGGGGGTCGAGACCTCGGAAAGTCACGTTGATCCAGCCAGCATCTATACCAAGACGTAAGTCGTCACCACGGCTGTGATTTGGTCTCCTTGCCGCTTTCCATTATCGTAAGCAGCTAGCTCAGCGACGTTGCAAGTATGATACCAATTTGTTGTGCGCAATCAATGCGAACTCGACCTTGCAGGTGCTCCAGATTTCCTGTAGTCTGTCTCTTGAACCGAATCTGTACGTGAAAAAAGTCGGTATATTTCCAAATGAACACACCTGATAACCATGCTGGTGACGATCATAAGAAAGCTTGAGATGTTCACGAAGCAGTGGTAGAAGCACGTGGTATGTCAGGACTAAGGGCCAAACAAGTCGGGAGAAAGAGGGGATAAAGATTCTGCGATGGGAATGTAAGGCTGCTCATGAAATAATTTCATTTCATCAGTTGAAGCGTTGAGGCATGCTCAAGTTGAATGGCGACTAGTTCAAGCAAGCAAATATTGCATTACGGTCTTTTCAGTCCGGTCTGAGTGTATCGTGTCTATTACTTGGTCTACTTATTTTCATGGGTTGTGAATCGGCAATATTTCCGTCTATGTACGACTTGAGCGAGCTGATTCCGCCATTTCCTCTGGTGTTGGATCCACGGCCAAACCCCCGCGCTGGGTTGGCTCATTTCTGACGTTTTCCCTGAAGGTCGTGCGCGTCCTGGCCTCAGACTAGGTGATTTGCCTTTTAAGAGCGTACCAAGATTGACTGAAGAGGGAAGCAAAACAATGAGAAACACGGGTGCCAGATGCCGCTTTCCCGTCGTGATCAACGACTGGCTACGATGAGTAGCGCCAACCAAGGAATTGAGATGACTCGTACGGCGTCACCACTTGTGTGTAGGATGGATCCTCACCATATCTCCAAGCGTCTGTGTACCTCGGGTATTGGTTGGGAAATTCCTCAGAAGTCCAGGCCTGTGTCGTATCTCCGGTGAACTCGATGTCCGCGACGCCGGCCGAGTCCCCACTCGATTTGCCAAAACCGTCGCAAGCCACGGCGACGTCAACATCGCCAGTGGTCTGTGTATAACCGGCGAAGTAATGGATATTCGGTGACTCTGAAAGCTGTTCCGGAGGTCTGTGTTCGGTGTTGAGAAACTCACGTTCGTAGTGTACAGGGTGTCCAGAGAAGGCCGTTGGTGAAAAAGAATGAGCCATGGCGATGGGCTGCCCGGAGAGCTGCTGTGTCCCGCCAACTGAGACACCCACAGCGCCATAGACCTAGTGACTGAGCTCTTTTAGATTCGATATCCAGGGCCTATAGCCTTCTTTGCAGAAATTGGCCGTCATGTGGTGCGGCACGACTGAGGCGTCCGGCCCGTGTAGAGCGAGAGAACTGTTTGCCTCTCGCTTCAGGCCACTGAGCGCGGAGCGTTCGGGGCACGAAATCTCGGTGGCGGCCGTGTCTATCTCAACGACGCAAGGGCGGTGTCTTGACCATTCTGGATGGTGAGAAATCTCGAGCTGGCATTCGCCGAGGGAGCAGGAGCATCGTCCATGGTTAGAACGGTCGAATTCATTCGTCACCGCCGAAGCCTGCCGCTCGAGGAGTAGGGGTTTCTCGTACACATTAGGCTGCGAAGGAAGTGCTTGATGAGGCAATAATTGGGGGTGTATGGGATCAACAACGGCCGACGTTGGAGACCGAATGAGATGTTGGGCAACAGGGCGGAACAGCGGGATATCGGCCCGGAACTCGGGGTAGCGGTTGAAAAAGTCCTCCGTCATGGTCCAGTTACTGATTTCTGATATACTTTGCTCGAACGACGGCAACATCTCGTACAAGCCTGTGGTCAAGTTCTTGACATACGTGTTCTGGAAGTCAGAAGACCACAGGAGACGAAAGTTACGGGCGAAGCTCTTCCAAAACTGGTTGTCGCAATATTTGTGTTGTTCAAAAACGAAACGTTCTCGGACTCCAGGCCTGTCGTCTCGTTAGCGACTTCAGTACTGGATGCGATGAGCAAAGGATTGTGGTCAAGTACCAGACGAAAAGATTGATCGCATAGGGGTGAGGAAACACTTGAGACGGTCTACAGTAAGCCTCGAGTCAGCATTCATCAAGCACTGTGCCAGACCTTTTATTTCACGCACCTCTTCCAGTACCATGGAGGCAGCTTGTCCCTGCGCTCGGTGGTGGGATTGGAATGGTACCGCAGTTGTAGACTCACCATCCAAAGTATTGCCAACCGTTCAGTCCGAGGACATGCCTTGAAGCATAGTTCATCAACACATCGAAGTTTGATCCACAAATCTGACAACGGCTGGTACTTGGCAGCGACATCCCAGCCCTCGATCAGAGCCCGCACGATTGTGTCTTTTCCTTTAGCATCTTCAGTCACATGGGCTTCTGTTGAAGTGCGCCACGGCATAGACAAGACCTCGTTGACAGCCCGCCACACATTGACTTCCAAGGGTTCAGGACCGGTCGACGTGTTGATGGCGATGCAAGCACAATAACCTCTCGGCGGTGGAACGATGAGGTCGGTCGTGGCATGATTCTCCTTATGGTTCTCAAGGTCGACAGCGGTGCCATGCTGCAACATATCCGTGTAGTTGCAATGGGGTGACGATGAAAGCTTCTCTAGTCGAAGTGACGTTGCTAGGTGGTCGGAGAAGGAAAGCATTCTCGTGCTGACGCTGAAGATGAGCGGCTTGACCTGATTAGTTCTATGATCTTCTGAACGGGGTTGAAGGTTCTGGCCTGATTTTCTGTTATAAGCTTGAGATCTTGCAACGGCTTCCGAGCAGACGATGAGACCGGCGCTTGTGATTGGCTTCTATATCGGACCATCCCTAAGCGTGAAGAAGCACTGAAGGAGGATGCTGGCTGGGTTTTGCGTCTCAGTGGTGTGCAGAGGCCCAGTAGCAATAGTAACACGAGTGCTAGCCGAGGATGGCACGCTTTCTGTCATCTCCTGACGGGCCTGCGCGAACGGTGTGGAGACCGGTCAGTAGTGGAGACTTACGTGCGAGCCTATCCCGGTTTCCTATTGTATCCAACGAGGCATGGCACTATCGACGGATAGGTTCCTTAGCCGATGGGTAAGTGCGGTGGTGTCGTGGGGGTCGAGACCTTGGAAAGTTACGTTGATCCGACCAGCATCTGGTTCCATGGGTTGGCCCTCGTCAGGGACGTTTCGCTACCTCAGGCGTTGAGGTTGGTCCGCCATCTCAGCTCCGCCAAGTCAGCTCCGCCACCTCAGGGCTCCTAGCATGGTGATCGCCTCCAGCGCCTCTTCGGGCTCCCGTAAGCATCGTGAGAAATTGGCCGTCGTTCTTTCGCAACGTTCCACGGTGGTCGGCTCTGTGCTTGTGGTGTGGACTAGAAGGACAACGGCTCTTTGGACATCGTCTGGGCATGGCACGGTTTTATGCTTCCCGTGAGAGGCGTCCGCGATGGTTCGCACGTCCGACATTGCTGCAAGCAGGCAACGAGCAGGCAACAAGCAGGCAACGAGCAGGCTACAAGGCAGACTACGAGGCAGGCTGTGAGGCGGACTACGGTCAGGCGGCAGGAGACCTGAGAACAGTCACTTGCACGTAGCACCCCAGGGGCATGGACCTGGCAGAGGGAACATCAAACACAACATAGGGGTACACAGAGTCAATTCAAGGGAGAGTCATCTCCGGTCTGTCTAAGCAAGTTGCTGCAGGTGCTTTCCGCCCATCCCTAGGCTCCGTCGATCGCGTTACACCACCACTTAGACCCCTCACGTCTACCGGTTGTACTGTCCAGGGTCAGTAAGCCTTGGGTATGATCGGGCGTGTGACTTACGACAACACAGTCTTCGCACCGCGCACCGTGGACGTTCACCCAGCCGGGGCAGTCGACGCCGTGCTTGTATCTGTTGACGCAGGGGTAGCGGTCCATCCTTTAGGCTTCGTTCGTCTTCGATCTTGTGCTGGCTCGCGGGTAGAGTGTAAGGTATGCGGTTTGTGGTCAAGGTGAGGTCTTGATGGTCTTCGGATCCGGGAATCTCGCCATCAGCACCAGCCCTTTATATCTCTTCCTCCCTGAATTCCAGACCAGGCCGCAGCTGCCTCAAATGGACACGACTGCAGGGCCAATGCCTCCATTCGCAAGGAGCCACGGTCCGATGCCCAACGGACCTCTCATGCCGGCGGCAACCAGCGGGTACTGCACGGCTTGTCCGCGATTGGCCCTTTCCCTGGTCCGCGAGTCTCTCGACGGGCAGCCAACACGAATGTTGTCGGGTTCTGCGCTGGCCGTCGCTGCGCAAGACATGAAGTCGGGAGATGCAGCCCTGATTGGTTGGGCTGACGTCTCCATGTGCATGCCAAAAGCGGGCCGTCCTGGGGACGCTAAAACGTGAGATGAGCGCCCCATGTCGTCTGTGCCGTGGCACTGGGGAGGCTGCAAGGACGATGCAAGATTTGGCGTTCCCACTCCCCTCCAACTTTTTTTGACCTACTCACCCCCACACCCTTGTCGTCGCTCACACCCCACCATCTCAGCATGCGCACCCCCAGCCGCATACGCCCTCCTGGCTAGTCCCCAAGACCCACATACCTTATGTCCATCACTCTGCAGAGAGGCTCGAGCGCCCGTCGGCCAATGTCACTCGCTCCGGCTGCCCACGCCTGCCCTCAGCCCACCCCGCAGGGCTGCCCCGATTGGGCCTCGGCTCGAGATGCCCTAGTCCGGGCTGCGCCAGGCCTTCCGCCATTGCGTCCGCAGAACGTCCTCCGTGAATGCGATGAGCTCGCCAACCTACCACGGATGCCCTACAGGAAGCCTCGCAAGCCGGTGATAAAGTCAATTCCGCTCGCATATCATGTCACGCATACTGTCCTCCCCCCCCACCTCAAGTCGTAGAGGAAATGCTCAGCAGCACCTGAGAGGGCTTGAATAGAATTACAGATACGGCTTCGGGCGTAGGATATACTTTGCGGCATAACGACTTGACTGCGCCTGACTTCGGCTAATGCAACCTAATAGTCCCTTTACTTCTCTACCGAGTGGTCTCTTGCGCATCGAGGCCCACGGAGACGCAACTCTCAGTCACGTCTTGCTCACCAGCCGCCAAGCGAAGTCGTTTCGGTCCAGCCTCATCAATGGAATCCTCTCTGGATCTCTTCATTCGCGGCGCGCTGGCTCGAATGATGTGCCTGCCGTCGTCAGCTTCCGCATGTCAATTGATGCGACTGACCCTACAGTAATGTGTTCACGCCTACTTCTTTGTGAAGCGTTCGCCAGGTAGAAAGATACCTATACACGCCGCCTGTTACTCTCGGTAAGCTCCATAGGTCTCCCGTCTGAATTGTCCGCGCCACTGTTGATGCGCTGGGTATATGATGCGTCCTTCTGCTCCGAAACACAAGCCCAGCTTCCTTCATGAAATATTCAACCCTCTGTACCATATCTTTGTCTTCTCCGGCCAAGGTTTCGTCCGTGGAAGGACTGTCATGGGACTCCGCGGGTGATGCAATCAATCCGCCGCATTGAACGTCGATGGTAGCTTCGGGATTGAGAGACCTGGTTCGATGTTCGATTAGCAGACGTCTCATAGAATGGCCTGGCAACAGCGGTACTTGGAGAGATTTTCAAAAAGGTCGTCCGGAAATGTTGCTCCGGTAATGCTAATGCAAATGTAGTCATGCGAAGACTCAACGCCGAGATCCTCTCCGTACCTGTGCTTGTCAGCGATATCAAGTGTGCGATCGATCAACCGACTCACCTGGAATCTAGAAAATTCAGGGCAAGTGGTTCTTTTCTGACGTGGAAATTGCCCGACACAAATCTGCGGCATTCGCCGCTGATGATGAAGATTCCGTACTTGACCGTTTTAAGGTTCCAACCATCGATCGACCGGGTGTCCCAGTATCCTCCGTGACGTCTCAGCACGTCAGCGGCCATATTTTTGCGAATGTCTAGCTCGGTGTCACTGCAGACTTCTGGGTCGGAGTCAACGAACAGATCCAGTTCAGCAATGCCAGAGTCTCGAGATGAGTGGGTTCCATCGTCAGAACCTGAGGATGCTTCGTAGCCATATTGTGAAAACTTTCCGCCGCCATAAGATCGGGGCTCCTTTGCCATGTTGATCAACGGATAGAACCTTTCAACGAGACTGATAGGGTCTTGACCAACGAGTTTCCAGCTATCGTCGGGCCGCGACGGCTTTATAAGACGCGGTCAGCGGCGCACGGTCTCGTCATCCCGTTCTCCAGTGATATGTAATCAGGTGGGCCCCGATCGTCCATTGCGAGGTCCGGGCTGCCCAGGCACTGAAGATGCCCAATAACAATGCCTTGGCCAATTTGAGCTGCTTTCAGGGGTCTTTGGAGCCGAACCACACCTCGCAAGCAGATTTCACCGCATTCAGGGCATTCCCATCAGCCCGTCTCCTCGCTTGATACCCATCTCGGCCGCGCCGATGTCAAGGGAGCCGTAGGCGGGTGACAAAGAACGAGAGGCCAGCCGCCGCCTACCTGGTGCTTCCTCGCTATTTCTGATACATCAGATTTAGCACTCTTGAAGCTCGCCTTGTAATTGTTTGTCCGGGTGCTGTCGCTCCGACGCCGCTGACATCCTGCACCCGATGCCCGTTGCTGCTTCCATGACCATGAAATCCTCCTCGAGACGACCGAAGTCTAGCCGCTATCGTTTTGGCGTCGCTTCTCTGCTTTGTCAGCACTTGAAAAGATCCCGTTTTCCAAGCAAAGCTGCTCGCCCCATGTCTGTCGCGAAGTCCAGGAACGTAACTGACGAGAGGGTTTGATGCAAGCGAACAATATGCTCATAAGGGACAATGGCATCCACATATACCACGACGAATAAGATTTCATTTGCATGTGAGAACGACCATGGCAAATTCGCGTGATTGAATGAAATGCGCAGCGTTCGTCCCGAACCACCTTTCTACCCGTGCGGGTACTATATGCCCTACTTCGTGGACTCACCGGCGAGCAACAGCTGATCTCTGCCCCGCATCGAATTCCAGGTCCTCTCAACACAAAGCCTGCTCACAGGTTCTCCCTCCGAACGCAATGTACCATCTCACTGAGGTAACCATCCTGCCGATATCAACGAGCTTGAAAACGGTCAGTGTCAGGTATTCGCCGACGTACCAGGGGAAACTGACTAATGGTAATAGGCACGAAAAGCAGGATTTGAAATTTCCAATTTCGCTGCTTCCACAAGCCTATCATCCAATTGAGGCTGTTCAGGCCCTTCGCGTGCGATTGCTACATGTGCTTCTATGAACTTGACCATCGTCGATACAAGCCAATCCCCCACTGGAATTTCTCCCTCATCCTGACAATCTTGGACGGGGGGCCTGTATTGCACAAGTTTCGATTGTCCGATTCTGTTCAGATCCCGCCCGATATTGGAGGAAACGCGACCAATCCTTGATGTTTCTGAAGGTTCGTACAAGATCCGAGATAGTTGCAAGAGAGGGGATGTTTCGGGCAGGCTACCCTCGTCGGTAAAAGGAATCATCTCAACTACTTCTATGTTGAGCACACCTGCAGGTGCAAGGCAAGTTTGCACGTTCCTGAAATATTCTGGCCAGTTTTCTATGTACTCGATCAATCGAGAATGGATCAGATCGTACTTTCGCTCCTTCCACATCATGTTCGGGTCGACTTCAAGACAGATGTCATCGTTGAGCGAGTCTCTACAGGATCGTCAGTTCTTGTCTTTTGGCGGACCTTTTCAACGTACAGCCGGGGATGGAGCTGAGGGTCACGATTTCTTATAAATTGTGCATTCGCAAGTCCGTTCAAAGCCCTCATTTCGGCGGCTCGAGTTAGCCAAATCGCGCTGTTCGTTGGGAAGTCTGCGACAAGTCTAAGGTCCAAAAGTAATCTCTAGAGTATGTTGTAGCATGTCCCATGTTTTCACGAGGGTGTTCTGCCACAGCTGTCAGCGCGAGCGCGAAGGGAGTAGGGGTGCCCGCAATGGATCGCACATTTTTCGGGTACTGCTGTATAGCGGATGGTACAGCCATTGCGAAGTCTGGCGCTGAACTGTTTTCAGAGTAAAGGGAGCAAGAACAAAGGACAAGGCGTCTTTTCCTCAGTCGTCCTAGGCAAAGCTTTATCTGGGTTGTGAGCCCGGCAAGCCAGGCAATCCTCCTTGATGAACAGAAGGGAAACATGGCCCATCGGACTCTTCAGACCCTTGCAGGCGTTCCCACATGTGTTTGCCGTCATGTGATGAAAATTACAACGCTTTCCCTGATTGATGAGGCTTCTCGACAGGGGATACCTCGAAGGCCTAGCAATTAGGTTTGTCGGCTCTTTGCTCAAAACCGGCCTACGCATGGACTCCGTCGCAATCTCGGATCTCGCAATCCGGAGTTCCAACTGCTGTTGGAAAGCTACCCTCCAAGGTCGCAAGAGAGATAGCATAAGGAATCGGACCATCTCATCACAAAGGTCCTAGGATCCTCTGGGACAATGGCCGGGTCATTCAGAAGGTTAGGAACGTGTCGTGTCACAGCTACAGCCCTCGGCTTGAAGTGGTGCGAGTCGCTGAGTCGAAGCGGCGAAGCCCTCTGTGTAGTCATGCGCTCGCCAGCTCTTGCCCGGGCGCGGATCTAATCATGAGTGAACAAACATTAGTCTCGACAACTGATATTGAACGAATTGTCTCAAATACGGGACCTATTCCGCTTTGAAAGCTCTCACAGCTGGGAAAGGCACAATCCGCTTGTGTGCCATCCTAGTATGCACTTACTGCATTCAGCTGAGTGATCCAATGCCCAGGCCGACCGCAGCAGCTTCAATCATTGTGGGTTGTAGCGCATTGCAGTGAAATTATGGACAGCAAAGGAGGTGTGTCACTCCGGAGCATGCCTGACTAACCCAAGGCAAGCGTCGGCAGCGGGTGCGGTGCGACGCCAATGATCTTTCCCTTCTTCCCCTCTCTGTCAAGCTTTTGGCTGAATCGCGTCCCATATCCTTTCTAGCAGCTGAATGAATCTGTGAACGTACTCTAGGTTGCCTCCATAACGACACTCATCCACAGTATTTCACGTGTCTTCAGGACCTCCGCGGAGGTCAATGGCCAAAGGACCAGAATATCACATCTGGAAGATCCAGGATGCCTGCCATGTACGCGCCTGCTTAACTGCCCTGAGCTTTCCAGCAAGTTCCCATACGCACCCCTGTTACGAATCAACGGACGAAAGAGGCCGTTTGGGCGTTTGCAGTCGCACGCGGACTTTCTGGTTCCTGAGTCGTACCGATAAGAGAGGGGCTTCCGCCGTCGGGCTAGTCTCGATCTTGCTGAATTTCTTTCGAGCTCTCATTCGGGTAGGGATGTTGTTTTCTCTTCAAGGTGCGGCAGCCAGCAGGGGTTTTCCCATGCACCAGTCCAGCTAGAGCATTCCAGGCTTTCCCTCGAGATTTTATTGGCGGCCTTTGGCCACACTTGGGTCTCGAAATGGTCAGAAAGCCCGATCAGTCTACGGCCGTCCTTGGCGCTCGCTCCGTGTGAATCGTTAGCGACAGGTTCCTCGACTCTCCAAGGCTTTGTTGTAGCGAGGAGACCGGTCGCCATGGACGTATGAGTCGGAAAGAGCAAGACGTGGCTTTCCACAAAGCTCTGGTGCGCAATCTTCAACAGAATTTGGAGGTCCCCACTCATCGTCCACGAATGCAGCACTCTCCCTCTTTTCCCTAGTGGCTCTGGCTCTCGCTCTTCATGATGAGCCTATCGCGCTGAAGAGACACCCTATAGCGTGGGAAGTCAATTTGTGACAGCCCACAGAGTATAGCAGTGACAGGCCTGCCAGCTCAGAGCATTGGGCTTTGCCTTGGCCATGCCAAACTTATTGCTGAGAAAATCGCACAGCATCATGTCCGGAAGTCGTGCTCGAGACCGCCTGATACGTCCCGCGCACCAGAGTAGTACAGTCCGCCAACAGGCGTGAGCAGGAATGGCGACCTCATTCAATCTTACCGGGTTGTTGATGGACGGCCCATACAAGTCAATCACTGAGCATCCATGCAGCACACGGAAGTCGCATGCATATATGACAGCCTGCCTTATTGTCTACTTTGTTACTTCCTGCACGAGGTGCCCCTTCTTCGCCGTTCCCGTCGCCGTTGACGTTCTGTTGACGTTCCGTTGACATTCCGTTGTGACACCGACTGAGACTTCAAGTGGATGAGTGGGCGGATTCTGGCCGTCTCGACATCTCTGTTCGCACCATCGCCTGACCGTAGATATCGCGGAAGCGATGAGCAAACGTGTATCATAAATGGGTTTTGTAAAGTTGGGTTAGGTCGTCCAGCATCTGGCGGAAAGAAAAGAGGCGGGAAATTGGGGTGTGGAATTTTGCCCGGCGACCCGAAGATCCTGCGCAGATGCGGCGGCACAGTATACTCCAGCTCCAGTGATGGGTTGTAGCTGACGATGCCTTTGAACGCATGGCGGCTAGGGCACGATCTTCGGAGCGCATCACAAAAGCACCATGCACTACAGCTTTCTTTCATAATGCGTGCATAGACCCGCACCGTCGAACGCATCATGCCTTCATTTGCCGAGGGCCACAGATCCTCGACTCAAGTCTGCTCCTGATAATAAACCCAGTCGTTGGAGTCACTACAGGCAGCCTGGATTGCTGTGTGGCCAGACGTAAAGTGTCAGGGAGAGATCTAGGTCATTGTGACACTGCCACTGAGTGAACGCAATTTTACCGCGTTTCCGGCAGTGGTAAGATCGCTTCTCAGTAGACAATGTTTTCCACCTTCTCAAAGTGGCTGCCATTGGAGACGCCATCCGTCATTGGGTGATCTCTCAAACGATGGCTGAGAATGATGAAGAACAATACAGCAGTCCGCCCCCCGACGAGCTACGTCTACAGCCACCCTGACTGCAAGTATTAGCTAGAGCCAATCACGAACGTGGATTTGAGGCAGGCAAAGGATTGATGCATACTGAACGTGCCCTGGAGCAGCTGGAACAGCCAAACTAGAGTCACGTCAGGAAGTTGTCCACAACAAAGCACCTTGCCTCACTGCATGCATGCCTCGTCATTGGTCCAACTCCTCATGGTTATGGCACAGCTTGGTCACTTTGGTCAAACACTCCAAATCCCAGCGCATAAAAGTCGCCGGTTTGGCACATCGCCTTCATGAACCGCAGCGAGATGTGGTAAAATGGTGACTGAGGGGACCGTGAGTGGTGCCACCACGAAACCAGTTACATCATTCTCTTCGGTCTGGCTATCCAGTCATTCCTATGGCCACCATCCACCAGTTACCATGAAAGTCGGGCCTAGGAAGCGTTGGGCCCCAATAAACTTCGCCTTCGACTCTGAATTGCTTAAGATGCGAACCACCATGCCCGTGGTGGGAGAAGCCGCGCTCTTGATCTATCCAGACTTCATGATAGCTGAAAGTACCGAATCCTGAAATCTCATTCGACACTGTGTTGTGCTGTTTCGAAAACGCCTGTGGTTTCGAGACCCAGCGAGTCCGCAGCTTTTGCCAGGCCAGCGATGCCCTTCCTTTGACATGCAACCAACCGGGACAGGATGAGCGTACTACATTGCGATATTCGACCGACACCACCCTTTCGCTAAGTGAGTTATGGCGAAGGACGACGACCTGCGTGTATCAGAGGAATTTCAAGTGATGAAGGATAGGACTCTGAACCTTACCTTAATTGTGTTCACGAATAGGATCGATTTGGATTTTTTCTTGGGGCTTTTGCTGTCATGCTCAAGCCAGCGAAATAGACTGAGAGTATCGTCGTCCATGGGTACAGCAAGAACCTTCTCATATGATATTTAGGAGTCTTCCCGTTGACGGAGGGAAGCGATGGCTCAGCTCCCAGTATCGAAGCGGGTAAAGGGCCTCATAAGAATGAGCAAACTGATCGCCACAACAGCCAACCCGTCCGCAAACAGTACTCTGGTGTCCAGTGAATTGAGTTTAACCATGGAAGGACTTGCCTCGGCCCCGCGCGGATTGTGACGAGACACCAATGTTGGCCGCCCTAGCGTGAGGATAAGCGTATTGAATTATTGCTCCACAGCCATCTGAAAGTATTGATGGACGATTGACAATCTGGCAGAAACTCCCGACCGTCGATCACAGCTCTACTATGAAGCTTCAGACGCGAGACCAACGACAGAGGTGACGCACAAAGCTTCTTCCAAAAAAGTTTTGAAGCCCCTGCCCTCACAGCCATGATATGTACAAAGTCTTTGGATTACCATTCTGCGTTCCACTGGCTTTGAAGATGGGCCATTTGCACCAGAGTGCGCGCAAAGCCTTCCGGAACGACATCGACTCCTTGTCTACGAAGCCTCCCCATCACCGCCGATTGCACCTTAAAATTGCAGTGGACATGGTTTGGCGTTGCTGTTTTGTTCAGACAAATCACACCTGCGACGAGAGACTGTTCTTACCGATTGATCATACTCTCCCATGCAACCGGAGTGCGTGGTTTGCAATCGCCACACTTTTGATCGGCGTGCTTTTTGAACCACGTAACGCAAGGTGGGCATCGTCGATGGGTTTTTGCGTAAACTAGACACCACGACGACGCAGTCTTTCGGGTGTGACCGCATTGATATTTGTGCTGGGTATAGTTGCACATTTCCAGCGTGTTCAGCTGAATTTGAATCGATGGCTGCTAAATTGCTGTGAAGGGAGCGTATGATGCACAAGCTTAATATAACATACGCAAGGGTGGGGTTGCCCTCGGGCACGTTCGATCGCCCGCAGGTTCGTCTTTCCAATGATTGGCTTCCAGCTTGTATCACGGTCTGGGGTCTTGTAAGGAGCTGAAGTATCGTACGGTCAAAATGACGGACGATCGCGCCCTAATGATACGAACGTGCATGCCTACCACGGGAACAGATCGCCTCCGTCGAATGGTTTTAGCTCCACATGCTACGGCCCAGATGTAAATAGATGATGGTGCTATGAAGAGCTTTCTCTAACCAAGTTCTTGACAAGGCCATATCACATTGCAGCAAGTCTGCCAGCGCTCCGCGCGGCTTGAGAGGATATTGGTGGGGCGGCAATGACAAACCCCACGAAACTCCTGGCAGGGTCGCCCAGGGGAGAGACAGGAGAAGAGAGAAATGCCTGTTCAAGCAACAAACATACACGCTAGGTGGAATCTGCGCGACTGCGTCGAATTACAGTATAGAAGTCGCCATTGCCATAGGCAATCCAACAGCGCATCTGACCTGCATGCTAGTGCTACAGCGATGCATACTCTGGGTCCGATAGAGCCCACATCGATCTGAACGGCCGCCTCTGGCCTCCATCGCACGATAGAACCAGAGAGGAAAACATACAAGGATACTGTTCGCGCTATCACCGAGCCAAAGGCAGGGTTGCGAACATGTTCCCCTGTTGGTCTGACGGCCGTAAAGCTTGCCCCCGTTCAACTCTCTGATGCACTCCCCACAGGGAGTGACGCCAGGAACGCATCACCTTTGCGTTGATGGACCAAACGTACTACTGTCGGCCCCATCCTGGGAAGTCACTGCAGTGTACCTCGCGTCCGGAGCACTCCAACGCCAAGCTTGACCGTCGCGCGCCGCAGCAGCCATCGCAACTTTGGCTGAGAGATAGCGTCCCACATTATCTAGTGCGGGGGCGTTAGGGCTTACCCATGCTCGGTACACGATGTCGGGCTTTGGAGACATACGATACGTTGGAACATGGGAGGGCTTCTACCGGCTATTGTACCTTGCTCGCAATTCACTCTGTGTCGTGGCATTTGGTTGACTTAAATTGGTAAGCCATCTCCATAGGGGTGCTCGGAGATTCACCTTAGGAGGCTGCCGCTAGCACGCAAGTGTCCTGCGACGTGCAGACGAACTGCTTAAACTGATGGTCATGAACAGATGCATCACATGTTTGTAACATAATGCCATGTGCGTGCTCTGGTCTGGTCTTACCGAGCATTTGGCGTCTACCCCGTTCTGTGTCTGCTTCTCTACGGGATAATTGCGAAGTTTCATGTCCTGCCTGAATCGTTGAGTTCTTTTTCTTTTTTCGTGCTCTATTCTGCACTCTGGGCTTTACACAGGACAAATTCATTCAGTCCGGGTCTCGGGCTACAGCTCCAGAAGACAAGGGATGACTCGTCGGCAGTTGACGCAATAATAAGCGAGTTCACCAATCCCAGTGTCATTTGCAGAGGTCAAGTTGCAGAGGCACGGCCAGATTTGCATGACGTGAAGGTATCTCAGCTGGGGACGATATCGCCAGTCTATAGAGTCGAAGGAGTTCAGACATGCGCTGAGGGAGATACTTGCGCCGATCATGGCTACAATGCGAACGCTCAGCTAGCCGGGTAGGGGTTTTGTCCGTGGAGAAGCCAAGGCCAGCTCCAGAGTCCGTCGTAGCAGCCACCCTGGAAGGTGGACTTTTCCCCTCATTTCTCTTTCACAGTAGGGTGGGGGCAGGTTGCGGGTACAGGCAATGGGACGCTGTTGGCGTGCAATGGAATAGTGTCGGAAAACAGGCCAGCAAAAGGTGTACAGATGGGTCACTAAAGTAGTGTATTGGATTCACGCCATCACCACTCCGCAAGATGATCTAGCGTATTGCATGGCGGGAGGCGCGAATGGCATATCAAGTAGGCAGACGGGGTTAGTTCGGGGCCTTTGCCCATTCTGAAGGTCCAGAACACTGCAACATGATGTTCGCTAGATTGACGCTACACGAACATCGAGGCTGGTCAATGGCACGACTTGACGGACTACCAAGCGGCTGTTGCGGCCTTTCCGGCGTCAGGATTCGTCCCGGCAACGTTTTAGCTCAGTATGCTGGCACAGCTCCTGTGCATACGTTTTGAGGCGCACGCCCCAACGGCGTCAGCTGCACTAAGGCACATATCGATGAAGCGTGTCTTTGGTGACGCTAAGCCTATCTGACTGTCAGGACACATCCTGACTCCAAGTCTGGCTTAGTGTTGGCCAAGATCTGATGTTGAGGACGCTACTATGCAGCAACCCACAGCAGAGGGGTGTGTACAAGCTAGCGTGCACGAGCCAGTGCCGGGTATCGTGGTAGGGGGCGTGACTGACACAGCAACTTCTCTAGTACTGCACAGACTAGGGATCCCTAATGACGCTAGGCTCTATGGGATGTCAGGACAAATCCTGACTCTCGAAGCGGCATAGTCAGTAAAATCAGGGCCAATCACTGTGGCATGGAATGCTCACAGACTGACATGGGTCTCGGCCCTCACGGCACGCCATCTTGCTTACTTTTACCCCCTGATCCTCACCCCCTCGTAGAAGTATCAGAAGTATGCAGACAATCCCGGCATGGGGTTAATTGGGTGCTTATCCTTACCAGTACTCGGCCTGGTCTCGGTGGCCATTGTATTCAAGGGAAATACCTAAATACATCACATATCATGTCCTGTGCCTTTGCTTCTCCCCTATACTCTTTTCGATGTCAGGACGTGTCCTGACCCCAAAAGAGGAAAGGTCCGAAGGACAAAGCATGCACACTACACAAGGGAAATTTCTTCGCGCTCTTGACAACCTACCCATTCACAATGGACCAGCATCAATATTGTTTCAATCCACACCGCGTCCAAAGCATGCACCAGGAAGGGGCGCCTCACCATCGAATGGATTTTGAACCGTACCAACCGCAAACAAATGCTTTTGCCAGGTCATCACTGACGATCCTCTCCCCGACGCCGTGGTCAGAGCCCCGACCGCTCGTTCCTCCTCCGACCCCTCCTGCCCACCTCAACCGAGTGACGAACCCAAGCCCTACTCTCCCGCTCTCGCGCGTCTGGCACTCGCAGACGCCGGACAGTGTGAGGAACAGGCCAAAGAAAACCGGCCGAACAAAGGACTCGCCGCGCCTTCCCAAAAGACAGTATAGAGTTTTTTTTCAAAAAGTTCCGGACACCGAAGATGGGTGGCTTGGAGCGAGGAAGCGGCTCGGCCTGACGAACCTCGAAGGCATCGCGAAAGCAATCGATGATATCCTTTGGTTCGGAAGCGACTGTGGGGAGTCCTGTATCCCCAGGGACATGACAGACTACATCACGCATCGGGCGGGGAAAGCAGAGAGCATCGGTGGCCCCGATCGTGTCACCTCCCTGTCCAGATACAGCCACGTAGTCTTCTTGGGTGAATGCTGCGTCGCCCGTCAGCTGGAAATGCGTACAGAATTGATCGACGAGGCCATCAAGCAATTTCTTCACAACACGTTATCGCCAGCTAGGTCCTCCGAACGAACCGGCGCGGGTAGCAAGACACAACGAATGTACGAGAACGTTCCAGTATGGATTACGCGTCAGGAGGAATCGCTCTTTCGCCATCGCGGGCATCTTGCATCAGAGATGTTCCTTCATGGTGCGGCCCTCAGTGCGAGTCGAGTTTCTTTCAGTGCTGACCAGTTGCTGCTGCTTAGGTGCGATGAGCCTCTCAAACTTTGACAGTCTATCCAGGTCCGGGCCAGACCATCGGTTTCGGAAAGAGACCATGGCTAAGATCCCATCGAACATGATATCGTCGCTCGAGACCGAGCTTCCCTTCTATTTGCCGTTCATCGTCTGGGCCCGTATCCGCCTTCATACAGGCATTGATTGCTACGAACAACTGGGACCCGCATTAGGTGTCACCAAGTTTACCCCAGACGATTTCCAAAGATGGTTTAAAATCTATCAGCAGAACACAACAAAGCCTACGACAGGTAACAAGCGTCCCTTGAGCGAAGTTCAATCTGAGCCGACAGGGAAACGACAGCGGACCAGCCTTCAAAGGCCAGACAGGTCACCACTTGATACTGCTGCTTCGGGTGTCTCAGGCGCTCTTGCACAGGCTGGAGATTCTGCCCCGTCCCTGCTCATCGGCAGCAGTGCAGACAAGAGCGTACTTGAGCAAGGGCTACAATCCAATCGGTTGCCCCAGATGCCTACTAACGTTGGTGCTGACCAATTCACTCCGTCATTCACACTGGAGTTCGGCTGCGAAACGGCTTTCCATGGATCACAATTAGAAAAGCCTGCCGGCTATATGCATGATCTGACTGGCCCGGTCGACCAGCTCTCGGCCGAGCTCGAGAACATCACGGCCCCTTTCATCGGGTCGCGTTACGATGTAGCCGGCGCAACCATTCCGTCGGAAAGTTTTTGGAGCGGCATCGATTGGAATCAAATTAGCCGTCTTGAGCCGGCGTATCATGAGGACCGTGTTCGGTATATGAGCGGGCACTAGTGAGCATCAACTTCAATTTTCATCTACCTGTAATCTACGTGCGATGCTTCGTATATCTCCATGTCATGCTTGCACTGCCGTCCTCTTGCTCGTCGCATGTGCTTATGGCGCTCCGCTAATCAGGTGGTCATACTTCTCACACCCACGATTTTCATTCGCTGCTGGCTGAGATTCAAAAACATGTCTTTCCATCAGGAAACGACAAGACGGGTCCGTTATAAACAGAGAGCTACCAGCTGGAAGACGAAAAGGTGACTCAGTCTGCCACACGATTTCACGTACTTCCTGTCCAACTCGGTACGATGCCTTTGGCGAAGATAAATCCTGGGAGCGATCTGCGCTTTTTAACGGAATGAATGTGCAAATAGAGTTCTCGGGCACCGTGAACTTTCCAGTGAGTCTGTACGGGCCGTACTTGTATGTGCGCACATGCTTTTGGCCCTTGGCCTCGACCATCTTCACGATCTCGCGTCCCTACCTCCTGTTAGGATCCTTCACTCAAGACAGGGGAGATATCCATACGTGGTCGAGTTTGAAAGATTGCAATATCTCTTCGTGAACTGAGGTCATTTCCTCTTTTAACAGACCCAGGAATCCAGGCACGGGGCATGCCGTCCCTGGTGTGTCGTTTCCGGTCTTGTTTGAAAGCTCAGGGTTGGCCGGGTGCACTTTGAACTGGTCCATTTGGGTTGAGAGGCAACACCTTCTCGCGACTAGTGTACCTCGGAAGTCGCATGGCGAGTAGAAAGACTAATGGTGATGGTAAGATGGCAACACGTGGTGCATACCCAAGCTGCCACTTTAGGTTCTCCTTCTTCTCGTGTCCCACATGGTCGCTGGGCTAGACGATGCGAAATGTGGCTGATCAAGCTCCTATTGGTGCCAGCGCAGCAAGAAAGATGGCCGTGCTGGCTGACAAAGCCATACGCATCGGCAACGGGGAAACACTCGGACCGACAGGCATGTCGCGACAAACGCAACTAAACTCGACGTATCACTCAAGCTGCTGTTGGTTTGATGGCAAAAGATCTTCGCTTGAGATCATAACAGCCTTCGTGAAGCAAGATGTTCTTCCAACTTTGGTCAGATTGTTCGCAGTGGATCACGGCGCAACGCTTCAGAAAATCTTAACAGCCCCGAGCCGCGAAATGGCCCCTACGACGACGAACGACCGAGCCTTACAATTACGATCGTGTACGGACGAATGCGGGTTCGCGCTTGATACAGATAATTACGAACAAAGCTCGGAGGGCGATTGTAGATGCGCGAAAAACATGCCAAGGGCAATGTGTATGCATGCATACTTTGTCGTTGGTTTGGGTTGGTGGACGAGAGGCTTAAATCAGCAGAGCGGGAGAATCATAAATATTTCACACCGTCAGTCGATAATCACATCGAGTAATGGTTGTTCCGCTATCTTCTCTTGCTAGTAATCTGTGCCAATGCCCTAGTCCATCAAGGCGGCCTGACTACAGCCCATCTCACATCCCGATAGTGTTGTCTTCCTCAAACGAGACGAGCCGTGCTGCCTGTCGCTAGAGTCTTAGATTTTGGCATTAGACCGAGGCTACGGACAATGGTTGCGATGGGTCCTGTTGACCGCAATCTCTTATTTTGTAGACCGGCATCATCCACGAGCGCCGCGGGGCCGTATCATATGGTGCGCCGACCTCGCAGCTGCCCAACACGGCCTGGAGAGTTTTCGCAATGCTGAGAGCGGAAGGGTATAGTTGACCGACCTCTTTGCCGACTGGATGAGGCGGGAGAGGAGCAATTCTAATACATCGGCATCGTAGCCATTAGAAGCCAAACGCAGGTTCATCTAGGCTTCACAACGAGTTTAGTGTAGCTATCGTTCGACTAGTAGGAAGGCGGTCTCATGTTTTGAAACGCTTGGTGTACCTGGATGGCTGAGTACAGCCATTGCGATACGGGCACCGCACAGGTCACCGGTCATGGGCCGGCTATCACCGTTGAGCACCGTTCGGGACGTGGTACGGGCACCGAGATCGGCTGGCTGTACGTTTGGGACAGGTTTTCAAGCACAGCGTATCCCAACATGGTGTCAAATGCCACTAAAGCGGGACCAAGGACTTAGGTTGGCTTAAGAGAAAATATCGCAATTCATGTATATTCGCTAACCTTCTCTCTGTTTGCCATTCCATTTCCTCACGCACAGTTGCAAAAGTCAATAGCCTGCTCGGCTGTGTATTTACATTGGCTCACACCAATACATCCAGCCTCTGGTCAAGCCGCCGGGTCTTAAACTATTACACCATATTGGGATTGGTCGGGCTTCGGAATCGGATTAGAGGTATTGAGCTTGGTAGAACCAGGTCAATCGTTCTGGATCTATTTGTTCTATAATGGAATTAACAGGTTTTCCGACCGGAACGCGTTCTTAATTACCTGGTACTCTTCCGGAGTTTCGACTACCACGGGTGTCAAAGTGCCTATGTCTATAGAAGGACCTGTGGTGGTTGGCTCGTTCGAGGTAGGGTTGTCTGACATGATGCTTTGTGCAGCCTTCTGGTGCGCAGGAGTCTGTGTCTGTCTTGAATTCGCGAGAAGAGATTGCAAAGTCTGAAGTTAATGCGAATTTTTAATCTGATCAACGATGTAGAGTTGTGATTATTGAGACCTTCTGATTCATTCATTGGTGATACCTGTTCGAACTTATATGCTTTCGGCTTCTGCGGACTTCGCAGGAACGTCAACAATACCACAGGCGTGAGGCTGCCCGCATATCAAGCTTGGAGTGCCTTCTTTGACTGTGGCCAAGTCATTAAGGGCTTGTCAGGGTCAACAGCCGGCCCAGCCTTCATCGCGTGCAGGTAATAACGGAAATTGAGCCGAAGCTCATGCTGAGAGCGACGGCCTGGCTCCTGGACAAGCCGCACCCAATAGTCACAATTAAGACTCCACGGTGAATTGGGGGAACTTGATCACCATCGCATCCTTGTAATGCGGCCGTTCATGTGGCCCATGAGGAGGTTCTCCGTGGCTCTGAACGACTTGGCTACCACATGTCGAATACGCTGATAGCATGGTCGCCATGCTCGACAAAGCTGGTTTCGACATGCTGAAGTTGCATCGCATATTAATCTCACTGTACAATGATGGGATATGAAGATTGATTCACTGTTACTCGATCACATACAACAGACAAGTACCCTTCCGATCTCCGTGTCTGACGATAGTCCCAACAGTCTGTTCTGCATAAGAACCTCTTTGGAATGTATTGTACAAACCGTTCACCCTCAGCTACTTCAGCAGCATCAAGGACATCTAGACCTACTTCTATCGTTCCTTAACTCGCCCTAGGTCCGAGACAAATGTATCGGCTTGCTTGTGTTTGGCCAGTAGGTGTGCCACTCTCACAGTTTCACTTACGATTTCATGGCAATCCTACAAGAGATTCTGACAGAAGATTGAAGTTTATCGAGGTTTTGATGCGGTGAGCTCTACGTTGTACTCCCTCCGAGTCACGCCCGCAGGCTAAGGCTCAACCGGCCAAAACATCCTGGTTAGCCTCCCATGCCTCCCTTGACTTGAAAGTGGATCTTACTATTTGAAATTTCGAATTTTCCTTTCCAAATTTTCCTTTCCTTTCCAAATTTTCCTTTCCAAATTCCCCTTCCCAAATTCCCCTTCCCAAATTCCCCCTTCCCAAATTCCCCCTTCCCAAATTCCCCCTTCCCAAATTCCCCCCTCCCAAATTTCCCCCTCCCAAATTTCTCCCTCCCTTCCCAAATTTCCCCTCCTGAGTTTTCTCCTCCCAGATTTCCTCCCAACTTTCAACCTAGATCCACATGTCGTGGAATTTTTTTTCAACCCCACATCTACGCTTTCTTGGCGGTGAGTCCACGTCACTCAACCCCTCTTCCATCATTTGTTGCATCCGCCCGCCCGGTTTCATCGTTACAACACACGACTGGGCATCATTGCTGTTGTTAACCCCTCATATAGCACGCCCGCGCCCGACAGTAATTTGTGCCTGGCCGTTGCCTCTGGCTGTTGCCTCCAGCCAAAGTCCCACACTTCGTGGTGTTACGGCCCGTCAGGCTCTGGGAAGGGGCCCGAACGATGCGTGCGTTCCACTTCTTGCAACTCCAAATGCCAACGGAGACGACTTCATAAACGAGCAGTAACAAACCGTAAACACTTGTTCGCAACGCAGAAGTCAAGCAACTTTCGAACACTGTCCTTTCCAAGACAATCGAGGCGAGTAACTCGAGCGATCTTGACTAGTTATCTTCTCAGAATCAATCCAGATGGAGGTGCGTCCGTCATCCTAGATGAGAAGTACCTAATTAACTTCTTCTAGTTATTTGAAGTAGGCGCGCTCGACACGCACAGAAACAACGACGATTTCTTTCGCGACGCAAAAACAGGCGCGCAGCCAGTCATAGGGTCCGGTCAAATGGTATATTGGCAAAACTGCACCGTGACAGTCTTCGCGAGTGGGAAGGAAGATGGACAACCTATTCGAAGGCTTTCAAAGTGTAGTGGTCAAGCATCCTTGAAAAGGGGCGTCAGCGTCCTGTTTGAGGAGGGCAAGGTCAAGGAGGAGGAATGAGGCAGCTTTCGGGTTAGCCATAGAATTCTGTCTTGATCTTTGATGCTCTCCATTCTCCCAAGAATACAGTAATTCTGCCAGCATCCTTCGCCTTGGCCGGGATTGTCATCGACACGCCATCAGTGCGATTTCGCAGTTCCTCATTCTCTCGCTGGTATATAGGAGATGTACATGCGCCTTCGTGCAGGTCATTCCTGAATATGCCAGACAAATCCCGACCACAAGCCCGCAGTTTGATTGATGGATCCGGTTCTATCTTGCCACCGCCATTGACACGCACTGATCTGACGCCATCCTTAGTCTCTACTTTGACACCAAAGTACTCGAAAGCAAGACCTGCCACCTTTTCCTCCGCAATTCCGATCTCCATTTGGCAGCCAAAATGTTCTCGAATATGACCTTGTTGAAATACCATGGAAATGTCGGCCAGCCACGCACCAGGCTGCTCGGGATTCGGTATTCTTCGAATCGAGTCCCAGAAATGCTCATGAAATAATTTCTCGGCTGGTTTGAGAGGAGCACCAACGTACACGTCCCTTGGCGAGGCTCCATGACCAGGTACTGGCTCCGACAAAGAGTGCTCGGGATCGACAGGGCGCGCGTCCGAGTTGTCTAGTATCATCGCCGATGATACAAAAGGTGCTGTCTGATCTTCGGTTGTGATTCCTATGATAGATGTTAGATGACAGGACACATCCCAAGGTGTAGCACATACGACGACGTTTAGCACCATGCGAGTCGATGTTTCCTCCACCCTCTGTTATGTGCAAGGCAAGCTGCTTTGCAAAATCACGCTGTTCGTCGATAGGCTGGCGGCTGAGGTCATCAACTAACTCTTTCATTTTGGCCTTGCCACTAAAGCCATGATCTGACTTTAACCCTTTCGTCGCCGTGTAGTATGCACGCCAGGCCGATTCGCTCGTCTCAAGAATGATCTTTTCTGTGGAGTTCTCATTGGACTCAGCTGCGGTTCTCAAAGCCTGGTCAATTTTGTACGGGCCACGCTGCAGATTCTGCACGCGCTCAATCACGAGAGGAATAAGCGGCCAAGACCGTGCCGCCATTGAAGGCAACCGCTGTGGGAAGCTTAGTGGGCTTCTTCGTCCTGTAAGGGGGGAGACGGGCCGGGGGTGTCTCGTGGGAGCTTGGTCGTAACCAAAAGGAAGATTGGGAAGAAGATTGGGAGAAAAGTGGTTTAACAGAACGAGAACGATAAAAATGGGACGATTGGGAAGGAGGATTGGTAAATAATGGAGGAACTGGTCTAACCATTCTTGCCAGTGACGTGGCGTCCCCACTCTGGTTACCAGCGGCAATACGAGACCGGCAATTGGGCAGCTCATTGTAACAACTTGGTTGCTTGCACTCCATTGGCTATGTCATTTTCTAATGAGTATTTTTAGGCCTCAAGGCAACCGCGGCATGGGAAGGTTTTACGACTGCCATATCTTATCATAGGAGGTGCGAAAATGGCAATGATCCCGGCGATTCTCGTGATTGCGATCGGGAATCTCAGCTGCCTGCCAATGTACACGCTCAAGACTGCCTCTGGTACCGTCTCTGACAGACTGCCTGATGACAAACGCGATATTCACTTTTACGTCGTGAATCTGTAAGAGAACAATGAAAAAGATCAAGAGCTGTGGCAAGAACCGGAAAATCACGGACTGTGTTTCAAAGGCTGGGAGAAACCTGCCCATCAACCTATCGAGCACTTTTCCGAATATGTTGGCCTGGCTAAATACATTCTGAAGAGGGCATCCTCGACGGAGCAGTAGCAGCAGTGCCACCCCCCACAGGTCTACTACGATGTTTACGGGCCAGAGATGGTCATGTCCTTGAATGAAAGCAGCGAAAGCCACGAGATGGCTCTCGCGAGCTTCGTTTGGCCGTGTTGTGTAATATCAGTGTCACATGCCCTGAAAGGCAACGCCTAGCGGGATGGCAAGGCTTGGATGCGAGGACCCGACCAGCAAGAAGTAATGAGTGGATTCCATCAGACATAGTACCATACACAGCAGATAGTTTTCCAACATTCAATGTAACCTATGCCAACTTGAGATTCTTTGCTCTGCGACCAACTGAGCCGAAGGTGAACTGCGTTAGTAGTGCCAGTCCCTGCATGGCCTGGCGTCACAGTGTTAAGCAACTCCTCTCTTCAGCGATGAGCGAAGATAGCCCCAAAGACACGGGGGAAGTAGTGTTCGTTCGATGGACATTACGTGTGAAATGCACCACGAGCACCCCGGTCAACCCCCGCACCGATAGCCGGGTGTCCCCTGCGGTGCTGTCGAGAGACTTGAAAATCAGAGTGTCTTGCGGCCGTCCTTGGCGCGCGTCTCGTCGCCGCTTGGTGGCCGAAAATCCTGGTTGAACGATGTTGGCTAAGGTGACCGATCGTCGTATCGGATATTGTGCTCTATGCAGCTCACTATCTGCGGGCTGGGGTCCGGTCTGAGACTTCGAAGGGCTGATTCCTTCCAAGGTTTATGCAAGGGTCACCAGCGCTGTCACTAGCCAACCCCAAAAGTCCGTGCCTCGGGTACGGATGGTCGTAGCTCGAACGGGTTGTGGACACCGGGCGGCTCCCTCACGCCCCTGCTGAACTGCACCCTATGGCGTCTTTAGAGTCAGAGGTACCGCGCCGTTTTGCTGCGCTGAGCTTACGGCCACCCCCAGAGCCCCACCGAGTCCTTTCCCGCCAGGGACACCAGACGGTACAAGCCGCAACGTCCGGGCCTCGATCAGAGGGGGCGGACGGACGAGTCAACGCACGGTCGCCCACTAACCGGATCAGGATGTCGTTCGCGGGCCAATCACATCTGCCGCAGCCGACTTCATCACCTCGTTATACACTAGACTGGAAGTGCTCAACGCGATGGGGAAGACGGGTTTCGATGGCTGAAGGGTGACTGCCGATGCTCTTGGAGGCGCCGAGGGGTTTCGGGGACGCATAAGTTCCCGATGTAGATAGGGCATGAGCCGGGCCATTGTCCCGAGAGACTAATGTACAGGGCGTGGAGGCTTCTTCTCTCAACTTGAGTGGTGCTCAGTTGGATTTGTGCTTTCCAGCGGCAGCATCGCGCGGAGAGCATTACAGCCAGTGCTGCCATAGGAGCAGCATACTGTCTAGAGGAACCACTAGATCTTCCGTAGCATGCACATATGTCAGGAGTGGGTGCAAGTTTCTTGACAAAAACCCACGCCTCTTCCTTTTTGACCTGGGGCATGGCAGGACTATAGGAGCCGATCCGTGGTAGGGATCTCGGGACAGGAAATGCTCGTATTGCCAATTCTTCAACAACGCCGCCGCCACCAAAGTAAAGTTTAATTCCCCCGTCAGGAGATGTCTCAGGACTTCAATCACACCGGACTGGGTGTAGGGCCGGCCGTCCTCCGCGTACGGTTCCTGCCGGGCTTTATAAGACGTGACGGTCCCCGAGTTCTCCTACGTTGGCAATCGTCGACTACCTGAAGAATCCATTGACATTGAGTCAACAACACGAACATCATGTCTGAGTCCAGCCTTACCTCTGCGAACACCGTCGCTCCCGCGGCAACCGGGAACCTGGTCTACCTTCACTACGTCGTGTTTGGTGTTGGCTATGGCGTTTCCACTTTCCTCGTTCTTTTGCGGCTTTACCACAGGAAACATGATGGAATTCTGAAGCTAAGCGACAGTAAGTGATCACACAGCCGAAGGACGTACAGCAGAGAAGCACAACTGACGTACTATACCCAGTGTTGGCGGTCTTCTCCTGGGTAAGTAAGATAGGAGTTCACGTTAATGATACCCAGAACTCATTCCGGAACGCCAGGTGTTTTCGTCCGCCATGCAAATTCTGATGATTGGCAAGTACCTCCAAGACCCGGGGATGGAAAATGCTAACGAAGTTGGCGTAGTCGCGATATCCATGGGTACAATGTGCTTCCCGCGAGTATCCATTCCAGACGATCGATTCCGGATATACGTCGAGGTGCGTACCGTGGCCTGTTCAGATGAGACAATCATGGTTGACAAGCAGTCACAGCTCAGTTACAATGCGGCGCCGGCGTTCATGATGTCCATCGGCTGTGCGAAGGCGTCTATACTCTGCCTCTATCTAGAAACGTTCTATGTCGATGAGTGGTCATACAAGGCTGCAAGGATCACACAAGGTGTTGTGATAACGATTACAGTCACCATCACCCTGCTGCTATACCTCTCGCGCCTCCCGAGTCTGTCACTCGATGCTGTGGCCCTCTTTCTGGCAACGGCTGCCTCGAACATCATCATGGACTTGGTGTTGCTGATTCTTCCCATTCGCCCCGTGTTCAAACTTCAGACAAGCCTTGGCAGAAAGTTTAGGCTCACAGGATTTTTCAGCCTCGGCTTACTGTACGTCGCCATGCACCAGAGCTTCGTATGAGAACTGACGTAGATCGCAGCACCACTGTCACCTCTATCCTCCGGCTGTATCTTCTCATCCAGATTCAAGGCAGCGAAGACCTTACCTGGGACGCCGCGCCGGCCAATATCACTTCGTACGTTTCGCGGAAGTACAACCTGCAATACTCACTGACGGACAAAAGCTTTCTCGAAGTCAACCTCCTTCTAATCTGCGCTTGTGTGCCCGCTGTGCGCCAATTCTTCAGGGCCCACAAGCCCGACTCCTCTATAGTGAATCGATCCACCTTCACAAACCGAGCCTCGGGGACAAGACGGTCACATCTGCAACGCTCGAGTCAAGTTCAATTGCGCGAGTCCCAGGATTCCATTGTAGAATTGGGAATCATTGCCCCGAGAAGTCAATCAAGCGGCGCAGATAGTGCAGGAGCTGATAGCGCTTGGAGCGAGCCGGTACAGGAGAAAAAGGTCTCTAGCGCATCTCTGTATATCTGATAGCATCAGGCGACAGTAGGGGCTTGAGATAGCAAACAGGTGCGAGCTTGTCTCTCTGCTGAATTACCAACGGTCTTTGACCCAAATTTACCGCCAGATCACATCTATGATTACTCGGAAATGTCTCATCGGTCCTCTCCTTGATTGAGCGATATGAAAGTAGCCAGGCGGAGCCAGACTCCCTATCTGGGCAGGCCGGCCGGGAAAGGGTAGATTGCATGACTCCCGAACCCAGGCCTGCCGGCCGCTGCACGTATGCCACCATTCGGCTTACCCGGTTTCGCTAGCGTCTACCCCGAATGGCCTGACAACGTGAGCAATACCCCGCTCCTGTGCAATAGAGCCATGGTATTGCACCCCAGGTGCGAGAGCCGGGCTACCCATCACCAGAGTCTACAGTGGCTGTCCCAGACCTCGTATCCTCAACATGGCCAACCCTCCTCTGTGTTCAGGCGGTGAGCGATCGTGAGCACTTCAGCTAGATGCCTACGACTGGGTACGGGAGGATTTGCGAAGTCGTGAGTATAAAAACCCGACTCTTTCCCCGTCACTTCGGACCTCTACAATCAATCACGGTCTCCTTCTTCCGCATATCTCGAGCAACTATGCAAATCTTTTATCTCGCGGTCGCATTCATCCTAGCGGCTACCGCCATCGAATCAGCCGCCGTTGAACGCTCTGAATTCAAATGTGTATGTCGGCAATCTACCCACCACGTTATCTCATACTGACGCTAGACTAAAAGTGTCTCGCTCTCCTGAAAGACGATGCACTTTCTGGAAAGGTTTTGACTCCGTGCAACGAGAATTTCCACCATCGCTTGGAGTCGTACTACTCCGCCAATGCGGCTGAGCCACCTCGCTGTATGGTGTTGCCTCAGACTTCTGAAGACGTCGCCAGGACCATCCAGATCATATCTGCTCGAAATTGTTCCTTTGGGATGAGAAGCGGGGCCCACTCGGCGTTTAGCGGTTCGAACGGGCTCAAGGATGGCATCACAGTTGATTTCGGTGAGTATCGCCTCTTCATCTGGCAACAAGGCTCACATGCGATAGGCTACATGAACTCGACCGAATATGACCCGACCACCGGCATCGCTTCCGTCCGCCCAGGCTCGAACTGGGGCGATGTATACTCCGCTCTGGATCCTTTCGGTGTCACGGCTGTTGGAGGACGAGCTTCTGTCGTCGGGGTTGGGGGTTTTACCACGGGCGGTGGGGTACGTGTCCTCTGTCCCTCTGCTTGCAAGACCGTCACGAGACGAGCAGAGACTGGTTTCTTTCTGACAAGAGAAGACTGACTCTCGACAGTACTCTTTCCACAGCAACAGGAGAGGATTCGCTTGCGATAATGTTGTCAACTTCGAGGTTGTTCTCGCCAATGGTACCATTGTCAGCGCCAACGCGCACGAGAACTCCGGTCTCTGGAAAGCTCTCAAGGGGGGCTCGGGAAACTTTGGTTTCGTCACACGGGTTGATGTCGGTAAGTCGCAAATGATATTGTGATGTGAGCGTACGTAATGAGGCGCAATGATGGCTGACTTTCCACAGAGGTCGTCCGTTCGACCCAGATATGGGGTGGGATCACAACCTACGACCTGAGCAAGACAGATGACGTGGTCAACGCTTACGTCAAGTTCGTCAACACCATGGACGAAGACCCGGCCAGCCAGGCCATCGTGACTCTGCTGTATGGCCAGCAGGGGCTGAGCCTCGTCGCAGTGTTAACGAACAGTGACGCGAAAAGTTCCGCGCCCGCCTTCCGAGAATTTGCCAGAATTGCCAACGTTTCAAGCACAGCTCGCGTCGGATCTGTCACAGAGATGGTTCCTGAGTTCACCGGACCAACTCCCCTAGGACTCTAGTACGTCTCGTATCGAAATTCACCGAAGGAGCGACATGGCTGACCATGACACAGCGCCAATTGGAGGACCGGCATGACCTCACACAGCGCCCTTATTATGGAATTTGTTCTTGGTATCGTGCCAGAATACACGAAGAAAATGCATCTCGCAGCTTCAGACTCCAACTTCGAGCTTCTCACTCAATTCCAGCCTGTGACCAAGTCGATGGTGGCCCATGGCGATGAACGAGGCGGCAACGTCCTCGGCCTTGGGAGAGTGATCGCAGACGGTCCGGCTCTCATGTGGCTCCTAGCACTCACGGTAGATACCGCAGAGAACCAGGAGTTGATCTGGCCTCTCTTACTCGAACTAGAGAGTGCCATCAACGAGTTTGCTTGTAAGGAGGGACTTCAAAAGGACTGGGAGTTTTTGAACTACAGCGGCCTTAATCAGACGCCATTTCTGCACTATGGCGAGGAAACGGTTCACTTCCTGAGGAGCGTTTCGTTGGAATATGACCCAGGCAGAGTTTTCCAGGACCTTCGGAAGACGGGCTTTCGGATCCCTGTTTGAGTCCTAAATACAATCAACGAGCTCGATATGAAGGAAGTAAGGACGGCCACTAGAATTCGAAATATGCAAATGTCAAGAAGCGAATAATCTCTAGCATGGATTTTGAGGGAAAACATGATAACCATAGACGATAGACACGTAGCGCCCAGGTACAATTCGTTGTGACGTATTGATCTCGCGTCCTCTGCCAAGAGATGCGTACGCAATGGTATCGTCCGATTGACATCAGGGTAATGCAGATACCGTGCTGAGCTTCTAAAGATCTCAAATCTCCACGATGGAGGTGTCTATGTTTCGTGGTTCGTATGCATGCAACCGCCGAAGAGCAGCTGCGGGACGACGTGAAACCGTAAGACTCGGCAATGACATTGACGGAACGAAGGAGTAGTGCTGAGTCTATAGCGGACTAAGAATTATGCTAACCTTGCTGGCCGAGCTTCCATCTCCGGCTTAACCTTGCCAGAAATTCAGTACACCGTGATGTGGTTTCGGGCTCGACGCCCCAGCGGGGCGCAGCAGAACGAAGGAAGACCCGTGAAGGGACTAATTACAAAGGGAATTGACGTTTCGATGTAGCACTCAGTCAAGGATGGGTGTTGCCCTCCGCAAGCTTGTTGAGGCTGAAGAGCTAGAGTGAGGCTTTGAGGGATCGCTATTTTTGCAAAAGAAATCGCGTACCAAGAAACGAAACGGAAATTGGGTCTTGCCACTCGGTCGGCATCTCGGGTGGGACGTAGATGCGCCGGTCAAGGCTGGAACTTCATGTCCGACGGCTATCTGGATGTTGCAGACATGGCCTCATAACTCGATTGAGTTTCCTGTTGTCGGCAAGCATGCCTTCCGTTAGGAAGGTTAACTCCTCCATCCGAGGCGCGAGCAAAGGAAAAAAAAGTCTCTGTTGCCTTGGTTCCCCCCTGTCCTACGGCCTGTGATTGGTCAGAGCAAAAATCGATGCTGATTGGCTAGAGATCATCACTGACCAATCAGCGCTCTTTGTCTTCGTTGTCGCCAATCAGCTTCGACTTACTCTTCTCATGGCCAATCATCGTCAAGGATCGTCTTCCCGCCCCCTGCCTCGAATTGACTAAGCTTGCATACTGGTCTTTCTGGCTTGTTTCCATTTTGGGCCTTTTTCGACTTCTTCCTTCCTGCCTCATCCAACTACTTATCATAACCGCTGGTACTTTTCATATACCACCGTCCTTCTCCATGTCTACGCCTGGACGTCGTCGCCCTGTGCTTTGTGACAGTATGTTGTCTTCAATCGTTCCCTTTCTAATAGCACTCTCGCTAACTACTCCTTTAGCTGGTACTGACCTCCTGGATCGGCTTGGTGTTGACCCTTCCATGCGGACTAGCCGAAGTGTTCGGATCTTGTCTTGTTCCCCCGTAACCCGCGAGCTTACTCCTCGGAAACAAACCAAACCCCTTTCTTTGGGTCATGGTTACCGTATCGTTGCTACTTTAGTACAGGCTACGGGCATTGAGCGTCGTCCCCCGTGCGACCGATGCGCCCGCGCGAATGGTCCTTGGGAGCAATGTGTGATACTGCAATCCTCTGAGGGTATCCAGGTCACGAAGGGCGGCTGTGCTAACTGTTGGTGGAACAACGCAGGCTCCCGGTGCAGTAATCGTACGTCTGTCCTGTTTTAATCAACATGCCCCTTTCTTAACTGATACTAGATACCTCCTTGACTAGGCCTTCGGGTGTATCCTTGGGCTTGGTCGGGCAACCACCGGGCACGCTTGCTGACTGTTTCCCTGCTCTGAATCGATGGGAGATGGAGCTCGAAACACTCGGCAATCCAGGCGTTGCCTCACGTGCTTCTACACTAGCCAGAATGGATGCATCCGAGCTAGTTACTAGATACATGGATCTTACATCCCGACTGGACATCGTCCGCGCTTCGATTTCGAACTTGACATCCGAGTCCCAGCTGTTAGCCCAGCAGGTTTCGGAGGTCTCCTTTGTATTGTCTTTTCATCGTACGTTCGATATACGGAGAATTGCTCCTGGTCCTGCGCAGACCCCTGGTGCAGGCATCGCTTACCCGCCTTCTGGCACCGGTTCCGAGGTGCACCACACTGGCCAAGACGACACTAAGAGGGTTTCGGACACATGAAGGCACACTGCAACGTCCAGCGTAGGGCGGATAAGCCTTTCCTGCTCTTTGTACTTCTACGTCTGCTAGTCCGCTCCCTCCGCTTTTATCTTCACCGCCCTTGCCTCGCCTCGAAATCTCTGACCGTCCCTTCCGCGAGATCCTTCAACCTTCCGGTTCCTTTAACCACCTCCTCCGGCATGCGCGCTTCTAAAAATTGAGCCACATTCAACGGCTCTATAAGACCTATATCCTCAAACCGCCGCACTCGGGACAGCTGCACATACATACTTACCGCGTCGCATTTTTCGAGCTCCCCGGTATTCCTACTTGCCGTCCTCCCGTACAGCCCTAACAGTGTCTTACCGAGTGTCCGACCCTGAGCCTTGAAGTCGGTTAACGCGAATCCCGGTGTGCACGGCAACCCTGTCCGGATTAACCCCAGCTTGCTGTTTGCTCTCTTTGAATCCGGCCTGAGCGTTTTGGCATGCTTTTCCGCAACCCGTATATTGGTTACCGGCAACATCACGGTACCGGGCGGGAGGTCGGGGAATGCCAGCCCAGCTGTTTCTTCGGATTCGAGGATGATACCGCTAGGAGGTCCGAGGAATACAGACAACCTCTCTCCTATAACGACCTCTTCTAGTCCCGGTGGGTGGAGGATCCCTTTGGCTATGAATTCTGCTCCGTTTACGACCTTGAGACCCATGTACTTGTTCTCGTTGATCACTACTGGCATTCCCTCGACGTACGGGAACATTCCAGCCGCGCTTAGCTTTCCCTCATCTCCCAGTAGCATGGCTGCCTTTCTCTCTGTTAGTGTGGGCATCCGCGATTCCCACGTGTGTTTCGACAGATAGATCGACATCTTCCGACCAGTGTCTTCGCTATATGCCAGGGCTGCATGTAGTGTCAGATCCCATCTGTGCCGGTTAAGGGGTATAACGGCCCGCCTGCCACCGGAAAAATCGAGTTTGGTTTCCTTGTCGTATTGTGCCTCGAGCTTTGCAGCGTCCTCTCTTGTCTGCCTGCCTTCTCGGAGGCGCTCAAGGAATCCAAGCAGGTATTCATCGCCTTCGGCTCGCTTTTGCTCATCAAGCATCACAACGTTAGTGAATCCCTGCCAGAGCTTCTTAGCTTCTGACTCCTTCCAGCGCCTCTCTACTGCTCTGGTTTTCGGCTGTACGTTTCCTGAAACAGCAATGTTACGTTCGACATCGCTCAACAGACTTCTCTGCAACACAGGTGGGAATTGCAAAAAATCCCCGGTAAATACGATAACTGGTATACCACCAAATGGCTTCTCAGAAAACCCCCTTAGCATCCTGAGTTTTTGATCGACTTCGTATAGCGTGAGGAGCCCGAGCATGCTGGCTTCGTCAATCACTAGAACATCCCGTCTCCGCCAACGCTGTTTGGCCTTCTCGAGGTTGGTGCATAACATCGGCTCTACGGTGGTCCCGTCGGCATCCCGGAACGACAGCCCTACAGCGGAATGGATTGTAGTACCTCCGATCCCTGCTGCAGCTGTTCCAGACGTTGCCGTAATGACGAGTCGGCCTGACGCTCGCTTGGCGGCAAAGACCTCCTTCAGTGTATCAATAAGCCACGACTTTCCAGTCCCGCCTCCGCCTCCCACATATTGCAGGTGTTGCCGGTTGGCGCCCTTTGGCTGGCCATCGAGAGCCTCACATGTGAGCCCAAGCGCGATGGCTTGCATTCGGTTCAATGTCCTCTCGGTGCCAATGATTTCCCCTACCCGCATAAAGGTATCCGCAGCTGTGATGCCTACCCAGGTTGCAGCAGGCTCGGAGTTAACCATCCGGGGGTATACTGGGAATTCCGTATCGCCGTCGTTGTCGCCAAACCCCGTCTCGGCCCCGCTATGCAGCGGAGCGGCACCGGCTTCATCGCCTTCAATAGCAAGCATCCGCTCCTTGTGAAATCGTTCCTGCGCGGCCTTGATGGTTTTCAGATCCCGCCTCGGCAGTGCAAGCTGCGTATGCTCCTGAATCATACCATTCCGTATCTCACAATCATCCTCTAGGCTAGAGAACCCTGCTTTGTCGAGCGTTTTCAGTAACTCCCGTATGCCTAGAGAACCGTTTGTGACTCCTGTTCCACCCTCCAGGCTGAAAACGGCATCGTGGAATGTATGTCTAAGCTCTGTTTTGTCAGGGTGCCATTCTTCTTCACGCTCGAGGCCATCCTCGGGCCCGTCGAATTCGCATCCTTCGTCCCCCTCGCTCCGGCTGGCCCAAAGCTTAGCGTCTTTCTTTGCGTCTTCTGCGCTCTTATGAAGGAGGCTGATGTTGTTCACAATAGCCACTACCCGACCGGGCAAATCAGTGTATGATCTCTCCCAGACATCAACTGGGTCTAGGCTGGTGGATTCTACAAAGTGTTCCCACGGTACGAATAGCCCTAGCAACAGGACGGCGGACCTGGGACGGATTAGCTTGCATAGAGCGCTTCGGCTATGCGTTTGCTCTCACCTTTTATAATACCCTTCGTCTGTTCTTTGTACATCGAGATCAAGGTGCCCGGTAATAACAGGTATCGCTTGACCTGGTTCTGGAAGTACCTCCTGTATCCAAGATTCGCCCTCTGGCATTGCAGCATCGAAAGGTATAAAGCGTGCCTGGCTGACCTTGGTCCTGCGCCCTACTTTCCGTATACGAACCATACAGAGATATTCATAGAAGCAAATATCCTGCAACAGGGGACCACGATACGTATAGGCGTCCAGCGGGGATAGGTAGGCGCCAGCAACACCAAATCCGATTGTTTCAGGAGATGCTCGCAGCTGCATCTCTGGTCCTGCAGTCTCGCGTAGACCTCCCCAGTGCCGGAAGACCGCCCAATACAGCGCGCTGAGATGGATGTTAACCCAATTGTGCTCGCTACAATAGCTGTTTTTGTAACCAAGCAGGTTGCCGCAAACCTCCACAGCCGACAGTTCTCGGCTTGTGAAGATCTGGTTCGCCGTACGAGCAAGGAACTGCCGGGTCTTGTTGTTCCGCTGTGCCGCCTTCTCCGTACTATCACCCCTGGCCGGGCCATTCTCGTCACCCTGGTCAGCCATCCCATCGAACACGGCTTTTACTAGCGCTGCCCTCTTCCAGAGCGGCGTATCTAGCTTCGTTGAGTAGTTTGTGGCATAATATACCATAGAAAGTCCAGCTGAGTTGGTTGGGAGAAATGTCGTGTCAGTATTGTGGCGCAGGGCTACGGCCAAAGCCGGGCTGTATCTGTTAATCCGCTCGTGATCTCGACGGACATGAAGAAGCCCGTCGCTAGTAAATTCGGTTCGCTCGCGTAGCGTCCATGGCGCCTTGAAGCGACAGGGATGCCGACTCCTGTTTTTGTTGTTGTCCTTGAAACTGTACTTCGTGCATGTCGCACCACAGCTGTGCATCTGGCATCGATGAGCGACCCAGTTCGCTTCTGCGTCAAAGACTTCGTCCAGCCTCGTGACATCTTTCGTGAGATGTTTAATATCGCTGAAAACGCTCTCCCATCGACGGTATCGCCGTGCCTTGTCTTCGTTACAGCACTGTACAGACACGTTTAGTCCCTCGTTCCTTTTTGACGAAACGGCCAACGTACCTCACTAAAAACGGAGTCGATATACTCGCATACCTGTTCTGCATAGCCTGTGTTTTCCGGCTTAGCGAGGTCGTTGAACAGGTCTGGGAGTCCAAGGTTAGCATCTAGCCATAACAGCCCGTGTAGGTGCAGAGCACCACGCTCGTTTGTCTCAACGCAGCCAAAATAACATGAGACCTTGCCGAATATTGATTCTTCACCGACAGAAACACATTTTTCGAAGAAAAGCTCCAACTCTCGATGGAAAAACTTGGCTGAGCTGACTGCATCTCGGACAACGTGCTGGACACGACCGATCTGCTTTCGGAACTTTTCCATCAGCTCCTCAGCTTGTTTTCCATCTGCTACTCGAAAAGCAGCAAGTTTCATGTTAACCTCGTTAGTGAGATCGTTCGGATTGATTGTGTACCATATACATGGCATTCCATGCTTTAGGCATAGGGACTTAATCTTTCTGCGGGAGTAGAGGCGTTCCTCATTCGACATGTGCTGCCTTTGTCCAAATGCGCTGAGCTCCCTGATCAGGTACGCCACCCTGTCGTTACTAGTGGTCCGCGTCTCACGATATTCTTCTTCCGCCTTTTCGATCTCCTCAGGACTAAGAGATGCTACAATCTGCTCGATCTTCGCAAATGATGCTCTCTTCATACGCAGGTAACTAATCCGTCGATTATCTGCTCTGACGAGCATGTTGAATACCAAAAACGGGAAGCTTGGGTGAGTAGCAAAGTGAGCCCCTAGCAAAGCGTTACTATATGCATCTTACATAAGTAGACATGTTCCCTACCATGCCTTTGCAGACAAAGGCGTGCCCAAGTGCGGAGATAAAACCCGCTTGGCTTGTAATTGCTGCGTACATGCTGCTCGTTCAAATCCGGTTCGTCATCAACATTATCATCCTCACCCAATATTCTACGGCCACCTCGGCCCCAGGGAAACAGACAAGGAAAAGTCTTAGGGAAGAAGTCGGGATCGTTTGAGTCGGCAAACTCTTCACCCCTGCGACTCACTATATAGGGTTCTGCGTCCTTGTAGCTGAGGTTGGTTTCTTCGTTGGCATCCTTCGGCTTGCGACCTCGCCATCGTCGGGTGCCTTGCGTAGTTGCGTTGCGAAGAATCCGAAGCCGTTCCTGTGGGCTGTGCTCTCCGGTTATCTCGGTAGCCATCAGCCCAGTTGAAGTCAATTCCGAAAGCTCCTCCTCTATACGACGAGGGTCCATTTCGTCTAGATTGTGTCTGCCGGTATGGATTCCCCCTAGTCTGGCGTTGCTTTCAGCTTCAAGGCGTGCGGCATCTGTGTTTCTGTCTTCTAGACTTGCGATGACATCGTGAGCGTTGCGCAGTGGCTCGTCGGGACGGCCTCGCTCAGCCGGAGGGACATAGTGGCCAGTACGGATCTCGTCCTCGGCACGCAACTCGTACGAAACCATCCTCTCGACGAGAGCCTGTGGCACTTCAGTTCCAGGGGACCATTCCCCCCAGGTCCTCAGGTTGTCTTCACTGATGGCGATGTCCCGGTATAATGGATTATTCGCCTGAAGCCACACGAGAGCACACTTAAGCTTCTGCGGGTTTACCGACAACATGAAGCTAAGGTCGGAGGGCACTGGTGTACGAGGACCCACAAAACAGACGTGCAGTCGCTCCCGCTCCTCGACGAGTGGGTGGGGTAAAACATTGGCTGCCACTCCTTGAACATCGTTTGGAAATACCGTGATGTGGCCCCTCTTGTGTTTTCGATACCGTCCACTCGTTGCCTTCTCAACGTCGATAGTAAGCTTTGTAATCCAGCCACAAGGGGTATAAATTCCGATAAGACGCTCCTCTAATGGCGAAAGGTCTTTTAAAGCGTTAGGGTACCGATGGATACACCCCAACGACAGGTTATTCACCTGACAGGCGTACGGCAGTTTGGCCTGCCGCAAAGAACTTCTGCACTGGGTGCAGATCGGGAATGTTGCCTCTGGCTCTCTTGGGAAACACAGAGCACATAAAAGATGCTCTCTGTCTAACTCAGAGATTTGTTCTTCAACCCTCAGGTATAGTTGCTCAAATTCGGCCCATGTGTAATCGACTAGCGACGCAGGAGGCTGTTGTTGGCAGCATAATCGGCAATAATCGATCTCGAGTGTAGTGTCATCATGCATGCTTTCGTGAAACGCCTTCGTCTTGTGGAGGATTGTCGACCGGGACACTGGGAAACACCATGTACGCTTGATAGAGTCTAACTTCTTCTCTATATAGCGACGATCTTTGTTGTTTACTGCCTGCTCGACCTCCTTCTGTCTCGCTTTGTACGCCTCGGCTGGACTTACTGGCTGTGGGTGACTGTCTTGCTGGGTTGGTCTTGGTATGGAGGGTCGAATCGGTAGGTGGCGTTCCTGGACGGGGTTGGGTTGCTTGCCGGGAACCGGACGAGCGGGTTTTGGACTGCCCAGAAGTCCTGTATGAGACTCCTCTCGACCTTCTCTGTGTCGTTCTGCGTCTGGTGCAATAGTCACGCCTGAACTCAGCATTGGTTTGGGGTTCCAGGGAAGAAGGTTTGGGCGATTGCTTTGCTCCCAAGCTAGGCCGCCGTTACGTGTCGCTCTATCTCCTCCGCGGCCCCTCCGTGGTGTGAGGCTAATCTGGCTAGGGGGAGTATTGAACCCTCCCGTGGAGGATCTTTGTGTTAACGATACTCTTGGTGTTGACGGTGGTTGGGGTTGAATTGGAATTGAACGTGGAGCATTATTGACAGACCCCTGTTGAGTTGGTACTATCATACGAATGTGATTGGAAAGGTTACTAGATCTGTTGTCTAGAGTTCTCTGTGCTGACAACACTCTTGGTGTTGATGATGCTTGCGTTTGATTAGGAGACAGTCCTAACCTGTCCCTAGCGGGTCTCTCTGTTAACGATGGTTTTGGTTGAATCCGACGAAGCCCATTGTTAGACGAGGACGCCGGTGTTGGCAGCATTGTCATGGTTGGGTATCAGACAAGTAGGGAACTTCTCAAAACGATAATACTTTCCCTTTCAATTCTCTACCGAAGCACATAAAATAAGGCTACACGATAGTAAGGTCCCCCTCTTCTCATCAGACACAGCAATCTCCCGTTGTTGTCTAACCCATGCAGTCTCGCCAAGGACAAGAACCATTCTCTTATCGTATGGCCCTCCCATAAACTCCGAATTCATTATCATTCCAATTAAGAATGTCTTAGTATTATGGTATTACAAGCTGCAGTCGTCACCAAGTTCAAACCAGATAAGAAATAATGCTTTGTTATCTACCAATAGGTGGGCTTGTGTTCCCCCTGTCGTTCCCACTTTCTGGAAAAAATACTACATTACTGAAGCAGATAACCCACCGTCGACCTCAGCTCATCGACTGCAAGTAAGCGCCAGACCTAGCCTCTTGCATTTATCCCCTGTCTACGTCGCGGAACCGAAAATCTACCCCGAGTTATGGTCGTCCCCCGCCACCCAGTTGACAAACAAATGTCCTTTCAAAAGGGGGACTTTTCTAGTAATCAGGTTCGCTGGCTTTCCCTTTGTCTGTATACGTCCCTCACTTATTGATCTTGAGTTCCTCAAAGAGTTCCTAGTAACCTATCTCCTCCTGCAATCATGAGTACAGAGAAATCCGACTTGGTAACCTACTGGCCAAAGCACGAGCTAAGCCCGCCATCGCAATGGAGCGTCCCCCTCACGATGATTGCCATCGGTAAGGTGGTAGCCGTTGAAATGCTGAACAGAGACTCTCAAGTCTTCCGTTATCAGAATTGGACTGCCCAACTACAGATTCCGGTTCACACCCCAGATTGGTTGGCCGACACGTTCCCCGGTGTCCTTGACAACCTGCACGAAGGCGCCTTGTCTCTAGACCTCTCTCGCTTCCACTCAAGAGGCTCATTGACTACCGACGAGTGGGACGATCAGTGGTTCAGCGTCATCTGCGAACCCCACTTCAGCTATGTTCCCTGCGGTCTGTCTGGCGAAGACGAAGTAGGCTATAAGCGCCTGGCATGGATTCAAGATGACGCCCTTACCCCGTAAGTTTCCAGGTCCCCAGTGCTGGAACACCTGTCCTAAAGCTACTTCTTAGTATTTCTGACCGCACCTGCGTCGACCTACCTTCTCGGTTTCCAATTACTCCGCCGTTCGTGACTTTCAACGGGTTTGTCGACACCCAGAAGTTCCCCCTTGCCGACAATCCCTCCATCGGCCTCGACGACATAACCAGGAACTCCTCAGCCATCTTCAGAGTTTGGTCGAAGTTTACTGTCACGGAGGCTGCTCATACCCCGAAGACCGGGTGGTACGCCAACTACGTATACGCCATGCTTCCAAAATGCAAACCACATATGAAGAAGAAGTGCGAGGACTATCGTGCGGACACAACACCATTTCGAAAACATGGGAAAAAGGCATATGTTACTGGCTACTTCCATGGGTTCTGCGACAAGAGCGTTATCTTCGCTGAAGGTTGTCCCTACAACCCTCTCGAGTTTGTCCCACTCATCGAGATCCTGAAGATTGACTGGACTGCTGGTGAGACAAGGCAGCAGCCAGGAACCCGCGATCTACTCGCCACGCCATCCAAGCCAGAGACCCCCAGCCGCGGCAGGGGGAGGTTCATCTTTGACCCCCTGGCCCAAATGACTGCAGACGCAAAGGGGCCTGCCACCCCATCTAAGTCGAGTAAGTAGCGGCTTGAACGTCTCCTAGGCTAGGCTGACACCGCTACAATCACAAGCTACAAACACCACCATTGATGACGATGATCCGTTCGCCGTCAACGGCCTTCATGAAGCCCCACATACCAGCTCAAAGCGGTCTGGAGAGATAGAAGTCCTTGGAGACAGCGACGACGAAGCGAGCCCAACCAAGCGAGCCCAACCAAGCGTCCCAAACGAGGAAGTTTGCGTGGAAGGAAATAGATGATCTAGCCTTACATAGAGGCTTTTACTTGACTGTCTGTGTATACACTATCTTATCTGGGTCACTTGTCTGTCTTCGCGACTGGTCTTATGGCTGATTGCTTTTGGATATCGGTTTGCTCTACCGTCCCGCATGGTCTTCTATCATTTACGCCTTTCTATAATACAATCTCCTTAATCATCAAGATAGCAAGACCTCAAATCTAGAGAGTCACAGAACTCCTTCAGCTAGGCACAAGGTCTGGTTCCAAATCCTGGTGGAACAGACTTTTACTTCTTTCTTTTTTCTTGGCTGCAATGGCCAAGCATACAGAATAATGATTACCGGCGTTCCAAAACCGCACACGCGACCGACCTTGCACCAGCCACGCCTGCGGCCGTCGCGTCTTTCCTAACGGGAGGCCTATCCAACAGGCGGCTTGCCCGCCGTTCCCCAGTAATAGTGTGGCGGAGTCTTCACCACCGTTTCGAATGGACGGATTACGTCAAAAACATAAAGTTGCCATTAGACGTCGAGAAGTCAGCGTTCATTGGCTAGTAATCGACGCCACCCCCTCTATGTGGCTCAGCTACGCCACCCCCACTAAGATTGGACTTGCGTGCTTGCAGTGAAGCTGGGGAACGGCGGACAAGCCGCCTGGTAAAAGACCTTGCGTCAGGAAGTGCTCTGCGATTGCAGACGTAGCTAGCGTGAGATCGGTGAATGGGCGACTCTTTGTCTCAAGCAAGCGATGATAGAGGCATACATGTCTGCGAAACGCCCGTAATGGCGATTTCGTATGTACGGCAACTAAGCCAAGGGGAAAAAGGAAAAGGTTGAAAAGCAGAAAGTGGTTCTGTGGGGATTTGAGCTGAGATCCCTTGCGGTATCAGAGGACTGCTTTGGCTCTTACGGTACGAGGTCGTGCGACTTGAGGCACAGTTGCCTCAGATGCAGTTAGATCAAAAGGCTCGAGTAAGAAGAGAAACGCGCAGCATTTTGGCATTGATACCGAGAAACAACACCTGAGGGCAATCTGTTGTGAAACTGAAGTAAATACGGACGCTAAGCACATGAGATTGGGCGAGGTGTTTACGAGATGGTCAGCCAGACCCTGCCACACGAGACCAGATAGCCTGTTTCCTTCCGAGTAAGCTCCCCCGCTTGCCGCTCAGTCCATTATCGCTGTCGTCGAGTATATCTATCTCTTCGGACCGCTTCGAGCCACTAGGTGGGGCTTCATGAAGACCGTTGGCTGCAAACGGAGCATCATCACTGATAGCGGGGCCTAAAGCTCATGACGTTCGCATTCCTGGCCTAGACTATGAGGCGAGCAAGCCGTCAGTCACTTAGTTGGGACGAGGTAGCTGGCCCCTTCACATCAGCGATCGATTGGCCAAGACAATTAATGATGAACTTTCCCCTGCCACGGCTGGGACTCTCTGGCTGGTATGGTGTGGCGAGCAGATAGTGGCTTCTTTGGCGCTGCCTTAGCTCACCAGCAGCCCGGGCAATCGTCAGAATCTCCATTAGAGGCCCAAACTCGAGAGGGTCGTAGGGGCAGCTTTCCGAAAATACAGCGCTTTTACTGCAGAAGCCATGGAAAGAACGAGTGACGTAGGCCATTTACCCGACCTTTTGGAACGGCGTTGTGGCGGTGAGGTAGTTTTCAACTTCTTTTCCATGTGTGGCTTGCATTTGGGAAGTATGGCGTATACACTATACGTAGTTGGCATGCCACCCCATGTTCGGGGTACGTACGGCCTTTGTGACAGAAAACTTTGATCAACCCTGAAGACGGCTGACGATTTCTTGCTTATCTCGTCGAGACCGATAATAGGATTGTCGGCAAGAAAGAACTTCTGAGCGTCGACGGACCCGTTGAAGGTTGCGAACGGCGGCGTGGTCGGGAATCCAGGGGACAGGTCGACCTAGGTGCGCTCAAGAACACTCGGAAGTAGCCTTAGGACAGTATTTCTATCATTGGGGGACCGGGGAACCTACGGTGTAAGGGCGTCATCTTGAGTCCATGCAAGACGCTTATAGCCCACTTCATCTTTGCCAGACAGACCACAAGGGACATAAATGAAGTGAGGTTCGCAGTCAATACTGAATCACTGACCTTTCGAGTCTTCGAGTCGTCGGTGGTCAATCAACCTCCTAACTGGAAGCGAGAGAGGTCCAGAGATAAGGCGCTGTCGTGGAGGGTGTCGACGACTGTCAAGAGTCGGTTTCCATTCGAATCTACTAACTAGCAAAGCCAGCTACTGAAGCACCAGGCACATCATGGGCCGTCAACAGACTCTTTCTGACCGCAAGCCGCCGACTTTTCCCAAGCATGAACGGCACGCCTCGTCCCTACTAGTCTCATGATAAGCTTGCGAGGTTATCTCTTGGCCCATAAGCCTGTCCACTCTACCAGGCGAGATCCGCCAGCAATCAGATGATGGTACATGCCGGCATAGGCAACTACGTGGCAGGGCCAACATAGAGGGCTATGGAGATGAGAAGGTACAGACCGAGTAGCATAGCGCCTTCTAAGTAGTTGGACCTGCCGTCCTTCACAGTAGACGCGACCACTAACACAGAAAACAGGAAGATGATGGTTGGAAGGAGTCCGTATTGCAGAGTCATCGGCTCACCCAAGACCCATGCGATGATGATTAAGAAAGGCGTGACGACAAGCGCAATCTGGATGCTGGACCCCATGACAATGCCTAAGGCGACGTCCATCTTGTCTTGAGTGGCCATGACAACGGCCGTGACGTGTTTGGCTACGTTGCTGACGAAGGGAACCACAATAAGCCCGATGAAGGCCTTACTGAGAACGGCGGCCTCCACGACTGGCCCGATGCTCTCCACGAGGTTGTCGGCACAAAATGCCACTAGAGCGGTGATAACGCCCAGCACGGCGACGGCGGACGTAGGGCTTAGTACGGGGTTCCCTGTATCAGGTGACTCAGTCTCGGGTTCGAACAAGCTAGGGTGGGTTCGCAGCTGGAACACCAAATAGAGGACGTAAAGAGACAGGAGAATGAGAGCTGTTCCGCGGGATAGGATTAGAATGCTGCGCTCCTTCTCGAAACTGTCGTCGTTCCCCAACACAGCAGAGAGCTGCCAGCCGGTGTTAGTCACATTGCGCAGCATCGAAAGTACCGGGGAAGCACTTACCGCTGTAGGAATCAGAAGAGACGTCGAGGAAAGAGCGATGAGGGAGCAGAATGTCTGCGCCCTTCCAGTGGCAAACGTCTGTTCGGTACCTTGGCCGGTGATTTGGTGGCGCATGTTGACGATGCCTCCGAGAAAGAAGCACATCCCCGTGACCAAAAGCAAATCGGAGAGAATAGACCCAAGCATGGCCATCTGGACAACGTCGATATGGCCCTTCCTTAGAGCAACGATACCTATGACAGCTTCGACCGCGTTCCCGAACGTAGTGTTGAGTAACGCGCCCACCTCTTTACCGCACCTTACCGATACTTGCTCGGTCGCGAACGAGAGAACTGCGGCAAGAGGAATGATGGCCAGGAAGTTGATGGCGAATACGGTAGTCGGCTCCCAATGGAGTGATCTGGCGACGCCAGAAAGGGGCAGCATAGGCAGAAAGTGATTGAGTTTAGCTGCAGCACAAGTGACTTGTGAGATTGAGAGTGCATTGTCGGAGGCCTCGCCAAACCGTGGGCAAATGGGTCACTCACAGCTGCGGAGCGACACCTTCGTGACGTGCCAGGTTTGACACAAGCACTTGACGGCTATACCAGATAGATATTTGGCCGTGACATAGATGGAGTGGTTGCGGGTGTTGGACGTCTCGTTGGAATCGCGATTGTTGTATGATACAAGCAGCGGCGAGTTCTCAGCCCCGCTCCTACGTCCGATGAGGTTGAAGTGGGTTTCTACTTCTCCAGACGGTCCGCCGTCATTTTGGACGATTGGATCAATGGATAGTGTCATTGTCATCGACCAGAATCAGTTGATCAAGTAAAAAACGTTCCCCTTTGCAGCCGAGGGCTTTGTAATAAGGCGTAGGTCAAACGTAGCTAGGTAGTGGGTGATGTTAGCCGGAGACAGGGCATGGCTTCGATGGGGCGAGCCTCTAGATTTAATGTGTCGCGATCTTGGGCATAAGAGTTCTTTCCACCCCTGGAAAGGTTTGGACGAGCACATCATGGCTGCGGTGAGGCAGAGCAGGAGGAAGCCTGTCTTGAGACGCGCCAAATGTATTGATAGGTTTGCATCCATGATATGGAGAACAGGGGGCGTATCAAGCTGTCCTGGCAGCAGCAGAATGGAACGTGAGAATATGGTCTTGGTGGGAGGCCCGTGGGCGTCGCCACTCGACTGTTTGCCGGGGAGGGCCATCTTCGAGCAGCAGCTCGCGCGTATTCACTTCACGGTCATACACCTATGTGTTGCTATATCGACGCCGTAGGGTCGGCCTGGGTGCCCCGATGAGAACGAACTTGAGGTGCAGCTAAGTGGAGTGTCTACACTACACGCTACAAGGGTGCCTGCAAAGGCACGGTGGATCCGACGTGCTTGAGGTCCAGCTCACGATCGCCCACCAAAGTTGAGCGGGGGTTCTTGGCCAGCGCGGCCGCCCGCCTAATGGAGGGTAGCCAAACCCATCGCTGCGTGTCCCTGCCTCTGCGAGTGACTTCGACTACAGTTGCGCTCGGATCAGGACACCCACACCGCCACGCGTGGACGAGACCTCTAATTTCGGTGCAAGGGAATGCTGAATCTTAGCACTTAATCCTCTTGCCAGGAGCGCGCAGATCGAATCGTAGGGCGCCTAATCCTAGACGACGAGATGGTACGATGAAAGGGAGGGTGTCTTGGTCAAGTATCTGCATTGTCACGACCGCCAAGTCCAAGCCTCGCATGACCAGAAGCTGTGTCCCATTACATTGCCTCGCTTCTGATGTCGATACGCCTTCTCCGAACCTCACTTCACCGATGGGCGAAGCTTGTCGTGTCTGTAGAGTCGATGCTGTTCTTGTCAAACTTCTCCGACATGGCGTCCGTCCCTTTTCGTCCCTTTTCGTCCCATCCACGGCATCACTGCCGTCGTGGCTCCATCCACCAGTGAAAAATTGAGTCGCCTCCGTCTCCTTGGCCACCAAGTCGACAACGGAACTGACGGCGACTTCGGTTTGTCAATGTCGAATCTTTCGTGTTTGTCACGTTCTCCACCCGTGTTCACTGGGCGTTGTCTGGATCTACGGCTCCTTTTAATGTCCATGCCACCCTCGTTGCTCTCCAAAACTATGCGGACCTCAAGTGCAGCGAAAATTAAGATACGGCGTGTAGGTGTCGCTCGCTGCGTCAACGGTTCCTTTGCCATTCATGTCTCTTAGGTCACTGATTGGTCCAAAAACGACACCACAAGAGCGAAATGAATATTATTCATGAGCAAGTCTACATTGTACATCCTTAATCTACACCTATATAATGGTCCCTAGCATAACTCCTTGTGTAACTCAATTGGAGTCGCTTCCGAGGCGGCGGCGACATCTGGTGTTGAAGTTCCGAAGTGAAGCTTGTCGTAGTCAGTTGAGTCGACACTATTCTTGTCCGACCTTTCCGACTTTGAGTCCTCATTCTTCTCCTCCTCGTCGCTTTTGGGCTCTTCAGCCGCTTCTTCTGTCTCTTCAATCGCGGATGAATCGACATCAGGCTTCGCGACTTCTGGGCTGTCAGGCTTCAGCTCTTCGCGCTCTCCACCCGCGTTCACCTGGGCATTGTCGATATCGGCCTCCCCTTTCTTGCCCATGCCATCCTCGAGAAGCTCGCCACCTTCCATACAGACACGGACTTCGAGATCCTCGTCCATGGAGTAGACGCGCACCCCAACAATGCAAATGGCGTTCCAGGGATCAGGCAGACCCTCCTCCTCAGATTCGTAACGCTCGTCGCGTCTTTTGGGTGGTCCAGCGGGAGTCAGACGCGGCTTTCTGACCATGTCATCCTCGCTATACAGCTCTTCCCAATCTTCGATGGGCGAGTCGGATGAATCGCCATCCGAGTTGTAAGACTTCTGCGCTGGCGGTTTGGGAGCAGTCTTGTCTGCAGCTTTTTCGTCGGCGACATCCTCCTTGACTTCATCCTTGGACTCTTCCTTGGACTCTTCCTTGGACTCTTCCTTGACTTCATCCTTGAACTCTTCCTGGACGTCATCCTTGGACTCTTCCTTGACTTCATTCTTGAACTCTTCCTGGACATCATCCTTGGACTCTTCCTTGACTTCATCCTTGGACTCTTCCTTAGACTCCAGCTTGCCTTCGTCCTTGGATTCCTCCTTGGACTCGTTTGTGCCATCTGACTTGGAGCCACCTGCAGCAACGTCTTTGGACTCTTCCTTAGCGACTTCCGTCTGGACGGCTTGATCCTTGGGCTTCTCTGTATCTTTCTTCTTTGCCTCTGCATCTTCCAGAAATTTCGCTTCTTCGGCCTTCTTGGCTTCCGCAGCGGCTTTTTGAGCGGCCTCGAGGTCAGCCTTCGTCTTGGCTGCTTCCGCCTTCTTGGCGAGCTTGCGGTCGCGCTTCTCATTGTTCTTCTTGGTCTGCTGCTTGGTGACTTCGCGGTTGGTGTGGCGTCTTTCCCAGAGCTTGCGGCGCTCCTTCTGGCGAGACTCGGAGGCTCTCTGCTGCTCCTTGATCTTTCGCAGCCTAGCGACCTCTTCGAGATGCGCAGTGCCTTTGCTATGAGCCAAGTCGTATGCGGCACCAATTTGCGCCAACTTGTCGTTCTCAACGCGCTTCTTGCACTCACGCTTGACCACATCTTCGACAGAGGAGATGTTAGTGTCCCTCTCACCAGTGACACTCATGAAGATGCTGTACTCTCCGGCTGGCATGTCGGGTAACTCGATAGAGACGGATCGGTCCATGAGATAGTTGCCGTGGGAGCGCACGATATAGTCCTCGGCACCAGGGCGGTCTCGCTCATGTATCCTGAAGTGAATGCGGAAAGAGTACTGTCCCTGAAGTCCCTTGAAGTATCTCGTGTCGAGTTGAGTCAGAACTAGGACTAGCGGCCCATCCTTGGACAACTTGACCTGGAACTTCTCGTTGAATTGGGATTTCCAGGGCACCTCGACGCCGATCCAACGTTGAGCGCACCTCCAAGCGGGGTCACGGAACAGCCTGGTTCTATCGATATGCTGAAATTTGCGTAAGAAGTCGTCGTAGTTGATCCAGAAGACAGAGTCATTGCCAAAGTGGTGACCAAGCTCCTCTTGAACTTCCATGGTCCACTCCTTGGAGCCATCGGACCAAGCACCCTCCCACACGCCCTTGCGGATCTTGCCCCAAGGGTTGCGGAGCTTGATCAGACGCTCTCCGGACTTGAGCGTCCTAGCTTCCATGATAACGTATGCGTGGCCTTCCGAGATGCCATTCCTCTCACCATAGCCTCCATCTAGGAGGCCGGTAGAGCAGCCGAAGAGGAACTCCTCATTGACTTTGGCAAGTTCGTTTTCCCAGAAGCCCTCGAGGTCGAGAATATCCGATGTAAGCAGCTCGGTAGTGACACCACCCGAGAGATCTTCCAGCCCCTCGCCGATCCAGCCGCCAGCCAACGAGGCGAAGTCGCCGTGTGCCTTGGCATAAGCCTTCTCAATAAGCGGCACCCAAGTCTCGTTCTGATCCTTGCACTGAGCAAAGAAGAGGGCCTTGGATCCGGTCTGGTAGGTCTTGCGGTAGACACGCTCAACGTCCTCTCGGTCGATCTGCTGGAGGAGGTCCCGCTGCATACTAGGCGAATCCCAGCAAGGAGACTTCAGATACAGCTTGTCATCGATAATGGAGTAGATCCACTCGCCATCTCGGTAGAAGACGAAGCCGTAGATGCCGATGCGAGTGTCGTACTCAACGCAGATGCGCTGAATACCGCCCTCGACATTTGCAAGGGCAGTCAGCGTAGCCATCAACCAGCAGTCCCCGAGGCTCCCCTGCTTCACATCTCCGCCATTGACGTTCTTCAAGAAGGTTGGCTTCTCGAAAATCTCGTGAACTCGCTTTACTGCCTTGGGGACAGATGCGCTTGGGTTGGAGAGAGTGGTTCTAGAAAGTTGCCATTTGGTATGGCCAAGAGTGTTGAGACAGTGACCCTTTTCCCACTTCAAATCCCAGTCCTGAGTGGCCTGTTAGCTCCCCAAGTTCGAATTAGCAAGCATTGGGGGTGGAGGTAACTCACCAGATCCCAACCAGGGTCCCGATATCGCATGTTGACTCTGCGACATTCTTGGATAATCTTCTTCACTTTCCGGCGGCACTCCTCGACAGCTCGTTCGTATCCGGCGCTAAGCAACTCATTGGGCTTCTCTGAGCTTGCTGGCGGCAGAACAGGGTCGAATGGTAGCACAGCCAAAGCCTTGTTGAACTTTTTGTCTTGGAACTTCTTCCAAATATGGTTGATAGAGGGCTGCGGAGGCGTCTTCTTCTTTTTCGTCTTCTTCTTGTCGGTGGCGTTGGCCAATGCTGGCACAGGACGCGGGCGACGAGGGTCATCCGACTCCTCTGAAGAGCTATAGCCGTGCATCGCGTGATGGGATAGGATAAGCAAGAAGACTGAGTGATACGAGAAGGTTGGTAGCGGCTTGAGACGACGAGGGAAATGCAAATGCGTATTCAATGAGAGCGAGAAAGCGTCGCGGCGCAGATGACTGGTCTGGGTGAAATAGAATGAGATTAGAACAACTTGAAGAATAAGATGCGAAACTGTGCAAGACTGACTGGGTGGACGAGTGGACGTTTAAGAATGAGGACAAGAGGGGTAGAGGGATCAAACAAGGTTGACTCAATTAGCTGCAACGCCCGTGAAGTTTGGACTTACAGCGTTGCGTGACAGCCTGTTCGGGTGGATTCGACAGCTGAATGGGAAGGATGATGGTTCGCACTGGTGCATACCCGCACAACGAGGCAGCCGCAGGCGTTAGACGGGTACTCTGGGTCGACATCCGAGAGGTGGGAGGCTTCAAGGGCCCCGGTAAAGGCTCTGCGAGAGGGATGCTGGCCATGAGGTAAAGATACGACAGACCGTTACCTTCCCTTCTAGAATATCTCGGTCCAGCTGCCATAATTGGCTTAATTGTGTAAGGCAACCAGGCAACCTAATTACACACTGCCAACACACGTTAGGCAACAGGCCAGCTGATCCCGTCGCGCGAGATGCCCAGAATTCTCTGCGTGCAAGGATCTGCATAAGCTCGGTATTGAAGTGGTCGTGATAGCGTTCGTATCACAGTATACATATGAGATTATGGATACTGCCTCGCATTATCACCTCGCGAAATTTCACTCGCAGGCACGTAATTCTGAAAAAGGTCACTCAGCAGAATTTCAGTCTGGCTCAGACATGCGGGTCCTGGCTTCCGACGCGGCAAACGCAAAGTAGCTAAATGCTAGGTTGTAGGATCGTTCTCATGGGCTGAGGCGATGCCAGTTTCTGTTTTCGTTCATGGGTGGGAACTCGTGCGATAGCTAAACACTTGGAAAGGTCTACGCTTCTTTTCTTATGACTCATTTCCCGTGCTGACATGGAACAATCCAATACATTCATCACGACGCTCAAGGGTAATACTAGCACGTTCCCAGGTTTCATTTGGTGAGCCACCAGTGTTCACTCAAAGTCCCGATTGAAGCTATTTCGGACAAGGCATGCTGGATGAATGGTTACATCCTGCTGGCGGTGCCGGGAGTGCGAAGACGGTCGACTCTGATCGAAAGGTTCGGGTCGAGATTGGACGGCCAATGACGAACTTTTCGAGTCAATCAAACCAGCCCAATTCGAACAAAAACCTGGCAACGTGGCGAGATTTAGAGCTTCGGGAGATCAAGAACCCAAGTGAGGGTCGATCAAATCACAGCCGTGCGAGATCTCTGACATCTTTACTTATGAAAAGGACGAATGGACTAGAGTAAGCGACTTGAAAAGCTGCATGGGGTCGCCTGAGTATACACATTATCCTGGGCGAGGTTTTCGTCACGGGTGTCTTTTCCACGAGCCCCAGTGACTGGAAGACGTCTCTCTGCATGGCCTTGGTCATTCTTTTTCAACTCCCTATCGATGTTATAGGTGTTGGTGCGGTGAACGATCAACAGCATCTAACAAGTTGCGTGGTGCCAAGCTGCTTGAAGATGTCTACAGAAATGATTCGCTACGTCATATGGCTTGCTTAGTCTAATCATGGTTCGAGTTCGAGATGTTAAACGACATCTCCGATGACGACACTTAGAGTCACTTTACGACTGCTGGTAACAAGAAGACCACCGTTCTACCTCGCGATTCAGTCTGAGAGGGATTCTGGTCTCAACTTCTCAAGGTCGTTGCACATGATTTGATGCAAGAATCTTCCGTCCTGTTCTGTGCAGCTTTCAGAGGCGTCCAGTCGGCTGAGGTCTGACCTCATCTAATAGGCAGGGCATCTTGCCTGTGCAGCCTTGGGGGCTATCCGTTCTATACCGAGGTCAGGAGGGTTCAGCAACATCTAGACGCAGCTGTCTGCTTCAGTCACTTAACACGAGGATATGTGAAAACCATCTGAGCCAGTCCCATGAAAGTCCATTGATAGTCCCGTAAGCTCCAACAGACTGCCAATCCCCGAGATGCCCTACACTAATTACTGTTTGTCTTCCAGTTATTATGCGGCGGGCTGTTCTGCAGAAAACTTATCTATCACGTCCTATCTCGCATGCTACGACGAACTGATGGCGCACATAGCCGGCTCGGCGACACAGCTTCAATAATCCGACGCTAAGCAGCAGGTGCGAATACTGGTTAAGGCCGTTGATTGATGCAATCGCTGGAGACCACAACAGGTGTAACCAGTCCCCTTCGCTTTGCCGTTGCGCCTGAATGAGGTTCAATCTCACATGTTTGTTGCTCTGCAGTGAACCCCAGCCATTTGCAAACCCCAGTCAGCTTGATGGAAGGGTCAAAAGAGATGAACACCAGAGGGTTCATATCTTTGGTCTCTCGGTCTCCCTGAATGTAAATAAGAGACTGTTCATCAGCTGTTCCGAAAATGCCCCATTGGGGTTCTTGAACACGCAGGGCATGAGCCAGAAATTTCGATTCGTTACTGGTTTCGTCTGAGTCCGTCTGCGGTGGCCAGTAAGATATGACACTCTCAACTCGATTGGCTTCATTCCCCGTTTCTTGAGAATCTGATTGCTCGTGCGTTACCGCCTGTGAACGACTTATGGTTCGTATTTTCAGGCCAGAAGACAGGCCATCTGCAGCAGCAAGGCTGAAAAGGTCTATAAAAGCCTCGCAGTGGATGTTATAAGACTTCATAAAGCAATTGTTAGAGGTGACCAACGGCTCTGTGGAGCCATCGTCTCCTCGGTGTGGGGTTGATGTATATTCTTTGAGGTTTGGTGCCTGGCCTTGAAAGCCACAAAACTCTACGAGCTTCTGCTCGCTGCCTTCTCCAACCAGGAAATCGTCAGCCAAATCGCCGTTGCGAATCTGAACTGCCGTCCGGTACGCGGTCCTCGAGTTCCCATCGCCCTTAGCAGAGTGTTCCCTTCGGCACTCCACGACCTCAAGGACTCCTGTTTTGGGGTTCTTTTCGAGACTAAGGGTGCTCCATATGTCATTGATCGGCCCTTCGCGGTGATCGCGACGAAACATGGACTCAGATAGCAGCTGCTTATCCTCGGCCCTGCATACACCGAGGGGATAGCGAACGCCGTAGTAACGTGAAAGATAAACATCTTCGCCGAATGTAGTCGGCTGCACGCTTGAAGCCGCGTAGAAATGGTGGCCGAAAATTTCGAAGGCCGCGGTGGTACCAACATCAGAACCGGCGACTTCCTTGAGTCCAAGCACGCCATTCAGCCATTCTTCCCTCCCGATGTCGAAGCACTGCAGCTTCCAGAAGTTGTCATCGTCGTCATCGCCAGTATCATCGTCATTGCCGGTATCGTTGTCATTGCCGGTATCGTTGTCATCGCTGGTATCGTCGTCATCGCTGGTATCGTCGTCATCGCCGGTATCGGGATAAGTGCCGCAGTATAGATAATCCGAATTATTCCTGACAAACAGCTTCTGGCGCGATTCGATGTCTATGGGAGGGAAAAGGGCGCGTGTCTCGATATTGGTGACGAAAAGTTTGTTGCGGCCTGTATTCTCAAGCGGGATGTACAGCCAAGACAGGATGTTGTCTGAATAGTGTATGGGTCTGAGCTCGTACTTCTCGCTCGCAAGGATTTGATTTGTGGTAGCAAGAAGTTCGTCTACGTTGATTACGATCTCGTTCGGCGCCAACTGATGAAGATTAAGCAAGAAAAATGCCTTGGTTTCGTTCTGTGTATAGCAAAGCATGCCGTTGCAGTATATATACTGATCAGCCCACGCGACAATGCCTACTGAGTAAGGTTTGGCTGTGGTGACAGCATCTTGGAACTTGACTCGTCGGCGTAATGCCTGGGCGTAACATCCAGACTGTCGCGCCTTCTTCATTTCGATCGAATACGCAGCGTGCTTCTTGATACAAGGTCAGAAACTGATTCATGGAGGATCTCGGGGAACATCTCTTCAAACCTCGAGTATCGCTTTTGCGATGGTTTCATTCTGCGTGAGATAACCAAACTGCTTGCAGACACGACGAAGACTCCAAACATCCTGGGGGGCGAGCTGCTCGATGATGTCGAACATAAGATCAAACGGCAGCTTCTGCATCTTGATTGGTAAAAGTAAGGAGCAGATATGTGGGAAAGAATAGTCACATCGAATAGCTCCCGCTGTGGCAGTTTAAAAGCCGCGAAAGAGCATGACCCATGGAGCCGCATCAGTGTAAAGTTCTGGTGGGCTGCTACAAGTGTTGTTCGATCAACCAGTCTAGCTATCGACGGCAGGCGGCTCCGCTGCTCTGCTGGTACGTCGTAATACGCACCAGTCATATGTCTAGCTGCTTGCGACGGAGGTGCTTTCCAATCTTCACATAGAGTGTGCGATGTTGTTGTGCACAGCATCGATCGGTCATGCTGGCGAGACGACTAGGTCCCGCGACGATAGGACGATTTTTGACGAGGGACGTCTGCGTGCTGAGCAGGTACTTTCGTCATCCCACGCCAGGGTGTTGTCACACTACATTCCAAGGAGGTGTCGTAGTTACCGGCATGACATGGTGCGATGCACGTCGTGATGACCTGGATGAAGAGAATGTGTCCCTGTGATGCAAATCATCTTACTCTTGCCTTCAGCCGGTAAATACTATCAAGCGTTGCCATGATTGGGTATGCCAAGACAATCTTTGTGGCAGCTAGCATTGAAATTGCTTCCAGAGTAAGCCGCCATGGAAGTCCTGGGCACCATGAGAGGCGCCCCATAAATCCATCGTAAACGAAGCGCACAGAAATGGTACATTGGGGGCATCCAAGACATTCATCAACGGCCAACCTTTGCTCAGGTTCGGGGGGTGGATCCAAGGTATTCAAATCTTACCTAGGAAATGACTGCCCGCTTAAACCGTCAAAGTATTGGCACGCTGCATGGGACCCGAGGAACCATTGGTCTACGAGGGCGTGAGTTCGAGAGTTGATCAGACTGTGTGCTTACGAGAGAAGACGTTTGATCGGTGTCCACGTTACACGAGGAGCAGGCTGGGGCAGGTGCTCGTGGCTTGGTCATCTAAGCGTTGGGCTAATTACAGGGCTGGGTCGGCGGCAGGCCC